CTTCGCCTGCACCGCCCAGCCCGGCACCGCCGTCGCCGGCACCCAGCCCGCTGCCGCCCTCGCCTGCGCCGCCCAGCCCGGCACCGCCGTCGCCGGCACCCAGCCCGCTGCCGCCCTCGCCTGCACCGCCCAGCCCGGCACCGCCCTCGCCGGCGCCCAGCCCGCTGCCGCCCTCGCCTGCACCGCCCAGCCCGGCACCGCCCTCGCCGGCACCCAGCCCGCTGCCGCCCTCGCCTGCGCCGCCCAGCCCGGCACCGCCGTCGCCGGCACCCAGCCCGCTGCCGCCCTCGCCTGCACCGCCTAGCCCGGCACCGCCCTCGCCGGCGCCCAGCCCGGCACCGCCCTCGCCTGCACCGCCCAGCCCGGCACCGCCCTCGCCGGCGCCCAGCCCGCTGCCGCCCTCGCCTGCGCCGCCCAGCCCGGCGCCACCCTCGCCGGCACCCAGCCCGCTGCCGCCCTCGCCTGCACCGCCCAGCCCGGCACCGCCCTCGCCGGCACCCAGCCCGCTGCCGCCCTCGCCTGCGCCGCCCAGCCCGGCACCGCCCTCGCCGGCACCCAGCCCGCTGCCGCCCTCGCCTGCGCCGCCCAGCCCGGCACCGCCCTCGCCGGCACCCAGCCCCCTGCCTTCGCCTGCGCCGCCCAGCCCGGCACCGCCGTCGCCGGCACCCAGCCCGCTGCCGCCTTCGCCTGCGCCGCCCAGCCCGGCACCGCCCTCGCCGGCACCCAGCCCGCTGCCGCCCTCGCCTGCACCGCCCAGCCCGGCACCGCCCTCGCCGGCACCCAGCCCGCTGCCGCCCTCGCCTGCGCCGCCCAGCCCGGCACCGCCCTCGCCGGCACCCAGCCCACTGCCGCCTTCGCCTGCACCGCCCAGCCCGGCACCGCCGTCGCCGGCACCCAGCCCGCTGCCGCCCTCGCCTGCACCGCCCAGCCCGGCACCGCCCTCGCCGGCACCCAGCCCGCAGCCGCCCTCGCCTGCGCCGCCCAGCCCGGCACCACCCTCGCCGGCACCCAGCCCGCTGCCGCCCTCGCCTGCGCCGCCTAGCCCGGCACCGCCCTCGCCGGCGCCCAGCCCGCTGCCGCCCTCGCCTGCACCGCCCAGCCCGGCACCGCCCTCGCCGGCGCCCAGCCCGCTGCCGCCCTCGCCTGCACCGCCCAGCCCGGCGCCGCCCTCGCCGGCGCCCAGCCCGCTGCCGCCCTCGCCTGCACCGCCCAGCCCGGCGCCACCCTCGCCGGCACCCAGCCCGCTGCCGCCCTCGCCTGCGCCGCCCAGCCCGGCACCGCCCTCGCCGGCACCCAGCCCGCTCCCGCCCTCGCCTGCGCCGCCCAGCCCGGCACCGCCGTCGCCGGCACCCAGCCCGCTGCCGCCTTCGCCTGCACCGCCCAGCCCGGCACCGCCCTCGCCGGCACCCAGCCCGCTGCCTCCCTCGCCTGCACCGCCCAGCCCGGCACCGCCCTCGCCGGCACCCAGCCCGCTGCCGCCCTCGCCTGCACCGCCCAGCCCGGCACCGCCGTCGCCGGCACCCAGCCCGCTGCCGCCTTCGCCTGCACCGCCCAGCCCGGCACCGCCCTCGCCGGCACCCAGCCCGCTGCCGCCCTCGCCTGCACCGCCCAGTCCGGCGCCACCCTCGCCGGCACCCAGCCCGCTGCCGCCCTCGCCTGCGCCGCCCAGCCCGGCACCGCCCTCGCCGGCAACCAGCCCGCTCCCGCCCTCGCCTGCGCCGCCCAGCCCGGCACCGCCGTCGCCGGCACCCAGCCCGCTGCCGCCTTCGCCTGCACCGCCCAGCCCGGCACCGCCCTCGCCGGCACCCAGCCCGCTGCCTCCCTCGCCTGCACCGCCCAGCCCGGCACCGCCCTCGCCGGCACCCAGCCCGCTGCCGCCCTCGCCTGCACCGCCCAGCCCGGCACCGCCGTCGCCGGCACCCAGCCCGCTGCCGCCTTCGCCTGCACCGCCCAGCCCGGCACCGCCCTCGCCGGCACCCAGCCCGCTGCCGCCCTCGCCTGCACCGCCCAGCCCGGCACCGCCCTCGCCGGCACCCAGCCCGCTCCCGCCCTCGCCTGCGCCGCCCAGCCCGGCACCGCCGTCGCCGGCACCCAGCCCGCTGCCGCCCTCGCCTGCACCGCCCAGCCCGGCACCGCCCTCGCCGGCGCCCAGCCCGGCACCGCCCTCGCCTGCACCGCCCAGCCCGGCACCGCCGTCGCCGGCATCCAGCCCGCTGCCGCCCTCGCCTGCACCGCCCAGCCCGGCACCGCCCTCGCCGGCACCCAGCCCGCTGCCGCCCTCGCCTGCACCGCCCAGCCCGGCACCGCCCTCGCCGGCGCCCAGCCCGGCACCGCCCTCGCCTGCACCGCCCAGCCCGGCACCGCCCTCGCCGGCGCCCAGCCCGCTGCCGCCCTCGCCTGCGCCGCCCAGCCCGGCACCGCCCTCGCCGCCACCCAGCCCGCTGCCGCCCTCGCCTGCACCGCCCAGCCCGGCACCGCCCTCGCCGGCGCCCAGCCCGGCACCGCCCTCGCCTGCACCGCCCAGCCCGGCACCGCCCTCGCCGGCACCCAGCCCCCTGCCGCCCTCGCCTGCACCGCCCAGCCCGGCACCGCCGTCGCCGGCACCCAGCCCCCTGCCGCCCTCGCCTGCACCGCCCAGCCCGGCACCGCCCTCGCCGGCGCCCAGCCCGGCACCGCCCTCGCCTGCACCGCCCAGCCCGGCACCGCCCTCGCCGGCACCCAGCCCGCTGCCGCCCTCGCCTGCACCGCCCAGCCCGGCACCGCCCTCGCCGGCACCCAGCCCGCTGCCGCCCTCGCCTGCACCGCCCAGCCCGGCACCGCCCTCGCCGGCACCCAGCCCGCTGCCGCCCTCGCCTGCGCCGCCCAGCCCGGCACCGCCCTCGCCGGCACCCAGCCCGCTGCCGCCCTCGCCTGCGCCGCCCAGCCCGGCACCGCCGTCGCCGGCACCCAGCCCCCTGCCGCCCTCGCCTGCACCGCCCAGCCCGGCACCGCCCTCGCCGGCGCCCAGCCCGGCACCGCCCTCGCCTGCACCGCCCAGCCCGGCACCGCCCTCGCCGGCACCCAGCCCCCTGCCGCCTTCGCCTGCACCGCCCAGCCCGGCACCGCCCTCGCCGGCACCCAGCCCGCTGCCGCCCTCGCCTGCACCGCCCAGCCCGGCGCCACCCTTGCCGGCACCCAGCCCGCTCCCGCCCTCGCCTGCACCGCCCAGCCCGGCACCGCCCTCGCCGGCACCCAGCCCGCTGCCGCCCTCGCCTGCGCCGCCCAGCCCGGCACCGCCGTCGCCGGCACCCAGCCCCCTGCCGCCCTCGCCTGCACCGCCCAGCCCGGCACCGCCCTCGCCGGCGCCCAGCCCCCTGCCGCCCTCGCCTGCACCGCCCAGCCCGGCACCGCCCTCGCCGGCACCCAGCCCGCTGCTGCCCTCGCCTGCACCGCCCAGCCCGGAACCGCCCTCGCCGGCGCCCAGCCCGCTGCCGCCCTCGCCTGCACCGCCCAGCCCGGCGCCACCCTCGCCGGCACCCAGCCCGCTGCCGCCCTCGCCTGCGCCGCCCAGCCCGGCACCGCCGTCGCCGGAACCCAGCCCGCTGCCGCCCTCGCCTGCGCCGCCCAGCCCGGCACCGCCCTCGCCGGCACCCAGCCCCCTGCCGCCCTCGCCTGCACCGCCCAGCCCGGCACCGCCCTCGCCGGCACCCAGCCCGCTGCCGCCCTCGCCTGCACCGCCCAGCCCGGCACCGCCCTCACCGGCGCCCAGCCTGCTGCCGCCGTCGCCTGCACCGCCCAGCCCGGCGCCACCCTCTCCGGCACCCAGCCCGCTGCCGCCGTCGCCTGCACCGCCCAGCCCGGCACCGCCCTCGCCGGCACCCAGCCCGCTGCCGCCTTCGCCTGCACCGCCCGGCCCGGCACCGCCCTCGCCTGCACCGCCCAGCCCGGCACCCCCCTCGCCAGCACCCAGCCCGCTGCCGCCCTCGCCTGCGCCGCCCAGCCCGGCACCGCCCTCGCCAGCGCCCAGCCCGCTGCCGCCCTCGCCTGCACCGCCCAGCCCGGCACCACCCTCGCCGGCGCCCAGCCCGCTCCCGCCCTCGCCTGCGCCGCCTAGCCCGGCTCCGCCCTCGCCGGCACCCAGCCCGGTGCCGCCCTCGCCTGCACCGCCCAGCCCAGCACCACCCTCGCCTGCACCGCTCAGCCCGCTTCCGCCCTCGCCTGCACCGCCCAGCCCGGCACCGCCCTCGCCGGCGCCCAGCCCGCTGCCGCCCTCGCCTGCACCGCCCAGCCCGGCACCGCCCTCGCCGGCGCCCAGCCCGCTGCCGCCCTCGCCTGCACCGCCCAGCCCGGCACCGCCCTCACCGGCGCCCAGCCCCCTGCCGCCCTCGCCTGCACCGCCCAGCCCGGCACCGCCCTCGCCGGCACCCAGCCCGCTGCCGCCCTCGCTTGCACCGCCCAGCCCGGCACCGCCATCTCCTGTCCCTCCTAGCCCGCCGTGTTTGTACGGGGATGCTGGCAACGACAGTACATTGCAGGTTGGCGACCCCACGGTACGTGAACAATCAACGTTAGCATGTATATAGGTAGCTTTTTTTATTTCTGTCTGACCTTTAATTCTCATCTCTGCAGAATGGCATCGAGACATGCACGGATCAGGCCAGCTGCATCGATGTGTATGTGGATGGCCGGACATGCTTCTCACTCGGGGACGACGACAGCAGCAGCAATGGAGACGGCGCATGGCTGTACTGCCCAGTTTGCTTGTACTGGAGCAACAGTCGTGCCAGCTGCGTCAAGCCTACCCAAGATACCGTCAGCCATGTGTGCATGGGCGACCGTTTCTTCCCAGTAATGCCAAGCCCCGAGAACCCGCCGACGGCTGGCGATACACAGCAAATGAAGGACTGGCGCTCTGGCACTGACAGTAAGTGTGCACCTCCGATGCTATGTTTCTCTCTACCTACCACGTGTCCTTAAACTCCTACCCGCCCTTCCTCTGTGCTTTGGCGTGCCGTTCGCAGGTCGATACTGCCAGTGGATTCGGTGGAACAGCACCAACTTTGGCACGGAGACCGTCAGGTTTAGTGTCAAGGACGGCAGCGGTTCATGCCGGGATGGTAAGTCTCTGGCCCCAAACCCACGATGCCATGATGTATTTTCTTATCGACCATCTTAGCATCGCTGGTTGCATGTTGTGACTGCCTCGTTAAACCGCTTGTCCCCGCCCCGACCTTCAACGCCCTGCAGCTTCGACTCCTTTGTCAGTCAGCCTTCAAGGCATTGCAGCAACTTGCCAAGCCCCGCGTACGGTCAACAGCACCGTCGCTGGCTGCGCAGCTGAGAATCAATCAAACGACTGCCTGTGGTCGTTTGAGATTCCCCGACCTGGCACGCAAGCGTTCCATTGTGCGGCGAGCTCTCCTCCGGAAGCACCAACGCCACCAGCCCCATGGCCTCCAAGTCCAGCGCCGTCCTCGTCACGGCCGCCAAGCCCTCGGCCCCCATCCCCACGGCCTCCAAAGCCAATGCCGCCATCCCCACGCCCTCCAAGGCCGTCCCCTCCACCTGCACCGCCCAGTCCGGCACCGCCCTCGCCGGCACCGCCCAGCCCGGTGCCGCCCTCGCCGGCACCGCCCAGTCCGGCACCGCCCTCGCCGGCACCCAGCCCGCTGCCGCCCTCGCCTGCACCGCCCAGCCCGGCACCGCCCTCGCCGGCACCCAGCCCGCTGCCGCCCTCGCCTGCACCGCCCAGCCCGGCACCGCCCTCGCCTGCACCCAGCCCGCTGCCGCCCTCGCCTGCACCGCCCAGCCCGGCACCGCCGTCGCCGGCGCCCAGCCCGCTGCCGCCCTCGCCTGCGCCGCCCAGCCCGGCACCGCCGTCGCCGGCACCCAGCCCGCTGCCGCCCTCGCCTGCACCGCCCAGCCCGGCACCGCCCTCGCCGGCACCCAGCCCGCTGCCGCCCTCGCCTGCACTGCCCAGCCCGGCACCGCCCTCGCCGGCGCCCAGCCCGGTGCCGCCCTCGCCTGCACCGCCCAGCCCGGCACCGCCCTCGCCGGCACCCAGCCCGCTGCCGCCCTCGCCTGCACCGCCCAGCCCAGCACCACCCTCGCCGGCGCCCAGCCCGCTGCCGCCCTCGCCTGCACCGCCCAGCCCGGCACCGCCCTCGCCGGCACCCAGCCCGCTGCCGCCCTCGCCTGCGCCGCCCAGCCCGGCACCGCCCTCGCCGGCGCCCAGCCCGCTGCCGCCCTCGCCTGCACCGCCCAGCCCGGCACCGCCCTCGCCGGCGCCCAGCCCGCTGCCGCCCTCGCCTGCACCGCCCGGCCCGGCACCGCCCTCGCCGGCACCCAGCCCGCTGCCGCCCTCGCCTGCACCGCCCAGCCCGGCACCACCCTCGCCGGCACCCAGCCCGCTGCCGCCCTCGCCTGCACCGCCCAGCCCGGCACCGCCCTCGCCGGCACCCAGCCCGCTGCCGCCCTCGCCTGCACCGCCCAGCCCAGCACCACCCTCGCCGGCGCCCAGCCCGCTGCCGCCCTCGCCTGCACCGCCCAGCCCGGCACCGCCCTCGCCGGCACCCAGCCCGCTGCCGCCCTCGCCTGCACCGCCCAGCCCGGCACCGCCCTCGCCGGCGCCCAGCCCGCTGCCGCCCTCGCCTGCACCGCCCAGCCCGGCACCGCCCTCGCCGGCGCCCAGCCTGCTGCCGCCCTCGCCTGCACCGCCCAGCCCGGCACCGCCCTCGCCGGCACCCAGCCCCCTGCCGCCCTCGCCTGCACCGCCCAGCCCGGCACCACCCTCGCCGGCACCCAGCCCGCTGCCGCCCTCGCCTGCGCCGCCCAGTCCGGCACCGCCCTCGCCGGCACCCAGCCCGCTGCCGCCCTCGCCTGCACCGCCCAGCCCGGCACCGCCCTCACCGGCACCCAGCCCGCTGCCACCCTCGCCTGCACCGCCCAGCCCGGCACCACCCTCGCCGGCGCCCAGCCCGCTGCCGCCCTCGCCTGCACCGCCCAGCCCGGCACCGCCCTCGCCGGCACCCAGCCCGCTCCCGCCCTCGCCTGCACCGCCCAGCCCGGCACCGCCCTCGCCGGCACCCAGCCCCCTGCCGCCCTCGCCTGCACCGCCCAGCCCAGCACCACCCTCGCCGGCGCCCAGCCCGCTGCCGCCCTCGCCTGCGCCGCCCAGTCCGGCACCGCCCTCGCCGGCACCCAGCCCGCTGCCGCCCTCGCCTGCACCGCCCAGCCCGGCACCGCCCTCGCCGGCACCCAGCCCCCTGCCGCCCTCGCCTGCACCGCCCAGCCCGGCACCACCCTCGCCGGCACCCAGCCCGCTGCCGCCCTCGCCTGCGCCGCCCAGTCCGGCACCGCCCTCGCCGGCACCCAGCCCGCTGCCGCCCTCGCCTGCACCGCCCAGCCCGGCACCGCCCTCACCGGCACCCAGCCCGCTGCCACCCTCGCCTGCACCGCCCAGCCCGGCACCACCCTCGCCGGCGCCCAGCCCGCTGCCGCCCTCGCCTGCACCGCCCAGCCCGGCACCGCCCTCGCCGGCACCCAGCCCGCTCCCGCCCTCGCCTGCACCGCCCAGCCCGGCACCGCCCTCGCCGGCACCCAGCCCCCTGCCGCCCTCGCCTGCACCGCCCAGCCCAGCACCACCCTCGCCGGCGCCCAGCCCGCTGCCGCCCTCGCCTGCGCCGCCCAGTCCGGCACCGCCCTCGCCGGCACCCAGCCCGCTGCCGCCCTCGCCTGCACCGCCCAGCCCGGCACCGCCCTCACCGGCACCCAGCCCGCTGCCACCCTCGCCTGCACCGCCCAGCCCGGCACCACCCTCGCCGGCGCCCAGCCCGCTGCCGCCCTCGCCTGCACCGCCCAGCCCGGCGCCACCCTCGCCGGCACCCAGCCCGCTGCCGCCCTCGCCTGCACCGCCCAGCCCGGCACCGCCCTCGCCGGCACCCAGCCCGCTGCCGCCCTCGCCTGCACCGCCCAGCCCAGCACCACCCTCGCCGGCGCCCAGCCCGCTGCCGCCCTCGCCTGCACCGCCCAGCCCGGCACCGCCCTCGCCGGCACCCAGCCCGCTGCCGCCCTCGCCTGCGCCGCCTAGCCCGGCACCGCCCTCGCCGGCACCCAGCCCGCTGCCGCCCTCGCCTGCACCGCCCAGCCCGGCACCGCCCTCGCCGGCACCCAGCCCGCTGCCGCCCTCGCCTGCACCGCCTAGCCCGGCACCACCCTCGCCGGCACCCAGCCCGCTGCCGCCCTCGCCTGCACCGCCCAGCCCGGCACCGCCGTCGCCGGCACCGCCCAGCCCGCTCCCGCCCTCGCCTGCGCCGCCCAGCCCGGCACCGCCGTCGCCGGCACCCAGCCCGCTGCCGCCCTCGCCTGCGCCGCCCAGCCCGGCACCGCCCTCGCCGGCACCCAGCCCCCTGCCGCCCTCGCCTGCACCGCCCAGCCCAGCACCACCCTCGCCGGCACCCAGCCCGCTGCCGCCCTCGCCTGCACCGCCCAGCCCGGCACCGCCCTCGCCGGCACCCAGCCCGCTGCCGCCCTCGCCTGCACCGCCCAGCCCAGCACCACCCTCGCCGGCGCCCAGCCCGCTGCCGCCCTCGCCTGCGCCGCCCAGCCCGGCACCGCCCTCGCCGGCACCCAGCCCCCTGCCGCCCTCGCCTGCACCGCCCAGCCCAGCACCACCCTCGCCGGCACCCAGCCCGCTGCCGCCCTCGCCTGCACCGCCCAGCCCGGCACCGCCCTCGCCGGCACCCAGCCCGCTGCCGCCCTCGCCTGCACCGCCCAGCCCAGCACCACCCTCGCCGGCGCCCAGCCCGCTGCCGCCCTCGCCTGCACCGCCCAGCCCGGCACCGCCCTCGCCGGCACCCAGCCCGCTGCCGCCCTCGCCTGCGCCGCCTAGCCCGGCACCGCCCTCGCCGGCACCCAGCCCGCTGCCGCCCTCGCCTGCGCCGCCTAGCCCGGCACCGCCCTCGCCGGCACCCAGCCCGCTGCCGCCCTCGCCTGCACCGCCCAGCCCAGCACCACCCTCGCCGGCGCCCAGCCCGCTGCCGCCCTCGCCTGCACCGCCCAGCCCGGCACCGCCCTCGCCGGCACCCAGCCCGCTGCCGCCCTCGCCTGCACCGCCCAGCCCGGCACCGCCCTCGCCTGCACCCAGCCCGCTGCCGCCGTCGCCCGCACCGCCCAGCCCGGCACCACCCTCGCCGGCACCCAGCCCGCTGCCGCCCTCGCCTGCACCGCCCAGCCCGGCACCGCCCTCGCCGGCACCCAGCCCGCTGCCGCCCTCGCCTGCGCCGCCTAGCCCGGCACCGCCCTCGCCGGCACCCAGCCCGCTGCCGCCCTCGCCTGCACCGCCCAGCCCTGCACCACCCTCGCCGGCGCCCAGCCCGCTGCCGCCCTCGCCTGCACCGCCCAGCCCGGCACCGCCCTCGCCGGCACCCAGCCCGCTGCCGCCCTCGCCTGCACCGCCCAGCCCGGCACCGCCCTCGCCGGCACCCAGCCCGCTGCCGCCCTCGCCTGCACCGCCCAGCCCAGCACCACCCTCGCCGGCGCCCAGCCCGCTGCCGCCCTCGCCTGCACCGCCCAGCCCGGCACCGCCCTCGCCGGCACCCAGCCCGCTGCCGCCCTCGCCTGCGCCGCCTAGCCCGGCACCGCCCTCGCCGGCACCCAGCCCGCTGCCGCCCTCGCCTGCACCGCCCAGCCCAGCACCACCCTCGCCGGCGCCCAGCCCGCTGCCGCCCTCGCCTGCACCGCCCAGCCCGGCACCGCCCTCGCCGGCACCCAGCCCGCTGCCGCCCTCGCCTGCACCGCCCAGCCCGGCACCGCCCTCGCCGGCACCCAGCCCGCTGCCGCCCTCGCCTGCGCCGCCTAGCCCGGCACCGCCCTCGCCGGCACCCAGCCCGCTGCCGCCCTCGCCTGCACCGCCCAGCCCGGCACCGCCGTCGCCGGCACCCAGCCCGCTGCCACCCTCGCCTGCACCGCCCAGCCCGGCACCACCCTCGCCGGCGCCCAGCCCGCTGCCGCCCTCGCCTGCACCGCCCAGCCCGGCGCCACCCTCGCCGGCACCCAGCCCGCTCCCGCCCTCGCCTGCACCGCCCAGCCCGGCACCGCCCTCGCCGGCACCCAGCCCGCTGCCGCCCTCGCCTGCACCGCCCAGCCCAGCACCACCCTCGCCGGCGCCCAGCCCGCTGCCGCCCTCGCCTGCACCGCCCAGCCCGGCACCGCCCTCGCCGGCACCCAGCCCGCTGCCGCCCTCGCCTGCGCCGCCTAGCCCGGCACCGCCCTCGCCGGCACCCAGCCCGCTGCCGCCCTCGCCTGCACCGCCCAGCCCGGCACCGCCCTCGCCGGCCCCCAGCCCGCTGCCGCCCTCGCCTGCACCGCCCAGCCCGGCACCGCCCTCGCCTGCACCCAGCCCGGTGCCGCTCTCGCCTGCACCGCCCAGCCCGGCACCACCCTCGCCGGCGCCAAGCCCGCTGCCGCCCTCGCCTGCACCGCCCAGCCCGGCGCCACCCTCGCCGGCACCCAGCCCGCTGCCGCCTTCGCCTGCACCGCCCAGCCCGGCACCGCCCTCGCCGGCACCCAGCCCGCTGCCGCCCTCGCCTGCACCGCCCAGCCCGGCACCGCCCTCGCCTGCACCCAGCCCGCTGCCGCCGTCGCCCGCACCGCCCAGCCCGGCACCACCCTCGCCGGCACCCAGCCCGCTGCCGCCTTCGCCTGCACCGCCCAGCCCGGCACCGCCCTCGCCGGCACCCAGCCCGCTGCCGCCCTCGCCTGCACCGCCTAGCCCGGCACCACCCTCGCCGGCACCCAGCCCGCTGCCGCCCTCGCCTGCACCGCCCAGCCCGGCACCGCCGTCGCCGGCACCGCCCAGCCCGCTCCCGCCCTCGCCTGCGCCGCCCAGCCCGGCACCGCCGTCGCCAGCACCCAGCCCGCTGCCGCCCTCGCCTGCGCCGCCCAGCCCGGCACCGCCCTCGCCGGCACCCAGCCCCCTGCCGCCCTCGCCTGCACCGCCCAGCCCAGCACCACCCTCGCCGGCACCCAGCCCGCTGCCGCTCTCGCCTGCACCGCCCAGCCCGGCACCGCCCTCGCCGGCACCCAGCCCGCTGCCGCCCTCGCCTGCACCGCCCAGCCCAGCACCACCCTCGCCGGCACCCAGCCCGCTGCCGCCCTCGCCTGCACCGCCCAGCCCGGCACCGCCCTCGCCGGCACCCAGCCCGCTGCCGCCCTCGCCTGCGCCGCCTAGCCCGGCACCGCCCTCGCCGGCACCCAGCCCGCTGCCGCCCTCGCCTGCGCCGCCTAGCCCGGCACCGCCCTCGCCGGCACCCAGCCCGCTGCCGCCCTCGCCTGCACCGCCCAGCCCAGCACCACCCTCGCCGGCGCCCAGCCCGCTGCCGCCCTCGCCTGCACCGCCCAGCCCGGCACCGCCCTCGCCGGCACCCAGCCCGCTGCCGCCCTCGCCTGCACCGCCCAGCCCGGCACCGCCCTCGCCTGCACCCAGCCCGCTGCCGCCGTCGCCCGCACCGCCCAGCCCGGCACCACCCTCGCCGGCACCCAGCCCGCTGCCGCCCTCGCCTGCACCGCCCAGCCCGGCACCGCCCTCGCCGGCACCCAGCCCGCTGCCGCCCTCGCCTGCGCCGCCTAGCCCGGCACCGCCCTCGCCGGCACCCAGCCCGCTGCCGCCCTCGCCTGCACCGCCCAGCCCTGCACCACCCTCGCCGGCGCCCAGCCCGCTGCCGCCCTCGCCTGCACCGCCCAGCCCGGCACCGCCCTCGCCGGCACCCAGCCCGCTGCCGCCCTCGCCTGCACCGCCCAGCCCGGCACCGCCCTCGCCGGCACCCAGCCCGCTGCCGCCCTCGCCTGCACCGCCCAGCCCAGCACCACCCTCGCCGGCGCCCAGCCCGCTGCCGCCCTCGCCTGCACCGCCCAGCCCGGCACCGCCCTCGCCGGCACCCAGCCCGCTGCCGCCCTCGCCTGCACCGCCCAGCCCGGCACCGCCCTCGCCGGCACCCAGCCCGCTGCCGCCCTCGCCTGCACCGCCCAGCCCGGCACCGCCATCTCCTGTCCCTCCTAGCCCGCCATGTTTGTACGGGGATGCTGGCAACGACAGTACATTGCAGTTTGGCGACCCCACGGTACGTGAACAATCGACGTTAGCATGTATATAGGTAGCTTTTTTATTTCTGTCTGACCTTTAATTCTCATCTCTGCAGAATGGCATCGAGACATGCACGGATCAGGCCAGCTGCATCGATGTGTATGTGGATGGCCGGACATGCTTCTCACTCGGGGACGACGACAGCAGCAGCAATGGAGACGGCGCATGGCTGTACTGCCCAGTTTGCTTGTACTGGAGCAACAGTCGTGCCAGCTGCGTCAAGCCTACCCAAGATACCGTCAGCCATGTGTGCATGGGCGACCGTTTCTTCCCAGTAATGCCAAGCCCCGAGAACCCGCCGACGGCTGGCGATACACAGCAAATGAAGGACTGGCGCTCTGGCACTGACAGTAAGTGTGCACCTCCGATGCTATGTTTCTCTCTACCTACCACGTGTCCTTAAACTCCTACCCGCCCTTCCTCTGTGCTTTGGCGTGCCGTTCGCAGGTCGATACTGCCAGTGGATTCGGTGGAACAGCACCAACTTTGGCACGGAGACCGTCAGGTTCAGTGTCAAGGACGGCAGCGGTTCATGCCGGGATGGTAAGTCTCTGGCCCCAAACCCACGATGCCATGATGTATCTTCTTTCGACCATCTTAGCAACGCTGGTTGCATGTTGTGACTGCCTCGTTAAACCGCTTGTCCCCGCCCCGACCTTCAACGCCCTGCAGCTTCGACTCCTTTGTCAGTCAGCCTTCAAGGCATTGCAGCAACTTGCCAAGCCCCGCGTACGGTCAACAGCACCGTCGCTGGCTGCGCAGCTGAGAATCAATCAAACGACTGCCTGTGGTCGTTTGAGATTCCCCGACCTGGCACGCAAGCGTTCCATTGTGCGGCGAGCTCTCCTCCGGCAAGACCAACACCACCAGCCCCATGGCCTCCAAGTCCAGCGCCGTCCTCGTCACGGCCGCCAAGCCCTCGGCCCCCATCCCCACGGCCTCCAAAGCCAATGCCGCCATCCCCACGCCCTCCAAGGCCGTCCCCTCCACCTGCACCGCCCAGCCCGGCACCGCCCTCGCCGGCACCGCCCAGCCCGGTGCCGCCCTCGCCGGCACCGCCCAGTCCGGCACCGCCCTCGCCGGCACCCAGCCCGCTGCCGCCCTCGCCTGCACCGCCCAGCCCGGCACCGCCCTCGCCGGCACCCAGCCCGCTGCCGCCCTCGCCTGCGCCGCCCAGCCCGGCACCGCCCTCGCCGGCACCCAGCCCGCTCCCGCCCTCGCCTGCGCCGCCCAGCCCGGCACCGCCGTCGCCTGCACCCAGCCCGCTGCCGCCCTCGCCTGCACCGCCCAGCCCGGCACCGCCCTCGCCGGCGCCCAGCCCGCTGCCGCCCTCGCCTGCACCGCCCAGCCCGGCACCGCCGTCGCCGGCACCCAGCCCGCTGCCGCCCTCGCCGGCACCGCCCAGCCCGGCACCGCCCTCGCCTGCACCCAGCCCGCTGCCGCCCTCGCCTGCACCGCCCAGCCCGGCGCCACCCTCTCCGGCACCCAGCCCGCTGCCGCCCTCGCCTGCACCGCCCAGCCCGGCACCGCCGTCGCCGGCACCCAGCCCGCTGCCGCCCTCGCCTGCACCGCCCAGTCCGGCACCGCCCTCGCCGGCGCCCAGCCCGCTGCCGCCCTCGCCTGCACCGCCCAGCCCGGCGCCACCCTCTCCGGCACCCAGCCCGCTGCCGCCCTCGCCTGCACCGCCCAGTCCGGCACCGCCCTCGCCGGCACCCAGGCCTCTGCCGCCCTCGCCTGCACCGCCCAGCCCGGCGCCACCCTCTCCGGCACCCAGCCCGCTGCCGCCCTCGCCTGCACCGCCCAGCCCGGCACCGCCCTCGCCGGCACCCAGCCCGCTGCCGCCCTCGCCTGCACCGCCCAGCCCGGCACCGCCCTCGCCGGCGCCCAGCCCGCTGCCGCCCTCGCCTGCACCGCCCAGCCCGGCACCGCCCTCGCCGGCGCCCAGCCCGCTGCCGCCCTCGCCTGCACCGCCCAGCCCGGCGCCACCCTCTCCGGCACCCAGCCCGCTGCCGCCCTCGCCTGCACCGCCCAGCCCGGCACCACCCTCGCCGGCACCCAGCCCGCTCCCGCCCTCGCCTGCACCGCCCAGCCCGGCACCGCCCTCGCCGGCACCCAGCCCGCTCCCGCCCTCGCCTGCGCCGCCCAGCCCGGCACCGCCGTCGCCGGCACCCAGCCCGCTGCCGCCCTCGCCTGCACCGCCCAGCCCGGCACCGCCCTCGCCGGCACCCAGCCCGCTGCCGCCCTCGCCTGCACCGCCCAGCCCGGCACCGCCCTCGCCGGCGCCCAGCCCGCTGCCGCCCTCGCCTGCGCCGCCCAGCCCGGCACCGCCCTCGCCGGCACCCAGCCAGCTGCCGCCCTCGCCTGCACCGCCCAGCCCGGCACCACCCTCGCTGGCACCCAGCCCGCTCCCGCCCTCGCCTGCACCGCCCAGCCCGGCACCGCCCTCGCCGGCACCCAGCCCGCTCCCGCCCTCGCCTGCGCCGCCCAGCCCGGCACCGCCGTCGCCGGCACCCAGCCCGCTGCCGCCCTCGCCTGCGCCGCCCAGCCCAGCACCACCCTCGCCGGCACCCAGCCCGCTGCCGCCCTCGCCTGCACCGCCCAGCCCAGCACCACCCTCGCCGGCGCCCAGCCCGCTGCCGCCCTCGCCTGCACCGCCCAGCCCGGCGCCACCCTCGCCGGCACCCAGCCCGCTGCCGCCCTCGCCTGCGCCGCCCAGCCCGGCACCGCCCTCGCCGGCGCCCAGCCCGCTGCCGCCCTCGCCGGCACCGCCCAGCCCGGCACCGCCCTCGCCTGCACCCAGCCCGCTGCCGCCCTCGCCTGCACCGCCCAGCCCGGCGCCACCCTCTCCGGCACCCAGCCCGCTGCCGCCCTCGCCTGCACCGCCCAGTCCGGCACCGCCCTCGCCGGCGCCCAGCCCGCTGCCGCCCTCGCCTGCACCGCCCAGCCCGGCACCGCCGTCGCCGGCACCCAGCCCGCTGCCGCCCTCGCCGGCACCGCCCAGTCCGGCACCGCCCTCGCCGGCGCCCAGCCCACTGCCGCCCTCGCCTGCACCGCCCAGCCCGGCACCGCCGTCGCCGGCACCCAGCCCGCTGCCGCCCTCGCCGGCACCGCCCAGTCCGGCACCGCCCTCGCCGGCGCCCAGCCCGCTGCCGCCCTCGCCTGCACCGCCCAGCCCGGCGCCACCCTCTCCGGCACCCAGCCCGCTGCCGCCCTCGCCTGCACCGCCCAGCCCGGCACCGCCCTCGCCGGCGCCCAGCCCGCTGCCGCCCTCGCCTGCACCGCCCAGCCCTGCACCGCCCTCGCCGGCACCCAGCCCGCTGCCGCCCTCGCCTGAACCGCCCAGCCCGGCACCACCCTCGCCGGCACCCAGCCCGCTCCCGCCCTCGCCTGCACCGCCCAGCCCGGCACCGCCCTCGCCGGCACCCAGCCCGGCACCACCCTCGCCTGCGCCGCCTAGCCCGGCACCACCCTCGCCGGCACCCAGCCCGTTGCCGCCCTCGCCTGCAACGCCCAGCCCGGCACCACCCTCGCCAGCACCCAGCCCGGCACCGCCCTCGCCTGCACCGCCCAGCCCGGCACCACCCTCGCCGGCACCCAGCCCGCTGCCGCCCTCGCCTGCACCGCCCAGCCCGGCACCGCCCTCGCCGGCACCCAGCCCGCTGCCGCCCTCGCCTGCGCCGCCCAGCCCGGCACCGCCGTCGCCGGCACCCAGCCCGCTGCCGCCCTCGCCTGCACCGCCCAGCCCGGCACCGCCCTCGCCGGCACCCAGCCCGCTGCCGCCCTCGCCTGCGCCGCCCAGCCCGGCACCGCCCTCGCCGGCACCCAGCCAGCTGCCGCCCTCGCCTGCACCGCCCAGCCCGGCACCACCCTCGCTGGCACCCAGCCCGCTCCCGCCCTCGCCTGCACCGCCCAGCCCGGCACCGCCCTCGCCGGCACCCAGCCCGCTCCCGCCCTCGCCTGCGCCGCCCAGCCCGGCACCGCCGTCGCCGGCACCCAGCCCGCTGCCGCCCTCGCCTGCGCCGCCCAGCCCGGCACCACCCTCGCCGGCACCCAGCCCGCTGCCGCCCTCGCCTGCACCGCCCAGCCCAGCACCACCCTCGCCGGCGCCCAGCCCGCTGCCGCCCTCGCCTGCACCGCCCAGCCCGGCGCCACCCTCGCCGGCACCCAGCCCGCTGCCGCCCTCGCCTGCGCCGCCCAGCCCGGCACCGCCCTCGCCGGCGCCCAGCCCGCTGCCGCCCTCGCCTGCACCGCCCAGCCCGGCACCGCCCTCGCCGGCACCCAGCCCGCTGCCGCCCTCGCCTGCGCCGCCCAGCCCGGCACCGCCCTCGCCGGCACCCAGCCCGCTCCCGCCCTCGCCTGCACCGCCCAGCCCGGCACCGCCGTCGCCGGCACCCAGCCCGCTGCCGCCCTCGCCGGCACCGCCCAGCCCGGCACCGCCCTCGCCTGCACCCAGCCCGCTGCCGCCCTCGCCTGCACCGCCCAGCCCGGCGCCACCCTCTCCGGCACCCAGCCCGCTGCCGCCCTCGCCTGCACCGCCCAGCCCGGCACCGCCCTCGCCGGCATCCAGCCCGCTGCCGCCCTCGCCTGCACCGCCCAGCCCTGCACCGCCCTCGCCTGCACCCAGCCCGGCACCGCCCTCGCCGGCACCCAGCCCGCTGCCGCCCTCGCCTGCACCGCCCAGCCCGGCACCGCCCTCGCCGGCACCCAGCCCGCTGCCGCCCTCGCCTGCACCGCCCAGCCCGGCACCGCCCTCGCCGGCACCCAGCCCGCTGCCGCCCTCGCCTGCGCCGCCCAGCCCGGCACCGCCCTCACCGGCACCCAGCCCGCTGCCGCCCTCGCCTGCGCCGCCCAGCCCGGCACCGCCCTCACCGGCACCCAGCCCGCTGCCGCCCTCACCTGCGCCGCCCAGCCCGGCACCACCCTCGCCGGCACCCAGCCCGCTGCCGCCCTCGCCGGCACCACCCAGCCCGCTGCCGCCCTCGCCTGTACCGCCCAGCCCGGCACCGCCCTCGCCGGCACCCAGCCCGCTGCCGCCCTCGCCTGCACCGCCCAGCCCGGCACCGCCCTCGCCGGCACCCAGCCCGCTCCCGCCCTCGCCTGCACCGCCCAGCCCGGCACCGCCCTCGCCGGCACCCAGCCCGCTGCCGCCCTCGCCTGCACCGCCCAGCCCGGCACCGCCCTCGCCTGCACCCAGCCCGCTGCCGCCCTCGCCTGCGCCGCCCAGCCCGGCACCGCCGTCGCCGGCACCCAGCCCGCTGCCGCCCTCGCCTGCACCGCCCAGCCCGGCACCGCCCTCGCCGGCACCCAGCCCGCTGCCGCCCTCGCCTGCGCCGCCCAGCCCGGCACCGCCCTCGCCGGCACCCAGCCAGCTGCCGCCCTCGCCTGCACCGCCCAGCCCGGCACCACCCTCGCTGGCACCCAGCCCGCTCCCGCCCTCGCCTGCACCGCCCAGCCCGGCACCGCCCTCGCCGGCACCCAGCCCGCTCCCGCCCTCGCCTGCGCCGCCCAGCCCGGCACCGCCGTCGCCGGCACCCAGCCCGCTGCCGCCCTCGCCTGCGCCGCCCAGCCCAGCACCACCCTCGCCGGCACCCAGCCCGCTGCCGCCCTCGCCTGCACCGCCCAGCCCAGCACCACCCTCGCCGGCGCCCAGCCCGCTGCCGCCCTCGCCTGCACCGCCCAGCCCGGCGCCACCCTCGCCGGCACCCAGCCCGCTGCCGCCCTCGCCTGCGCCGCCCAGCCCGGCACCGCCCTCGCCGGCGCCCAGCCCGCTGCCGCCCTCGCCTGCACCGCCCAGCCCGGCACCGCCCTCGCCGGCACCCAGCCCGCTGCCGCCCTCGCCTGCGCCGCCCAGCCCGGCACCGCCCTCGCCGGCACCCAGCCCGCTCCCGCCCTCGCCTGCACCGCCCAGCCCGGCACCGCCGTCGCCGGCACCCAGCCCGCTGCCGCCCTCGCCGGCACCGCCCAGCCCGGCACCGCCCTCGCCTGCACCCAGCCCGCTGCCGCCCTCGCCTGCACCGCCCAGCCCGGCGCCACCCTCTCCGGCACCCAGCCCGCTGCCGCCCTCGCCTGCACCGCCCAGCCCGGCACCGCCCTCGCCGGCACCCAGCCCGCTGCCGCCCTCGCCTGCACCGCCCAGCCCTGCACCGCCCTCGCCTGCACCCAGCCCGGCACCGCCCTCGCCGGCACCCAGCCCGCTGCCGCCCTCGCCTGCACCGCCCAGCCCGGCACCGCCCTCGCCGGCACCCAGCCCGCTGCCGCCCTCGCCTGCACCGCCCAGCCCGGCACCGCCCTCGCCGGCACCCAGCCCGCTGCCGCCCTCGCCTGCGCCGCCCAGCCCGGCACCGCCCTCACCGGCACCCAGCCCGCTGCCGCCCTCGCCTGCGCCGCCCAGCCCGGCACCGCCCTCACCGGCACCCAGCCCGCTGCCGCCCTCACCTGCGCCGCCCAGCCCGGCACCACCCTCGCCGGCACCCAGCCCGCTGCCGCCCTCGCCGGCACCACCCAGCCCGCTGCCGCCCTCGCCTGTACCGCCCAGCCCGGCACCGCCCTCGCCGGCACCCAGCCCGCTGCCGCCCTCGCCTGCACCGCCCAGCCCGGCACCGCCCTCGCCGGCACCCAGCCCGCTCCCGCCTTCGCCTGCACCGCCCAGCCCGGCACCGCCCTCGCCGGCACCCAGCCCGCTGCCGCCCTCGCCTGCACCGCCCAGCCCGGCACCGCCCTCGCCTGCACCCAGCCCGCTGCCGCCCTCGCCTGCGCCGCCCAGCCCGGCACCGCCCTCACCGGCACCCAGCCCGCTGCCGCCATCGCCTGCACCGCCCAGCCCGGCACCGCCCTCGCCGGCACCCAGCCCGCTGCCGCCCTCGCTTGCACCGCCCAGCCCGGCACCGCCATCTCCTGTCCCTCCTAGCCCGCCATGTTTGTACGGGGATGCTGGCAACGACAGTACATTGCAGTTTGGCGACCCCACGGTACGTGAACAATCGACGTTAGCATGTATATAGGTAGCTTTTTTATTTCTGTCTGACCTTTAATTCTCATCTCTGCAGAATGGCATCGAGACATGCACGGATCAGGCCAGCTGCATCGATGTGTATGTGGATGGCCGGACATGCTTCTCACTCGGGGACGACGACAGCAGCAGCAATGGAGACGGCGCATGGCTGTACTGCCCAGTTTGCTTGTACTGGAGCAACAGTCGTGCCAGCTGCGTCAAGCCTACCCAAGATACCGTCAGCCATGTGTGCATGGGCGACCGTTTCTTCCCAGTAATGCCAAGCCCCGAGAACCCGCCGACGGCTGGCGATACACAGCAAATGAAAGACTGGCGCTCTGGCACTGACAGTAAGTGTGCACCTCCGATGCTATGTTTCTCTCTACCTACCACGTGTCCTTAAACTCCTACCCGCCCTTCCTCTGTGCTTTGGCGTGCCGTTCGCAGGTCGATACTGCCAGTGGATTCGGTGGAACAGCACCAACTTTGGCACGGAGACCGTCAGGTTTAGTGTCAAGGACGGCAGCGGTTCATGCCGGGATGGTAAGTCTCTGGCCCCAAACCCACGATGCCATGATGTATCTTCTTATCGACCATTTTAGCAACGCTGGTTGCATGTTGTGACTGCCTCGTTAAACCGCTTGTCCCCGCCCCGACCTTCAACGCCCTGCAGCTTCGACTCCTTTGTCAGTCAGCCTTCAAGGCATTGCAGCAACTTGCCAAGCCCCGCGTATGGTCAACAACACCGTCGCTGGCTGCGCAGCTGAGAATCAATCAAACGACTGCCTGTGGTCGTTTGAGATTCCCCGACCTGGCACGCAAGCGTTCCACTGTGCGGCGAGCTCTCCTCCGGAAGCACCAACACCACCAGCCTCATTGCCTCCAAGTCCAGCGCCGTCCTCGTCACGGCCGCCAAGCCCTCGGCCCCCATCCCCACGGCCTCCAAAGCCAATGCCGCCATCCCCACGCCCTCCAAGGCCGTCCCCTCCACCTGTGCCACCCAGCCCGGCACCGCCCTCGCCGGCACCCAGCCCGCTGCCGCCCTCGCCTGCGCCGCCTAGCCCGGCACCGCCCTCGCCGGCACCCAGCCCGCTGCCGCCCTCGCCTGCGCCACCCGACCCGGCTCCGCCCTCGCCGGCGCCCAGCCCGCTGCCGCCCTCGCCTGCACCGCCCAGCCCGGCACCGCCCTCGCCTGCACCCAGCCCGCTGCCGCCCTCGCCTGCACCGCCCAGTCCGGCACCGCCCTCGCCGGCGCCCAGCCCGCTGCCGCCCTCGCCTGCACCGCCCAGCCCGGCGCCGTCCTCGCCGGCACCCAGCCCGCTGCCGCCGTCGCCTGCACCGCCCAGCCCGGCACCACCCTCGCCGGCACCCAGCCCGCTGCCGCCCTCGCCTGCACCGCCCAGCCCGGCACCGCCCTCGCCGGCGCCCAGCCCGCTGCCGCCCTCGCCTGCACCGCCCAGCCCGGCACCGCCCTCGCCGGCACCCAGCCCGCTCCCGCCCTCGCCTGCGCCGCCTAGCCCGGCACCACCCTCGCCGGCACCCAGCCCGCTGCCGCCTTCGCCTGCGCCGCCCAGCCCGGCACCGCCCTCGCCGGCACCCAGCCCGCTGCCGCCCTCGCCTGCGCCGCCCAGCCCGGCACCGCCCTCGCCTGCACCCAGCCCGCTGCCGCCCTCGCCTGCACCGCCCAGCCCTGCACCGCCCTCGCCGGCGCCCAGCCCGCTGCCGCCTTCGCCTGCACCGCCCAGCCCGGCACCGCCCTCGCCGGCACCCAGCCCGCTGCCGCCCTCGCCTGCACCGCCCAGCCCGGCACCGCCCTCGCCTGCACCCAGCCCGCTGCCGCCCTCGCCTGCACCGCCCAGCCCGGCACCGCCCTCGCCGGCACCCAGCCCGCTGCCGCCTTCGCCTGCACCGCCCAGCCCGGCACCGCCCTCGCCGGCGCCCAGCCCGCTGCCGCCCTCGCCTGCACCGCCCAGCCCGGCACCACCCTCGCCGGCGCCCAGCCCGCTGCCGCCCTCGCCTGCACCGCCCAGCCCGGCACCGCCCTCGCCAGCACCCAGCCCGCTGCCGCCCTCGCCAGCACAGCCCAGCCCGGCACCGCCCTCGCCGGCGCCCAGCCCGCTGCCGCCCTCGCCTGCACCGCCCAGCCCGGCACCGCCCTCGCCGGCACCCAGCCCGCTGCCGCCCTCGCCTGCGCCGCCCAGCCCGGCACCGCCCTCGCCTGCACCCAGCCCGCTGCCGCCCTCGCCTGCACCGCCCAGCCCTGCACCGCCCTCGCCGGCGCCCAGCCCGCTGCCGCCTTCGCCTGCACCGCCCAGCCCGGCACCGCCCTCGCCGGCACCCAGCCCGCTGCCGCCCTCGCCTGCACCGCCCAGCCCGGCACCGCCCTCGCCTGCACCCAGCCCGCTGCCGCCCTCGCCTGCACCGCCCAGCCCGGCACCGCCCTCGCCGGCACCCAGCCCGCTGCCGCCTTCGCCTGCACCGCCCAGCCCGGCACCGCCCTCGCCGGCGCCCAGCCCGCTGCCGCCCTCGCCTGCACCGCCCAGCCCGGCACCACCCTCGCCGGCGCCCAGCCCGCTGCCGCCCTCGCCTGCACCGCCCAGCCCGGCACCACCCTCGCCAGCACCCAGCCCGGCACCGCCCTCGCCTGCACCGCCCAGCCCGGCACCGCCCTCGCCGGCACCCAGCCCGCTGCCGCCCTCGCCTGCACCGCCCAGCCCGGCACCGCCCTCGCCGGCACCCAGCCCGCTGCCGCCCTCGCCTGCGCCGCCCAGCCCGGCACCGCCGTCGCCGGCACCCAGCCCGCTGCCGCCCTCGCCTGCACCGCCCAGCCCGGCACCGCCCTCGCCGGCACCCAGCCCGCTGCCGCCCTCGCCTGCGCCGCCCAGCCCGGCACCGCCCTCGCCGGCACCCAGCCCGCTGCCGCCCTCGCCTGCACCGCCAAGCCCGGCACCACCCTCGCCGGCACCCAGCCCGCTGCCGCCCTCGCCTGCGCCGCCCAGCCCGGCACCGCCGTCGCCGGCACCCAGCCCGCTGCCGCCGTCGCCTGCACCGCCCAGCCCGGCACCGCCCTCGCCGGCACCCAGCCCGCTGCCGCCGTCGCCTGCACCGCCCAGCCCGGCACCACCCTCGCCGGCACCCAGCCCGCTGCCGCCCTCGCCTGCACCGCCCAGCCCGGCGCCGTCCTCGCCGGCACCCAGCCCGCTCCCGCCCTCGCCTGCGCCGCCTAGCCCGGCACCACCCTCGCCTGCGCCGCCTAGCCCGGCACCACCCTCGCCGGCACCCAGCCCGTTGCCGCCCTCGCCTGCAACGCCCAGCCCGGCACCACCCTCGCCAGCACCCAGCCCGGCACCGCCCTCGCCTGCACCGCCCAGCCCGGCACCACCCTCGCCGGCACCCAGCCCGCTGCCGCCCTCGCCTGCACCGCCCAGCCCGGCACCGCCCTCGCCGGCACCCAGCCCGCTGCCGCCCTCGCCTGCGCCGCCCAGCCCGGCACCGCCGTCGCCGGCACCCAGCCCGCTGCCGCCCTCGCCTGCACCGCCCAGCCCGGCACCGCCCTCGCCGGCACCCAGCCCGCTGCCGCCCTCGCCTGCGCCGCCCAGCCCGGCACCGCCCTCGCCGGCACCCAGCCCGCTGCCGCCTTTGCCTGCGCCGCCCAGCCCGGCACCGCCCTCGTCGGCACCCAGCCCGCTGCCGCCCTCGCCTGCGCCACCCAGCCCGGCACCGCCCTCACCGGCGCCCAGCCCGGTGCCGCCCTCGCCTGCACCGCCCAGCCCGGCACCGCCCTCGCCGGCACCCAGCCCGCTGCCGCCCTCGCCTGCACCGCCCAGCCCGGCACCGCCCTCGCCGGCACCCAGCCCGCTGCCGCCCTCGCCTGCACCGCCCAGCCCGGCACCGCCCTCGCCGGCACCCAGCCCGCTGCCGCCCTCGCCTGCGCCGCCCAGCCCGGCACCGCCCTCGCCGGCACCCAGCCCGCTGCCGCCTTTGCCTGCGCCGCCCAGCCCGGCACCGCCCTCGCCGGCACCCAGCCCGCTGCCGCCCTCGCCTGCGCCACCCAGCCCGGCACCACCCTCGCCGGCACCCAGCCCGCTGCCGCCCTCGCTTGCACCGCCCAGCCCGGCACCGCCATCTCCTGTCCCTCCTAGCCCGCCGTGTTTGTACGGGGATGCTGGCAACGACAGTACATTGCAGGTTGGCGACCCCACGGTACGTGAACAATCAACGTTAGCATGTAAATAGGTAACTTTTTTATTTCTGTCTGACCTTTAATTCTCATCTCTGCAGAATGGCATCGAGACATGCACGGATCAGGCCAGCTGCATCGATGTGTATGTGGATGGCCGGACATGCTTCTCACTCGGGGACGACGACAGCAGCAGCAATGGAGACGGCGCATGGCTGTACTGCCCAGTTTGCTTGTACTGGAGCAACAGTCGTGCCAGCTGCGTCAAGCCTACCCAAGATACCGTCAGCCATGTGTGCATGGGCGACCGTTTCTTCCCAGTAATGCCAAGCCCCGAGAACCCGCCGACGGCTGGCGATACACAGCAAATGAAGGACTGGCGCTCTGGCACTGACAGTAAGTGTGCACCTCCGATGCTATGTTTCTCTCTACCTACCACGTGTCCTTAAACTCCTACCCGCCCTTCCTCTGTGCTTTGGCGTGCCGTTCGCAGGTCGATACTGCCAGTGGATTCGGTGGAACAGCACCAACTTTGGCACGGAGACCGTCAGGTTTAGTGTCAAGGACGGCAGCGGTTCATGCCGGGATGGTAAGTCTCTGGCCCCAAACCCACGATGCCATGATGTATCTTCTTTCGACCATCTTAGCAACGCTGGTTGCATGTTGTGACTGCCTCGTTAAACCGCTTGTCCCCGCCCCGACCCCCAACGCCCTGCAGCTTCGACTCCTTTGTCAGTCAGCCTTCAAGGCATTGCAGCAACTTGCCAAGCCCCGCGTATGGTCAACAACACCGTCGCTGGCTGCGCAGCTGAGAATCAATCAAACGACTGCTTGTGGTCGTTTGAGATTCCCCGACCTGGCACGCAAGCGTTCCACTGTGCGGCGAGCTCTCCTCCGGAAGCACCAACACCACCAGCCTCATTGCCTCCAAGTCCAGCGCCGTCCTCGTCACGGCCGCCAAGCCCTCGGCCCCCATCCCCACGGCCTCCAAAGCCAATGCCGCCATCCCCACGCCCTCCAAGGCCGTCCCCTCCACCTGTGCCACCCACCCTGGCACCCCCCTCTCCAGCGCCCAGCCCGCTCCCGCCCTCGCCTGCGCCGCCAAGCCCGGCACCGCCCTCGCCGGCACCCAGCCCGGCTCCGCCCTCGCCTGCGCCGCCCAGCCCGGCACCGCCCTCGCCGGCACCCAGCCCGGCTCCGCCCTCGCCTGCGCCGCCCAGCCCGGCACCGCCCTCGCCGGCACCCAGCCCGCTGCCGCCCTCGCCTGCACCGCCCAGCCCGGCACCGCCCTCGCCGGCGCCCAGCCCGCTGCCGCCCTCGCCTGCACCGCCCAGCCCGGCACCGCCCTCGCCAGCACCCAGCCCGCTGCCGCCCTCGCCTGCACCGCCCAGCCCGGCACCGCCCTCGCCGGCGCCCAGCCCGGTGCCGCCCTCGCCTGCGCCTCCCAGCCCGGCACCGCCCTCGCCGGCGCCCAGCCCGGCACCACCCTCGCCGGCACCCAGCCCGCTGCCGCCCTCGCCTGCACCGCCCAGCCCGGCACCGCCCTCGCCGGCGCCCAGCCCGGCACCGCCCTCGCCTGCACCGCCCAGCCCGGCACCGCCCTCGCCGGCACCCAGCCCGGCTCCGCCCTCGCCTGAACCGCCCTCGCCTGCACCGCCCAGCCCGGCACCGCCCCCGCCGGCGCCCAGCCCGGCACCCTCGCCTGCACCGCCCAGCCCGGCACCGCCCTCGCCGGCACCCAGCCCGCTGCCGCCTTCGCCTGCACCGCCCAGCCCGGCACCGCCCTCGCCGGCGCCCAGCCCGCTGCCGCCCTCGCCTGCACCGCCCAGCCCGGCACCGCCCTCGCCGGCACCCAGCCCGGCTCCGCCCTCACCTGCACCGCCCAGCCCGGCACCGTCCTCGCCTGCACCCCCTAGCACGGCACCGTCCTCGCCGGCTACCAGCCCGCTGCCGCCCTCGCCTGTGCCGCCCAGCCCGGCACCGCCCTCGCCGGCGCCCAGCCAGCTGCCGCCCTCGCTTGCACCGCCCAGCCCGGCACCGCCCTCGCCTGCACCCAGCCCGCTGCCGCCCTCGCCAGCACCGCCCAGCCCGGTACCGCCCTCGCCGGCACCCAGCCCGCTGCCGCCCTCGCCTGCACCGCCCAGCCCGGCACCGCCCTCGCCGGCACCCAGCCCGCTGCCGCCCTCGCCTGCACCGCCCAGCCCGGCACCGCCCTCGCCGGCACCCAGCCCGGTGCCGCCCTCACCTGCACCGCCCAGCCCGGCATCGCCCTCGCCGGCACCCAGCCCGGTGCCGCCCTCACCTGCACCGCCCAGCCCAGCACCGCCCTCACCGGCACCCAGCCCGCTGCCGCCCTCGCCTGCACCGCCCAGCCCGGCACCGCCCTCGCCGGCACCCAGCCCGCTGCCGCCCTCGCTTGCACCGCCCAGCCCGGCACCGCCATCTCCTGTCCCTCCTAGCCCGCCGTGTTTGTACGGGGATGCTGGCAACGACAGTACATTGCAGCTTGGCGACCCCACGGTGCGTGAGCAATCAACGTTGGCATGTATATAGGTAGCGTTTTTATTTCTGTCTGACCTGTAACACTCATCTCTGCAGAATGGCATCGAGACATGCACGGATCAGGCCAGCTGCATCGATGTGTATGTGGATGGCCGGACATGCTTCTCACTCGGGGACGACGACAGCAGCAGCAATGGAGACGGCGCATGGCTGTACTGCCCAGTTTGCTTGTACTGGAGCAACAGTCGTGCCAGCTGCGTCAAGCCTACCCAAGATACCGTCAGCCATGTGTGCATGGGCGACCGTTTCTTCCCAGTAATGCCAAGCCCCGAGAACCCGCCGACGGCTGGCGATACACAGCAAATGAAGGACTGGCGCTCTGGCACTGACAGTAAGTGTGCACCTCCGATGCTATGTTTCTCTCTACCTACCACGTGTCCTTAAACTCCTACCCGCCCTTCCTCTGTGCTTTGGCGTGCCGTTCGCAGGTCGATACTGCCAGTGGATTCGGTGGAACAGCACCAACTTTGGCACGGAGACCGTCAGGTTTAGTGTCAAGGACGGCAGCGGTTCATGCCGGGATGGTAAGTCTCTGGCCCCAAACCCACGATGCCATGATGTATCTTCTTATCGACCATTTTAGCAACGCTGGTTGCATGTTGTGACTGCCTCGTTAAACCGCTTGTCCCCGCCCCGACCCCCAACGCCCTGCAGCTTCGACTCCTTTGTCAGTCAGCCTTCAAGGCATTGCAGCAACTTGCCAAGCCCCGCGTACGGTCAACAGCACCGTCGCTGGCTGCGCAGCTGAGAATCAATCAAACGACTGCCTGTGGTCGTTTGAGATTCCCCGACCTGGCACGCAAGCTTTCCACTGTGTGGCGAGCTCTCCTCCGGAAGCACCAACGCCACCAGCCGCATTGCCTCCAAGTCCAGCGCCGTCCTCGTCACGGCCGCCAAGCCCTCGGCCCCCATCCCCACGGCCTCCAAAGCCAATGCCGCCATCCCCACGCCCGCCAAGGCCGTCCCCTCCACCTATGCCACCCACCCTGGCACCCCCCTCTCCAGCGCCCAGCCCGCTCCCGCCCTCGCCTGCGCCGCCGAGCCCGGCGCCGCCCTCGCCTGTGCCGAGCCCGCTGCCGCCCTCGCCTGCCCCGCCCAGCCCGGCACCGCCCTCGCCGGCGCCCAGCCCGCTGCCGCCCTCGCCTGCGCCGCCCAGCCCGGCATCGCCCTCGCCCGCGCCCAGCCCGCTGACGCCCTCGCCTGCCCCGCCCAGTCCGGCACCGCCCTCGCCAGCACCCAGCCCGCTGACGCCCCCGCCTGCGCCGCCCAGCCCGGCGCCGCCCTCGCCTGCGCCGAGCCCGCTGCCGCCCTCACCTGCGACGCCCAGCTCGCTCCCGCCCTCGCCGGCACCCAGCCCGCTGCCGCCCTCGCCTGCGCCGCCCAGCCCGGCACCGCCCTCGCCGGCACCCAGCCCGCTCCCGCCCTCGCCTGCCCCGCCCAGTCCGGCACCGCCCTCGCCGGCACCCAGCCCGCTGCCGCCCTCGCCTGCGCCGCCCAGCCCGGCATCGCCCTCGCCAGCACCCAGCCCGCTGCCGCCCTCGCCTGCACCGCCCAGCCCGGCACCGCCCTCCCCGGCGCCTAGCCCGCTGCCGCCCTCGCCTGCATCGCCCAGCCCGGCACCGCCCTCGCCGGCACCGCCCAGCCCGGCGCCGCCCTCGCCTGCGCCGCCCAGCCCGGCACCGCCCTCGCCTGCGCCCAGCCAGCTGACGATCTCGCCTGCACCGCCCAGCCCGGAACCGCCCTTGCCTGCGCCCAGCCCGCTGCCGCCCTCGCCTGCACCGCCCAGCCCGGCACCGCCCTCGCCGGCACCGCCCAGCCCGGCGCCGCCCTCGCCTGCGCCGCCCAGCCCGGCACCGCCCTCGCCTGCGCCCAGCCAGCTGACGATCTCGCCTGCACCGCCCAGCCCGGCACCGCCCTTGCCTGCGCCCAGCCCGCTGCCGCCCTCGCCTGCGCCGCCCAGCCCGGCACCGCCCTCGCCAGCACCCAGCCCGCTGCCGCCCTCGCCTGCACCGCCCAGCCCGGCAACGCCCTCGCCAGCACCCAGCCCGCTGCCGTCCTCGCCTGCACCGCCCAGCCCGGCACCGCCATCTCCTGTCCCTCCCAGCCCGCCTTGTTTGTACGGGGATGCTGGCAACGACAGTACATTGCAGCTTGGCGACCCCACGGTGCGTGAGCAATCAACGTTAGTACGTTTATAGGTAACTTTTTTATTTCTGTCTAACCTGTAATTCTCATCCCTGCAGAATGGCATCGAGACATGCACGGATCAGGCCAGCTGCATCGATGTGTATGTGGATGGCCGGACATGCTTCTCACTCGGGGACGACGACAGCAGCAGCAATGGAGACGGCCCATGGCTGTACTGCCCAGTTTGCTTGTACTGGAGCAACAGTCGTGCCAGCTGCGTCAAGCCTACCCAAGATACCGTCAGCCATGTGTGCATGGGCGACCGTTTCTTCCCAGTAATGCCAAGCCCCGAGAACCCGCCGACGGCTGGCGATACACAGCAAATGAAGGACTGGCGCTCTGGCACTGACAGTAAGTGTGCACCTCCGATGCTATGTTTCTCTCTACCTACCACGTGTCCTTAAACTCCTACCCGCCCTTCCTCTGTGCTTTGGCGTGCCGTTCGCAGGTCGATACTGCCAGTGGATTCGGTGGAACAGCACCAACTTTGGCACGGAGACCGTCAGGTTTAGTGTCAAGGACGGCAGCGGTTCATGCCGGGATGGTAAGTCTCTGGCCCCAAACCCACGATGCCATGATGTATTTTCTTATCGACCATCTTAGCATCGCTGGTTGCATGTTGTGACTGCCTCGTTAAACCGCTTGTCCCCGCCCCGACCTTCAACGCCCTGCAGCTTCGACTCCTTTGTCAGTCAGCCTTCAAGGCATTGCAGCAACTTGCCAAGCCCCGCGTACGGTCAACAACACCGTCGCTGGCTGCGCAGCTGAGAATCAATCAAACGACTGCCTGTGGTCGTTTGAGATTCCCCGACCTGGCACGCAAGCGTTCCACTGTGCGGCGAGCTCTCCTCCGGAAGCACCAAGGCCACCAGCCGCATTGCCTCCAAGTCCAGCACCGTCCTCGTCACGGCCGCCAAGCTCTCAGCCTCCATCCCCACGGCCGCCAAAGCCAATGCCGCCATCCCCACGCCCGCCAAGGCCGTCCCCTCCACCTATGCCACCAATCATGGCGCCCCCCTCTCCTGTGCCAAGCCCGGCGCCTCCATCACCTGAGCCTCCAAGCCCTGAACAAACGCCGACTCCCAGCCCGCTGCCGCCCTCGCCTGCACCGCCCAGCCCGGCACCGCCCTCGCTGACACCCAGCCCGGCACCGCCCTCGTCTGCGCCCCTCCCGCTGCCCCCCACACCTGCACCGCCCAGCCCGGCACCGCCCTCGCCTGCGCCCAGCCCGCTGACGATCTTGCCTGCACCGCCCAGCCCGGCACCGCCCTCGCCGGCGCCCAACCCGCTGACGCCCACGCCTGCACCGCCCAGCCCGGCACCGATCTCGCCGGCACCCAGCCACCTCCCGCCCTTACCGGCACCGCCCAGCCCGGCACCGCCCTCGCCGGTACCCAGCCCGCTGCCGTCCTCGCCTGCACCGCCCAGCCCGGCACCGCCATCTCCTGTCCCTCCCAGCCCGCCTTGTTTGTACGGGGATGCTGGCAACGACAGTACATTGCAGCTTGGCGACCCCACGGTACGTGAACAATCAACGTTAGCATGAAAATAGGTAGCTTTTTTTTAATTTCTGTCTGACCTGTAATTCTGATCCCTGCAGAATGGCATCGAGACATGCACGGATCAGGCCAGCTGCATCGATGTGTATGTGGATGGCCGGACATGCTTCTCACTCGGGGACGACGACAGCAGCAGCAATGGAGACGGCGCATGGCTGTACTGCCCAGTTTGCTTGTACTGGAGCAACAGTCGTGCCAGCTGCGTCAAGCCTACCCAAGATACCGTCAGCCATGTGTGCATGGGCGACCGTTTCTTCCCAGTAATGCCAAGCCCCGAGAACCCGCCGACGGCTGGCGATACACAGCAAATGAAGGACTGGCGCTCTGGCACTGACAGTAAGTTTCTACCGCCCTCGCTGTGTATCTCTTTGCTTAAGACGTATCCTTAAACTACTCCTACCCGCCCTTCCTCTGTGCTTTGGCGTGCCGTTCGCAGGTCGATACTGCCAGTGGATTCGGTGGAACAGCACCAACTTTGGCACGGAGACCGTCAGGTTTAGTGTCAAGGACGGCAGCGGTTCATGCAGGGATGGTAAGTCTCTGGCCCCAAACCCACGATGCCATGAGGTATCTTCTTATCGACCATCTTAGCATCGCTGGTTGCATGTTGTGACTGCCTTGTTGAGCCGCTTGTCCCCGCCCCGACCCCCAACGCCCTGCAGCTTCGACTCCTTTGTCAGTCAGCCTTCAAGGCATTGCAGCAACTTGCCAAGCCCCGCGTACGGTCAATAACACCGTCGCTGGCTGCGCAGCTGAGAATCAATCAAACGACTGCCTGTGGTCGTTTGAGATTCCCCGACCTGGCACGCAAGCGTTCCACTGTGCGGCGAGCTCTCCTCCGGAAGCACCAACACCACCAGCCTCATTGCCTCCAAGTCCAGCACCGTCCTCGTCACGGCCGCCAAGCTCTCGGCCTCCATCCCCACGGCCTCCAAAGCCAATGCCGCCATCCCCACGCCCTCCAAGGCCGTCCCCTCCACCTATGCCACCCACCCTGATACCCCCCTCTCCAGCTCCAAGCCCGTCGCCTCCCTCACCTAAGCCTCCAAGCCCCGAACAAACGCCGACTCCCAGCCCGCTGCCGCCCTCGCCTGCACCGCCCAGCCCGGCACCGCCCTCGCCGGCACCCAGCCCGGCACCGCACTCGCCGGTGCCCATCCCGCTGAATCCGTCACCCAGGCCCCCAAGCCCATCTTCTCTGTCTCCACCCAGTCCGCGACCACCCGCACCGCCGCCACGCCCGTCTCCTTCACCCCCTAGCCCGCCACCTCCTAGGCCACCACCAACGCCACCGTCGCCGTCTCCTTTCCCGCCCGGTTGGGCACCTCTAGCACCACCATCGAGTCCGCTGCCACCTTCATTGCCACCACCCAGCCCACCGCCATCGCCCCGGCCACCGCCGCTACATCCTAGGCCTCCGCATCCGCCCCTTCCACCCGGCACCAGTCCTTGCATATACTGGAACCCAGGAGAGGACAGTGGGCTTGAGCCAGGCAATCCAACGGTAAGTCGCCCTTAGACGGGCTAATCCGGCTTACCAACATTTGAGAAAGGTGCAAACTGCCACCAGACGTTTAAGGAATTCCTCTTACCATTTCAATCGTCCCATATTCGTATCTTAACGTTGACCAGGAGGGCCTTGAGACCTGCATGGACCAAGCCAGCTGCTTGGATGTGTATGTGGACGACAGCACGTGCATGATGGTGGAAGATCCTGACAACACCAACAGCACCGAGTCCTGGCTGTACTGCGAGGTGTGCTTGTACTGGAGTGACAGCCGTCCCAGCTGCGCCAAGCGCATCGACGATACCGTCAGCCACGTCTGCATGGGCGACCAGTTCCTTCCCGTCATGCCTAGTATTGAGAGCACGCCAACAGTCGGGGAAACATACGTTGTAACGAACTGGAGCTCGGGTGTTGACAGTAAGTGCTTGTAATTCGGACACATATGCTGGGGTTGTGTTTGGAATTGGAAGTGATAGTGCGCTAATTCTTCCTGTATCTATCCGTAAATCCGCTAACACTTTCTGTGTCTGTCAAACAGACCGATATTGCCAGTGGACCCGATGGAGCAGCACCAACAATGATGCGCAGAATGTGCAATTTACGGTCAAGGATGGCAGTGGCACATGCCGTGACGGTAAGTTCATGTTGAACCTGTTAAAGCATTTTATCTGCGGGTGTGACTAACTTCCTAAACAACCCCCTAGGTGGCATGTAGTAGCTTCCCCTACTTATTCTATTTCGCTATTTTCCTCTTCTCTGCAGTCTCGACCCCGTTGTCGGTCACCCTGCAAGGCATAGGCGCCACATGCCAGGGCCCACGTGTCGTCAACGACACTGTGGCTGGCTGCGGTATCGACGATGGCTCTAATGACTGTCTCTGGTCCTTCAACATTCCAAGACCTGGAACGCCAGGGTTTAACTGCGCGCCAAATCCGCCTATGTCACCCAGTCCTCGACCGCCATCCCCAGTGCCACCAAGCCCTCCACCACCATCCCCGCTTCCTCCAAGCCCTCAAGCGCCGTCCCCAAGCCCACCAAGCCCACAACCGCCAACACCCCGGCCTCCAAAGCCTCCATCACCGCCGACGCCATCACCCTCACCTAGGCCGCCCAGCCCGGCACCGCCCTCGCCTGCGCCCAGCCCGCTGCCGCCCTCGCCTGCACCGCCCAGCCCGGCACCGCCCTCGCCGACACCCAGCCCGGCACCGCACTCGCCGGTGCCCATCCCGCTGAATCCGTCACCCAGGCCCCCAAGCCCATCTTCTTTGTCTCCACCCAGTCCGCGACCACCCGCACCGCCGCCACGCCCGTCTCCTTCACCCCCTAGCCCGCCACCTCCTAGGCCACCACCAACGCCACCGTCGCCGTCTCCTTTCCCGCCCGGTTGGGCACCTCTAGCACCACCATCGAGTCCGCTGCCACCTTCATTGCCACCACCCAGCCCACCGCCATCGCCCCGGCCACCGCCGCTACATCCTAGGCCTCCGCATCCGCCCCTTCCACCCGGCACCAGTCCTTGCATATACTGGAACCCAGGAGAGGACAGTGGGCTTGAGCCAGGCAATCCAACGGTAAGTCGCCCTTAGACGGGCTAATCCGGCTTACCAACATTTGAGAAAGGTGCAAACTGCCACCAGACGTTTAAGGAATTCCTCTTACCATTTCAATCGTCCCATATTCGTATCTTAACGTTGACCAGGAGGGCCTTGAGACCTGCATGGACCAAGCCAGCTGCTTGGATGTGTATGTGGACGACAGCACGTGCATGATGGTGGAAGATCCTGACAACACCAACAGCACCGAGTCCTGGCTGTACTGCGAGGTGTGCTTGTACTGGAGTGACAGCCGTCCCAGCTGCGCCAAGCGCATCGACGACACCGTCAGCCACGTCTGCATGGGCGACCAGTTCCTTCCCGTCATGCCTAGTATTGAGAGCACGCCAACAGTCGGGGAAACATACGTTGTAACGAACTGGAGCTCGGGTGTTGACAGTAAGTGCTTGTAATTCGGACACATATGCTGGGGTTGTGTTTGGAATTGGAAGTGATAGTGCGCTAATTCTTCCTGTATCTATCCGTAAATCCGCTAACACTTTCTGTGTCTGTCAAACAGACCGATATTGCCAGTGGACCCGATGGAGCAGCACCAACAATGATGCGCAGAATGTGCAATTTACGGTCAAGGATGGCAGTGGCACATGCCGTGACGGTAAGTTCATGTTGAACCTGTTAAAGCATTTTATCTGCGGGTGTGACTAACTTCCTAAACAACCCCCTAGGTGGCATGTAGTAGCTTCCCCTACTTATTCTATTTCGCTCTTTTCCTCTTCTCTGCAGTCTCGACCCCGTTGTCGGTCACCCTGCAAGGCATAGGCGCCACATGCCAGGGCCCACGTGTCGTCAACGACACTGTGGCTGGCTGCGGTATCGACGATGGCTCTAATGACTGTCTCTGGTCCTTCAACATTCCAAGACCTGGAACGCCAGGGTTTAACTGCGCGCCAAATCCGCCTATGTCACCCAGTCCTCGACCGCCATCCCCAGTGCCACCAAGCCCTCCACCACCATCCCCGCTTCCTCCAAGCCCTCAAGCGCCGTCCCCAAGCCCACCAAGCCCACAACCGCCAACACCCCGGCCTCCAAAGCCTCCATCACCGCCGACGCCATCACCCTCACCTAGGCCGCCCAGCCCGGCACCGCCCTCGCCTGCGCCCAGCCCGCTGCCGCCCTCGCCTGCACCGCCCAGCCCGGCACAGCCCTCGCCGGCGCCCAGCCCGCTGCCGCCCTCGCCTGCACCGCCCAGCCCGGCACCGCCCTCGCCGGCACCCAGCCCGCTGCCGCCCTCGCCTGCGCCACCCAGCCCGGCTCCGCCCTCGCCTGCACCGCCCAGCCCGGCACCGCCCTCGCCGGCACCCAGCCCGCTGCCGCCCTCGCCTACACCGCCCAGCCCGGCACCGCCCTCGCCAGCACCCAGCCCGCTGCCGCCCTCGCCTGCACCGCCCAGCCCGGCACCGCCCTCGCCGGCACCCAGCCCGCTGCCGCCCTCGCCTGCGCCGCCCAGCCCGGCACCGCCCTCGCCGGCACCCAGCCCGCTGCCGCCCTCGCCTGCACCGCCCAGCCCTGCACCGCCCTCGCCGGCGCCCAGCCCGCGGCCGCCCTCGCCTGCGCCGCCCAGCCCGGCACCGCCCTCGCCGGCGCCCAGCCCGCGGCCGCCCTCGCCTGCGCCGCCCAGCCCGGCACCGCCCTCGCCTGCGCCGCCCTCGCCTGCACCGCCCAGCCCGCGGCCGCCCTCGCCGGCGCCCAGCCCGCTGCCGCCCTCGCCTGCGCCGCCCAGCCCGGCACCGCCTTCGCCGGCGCCCAGCCCGCTGCCGCCCTCGCCTGCACCGCCCAGCCCGGCACCGCCCTCGCCGGCACCCAGCCCGCGGCCGCCCTCGCCTGCGCCGCCCAGCCCTGCACCGCCCTCGCCTGCACTACCCAGCCCGGCACCGCCCTCGCCGGCACCCAGCCCGCTGCCGCCCTCGCCTGCGCCGCCCAGCCCTGCGCTTTCGTACCGTCCACCTTCCCCCCCAAGTCCACCTGCGAACTGCACGTACTGGAACCCAGGAAACGACAGCGGTCTGGTCTCAGGCGACCCCCAGGTATGTTTCGGTGTTTGCAACCTGATAAACCCCCTATGTGGAGTTGCCAGAAATAATAACGAGTTGATCTTTGCAGGGTGGAATTGAGACATGCACGGACCAGGCAAGCTGTCTAGATGTCTACCTAGACGGAAGCACATGCAGCGTGGTCCAAGGTAGCAACGGGCCTTGGCTGTACTGCCAAGTGTGCCTGTACTGGAGCAACGATCGTGCATCCTGCGCCAAGTCTACCAAGGACTCCGTTAGCCACGTATGCATGGGCGACCAATTCCTCCCAGTTATGCCTACCCTTGGAAGCTCGCCAGCAATTGGAAACACTTATAAGCTGGATGGCTGGAGTTCAGGAGTAACCAGTAAGTTGGCTTTGATGTGGGGGACTTAATGCTGCATCCCCCTGCTTACCTGGCTACATAACGACTTGACCCGCAAAGCGTCCAGGTGTAAACAGCAACTAAATCGCCACAAAACCCTACTATGCAGATCGCTACTGCCAGTGGGCCCGCTGGAACAGCACCAACAATGACGCTGAAACCGTACGATTTACCGTCAAGGATGGTAGCGGTACATGCCGTAACGGTGAGTAGCCGTTATGACTGCGCTTTACGGGATAGTCATGCCCCGCTGTCTGTCAGTCCTAACTCACTGCACCCGTAATCACGCAGCGCCTACACCGTTGTCAGTCACCCTCAAGGGCATCACAGCAACGTGCCAAGACCCTCGCGTGGTCAACAATACCGTTGCCGGCTGTGGCGTTGGAGATCAGGACAACGAGTGCCTCTGGTCCTTCAATATCCCACGGCCTAGGGACAGATGTGCGCCGCCTTCACCACCGGTACCGCCTGCCCCGCGTCCTCCATCCCCTATGCCCCCAAGCCCCGCACCTACACCAGTGAGGTTGCCGCCACCTTCACCTTCCCCGCGCCCAAGCCCATTGCCGCCCTCGCCAGCGCCGCCTAGCTCCAACCCTTCAAACTCAAAGAAGAGCCCGCCGCCCCCGCCAAGCCCGAGTCCTCCGTCACCATCACCGCCAAGCCCTGCACCGCCCTCTCCAGTACCCCCGAACCCAGCACCGCCCTCTCCAGTACCGCCAAGCCCATCACCACCCTCGCCGCGACCAAGCCCACGTCCGCCTCCTCCAACCCCGCCGAGCCCCGCTCCCTCGCCCCCAGCCCCTCCACGCCCACCGCAGCCACCAACCCCGCCTCCTCCTCCCACAAGTGACTTCTGCCTGTACTCGAACCCAGGAAACGACTCTGGCATAGTGGCAGGCAACAAAAAGGTATGCCGCAGAGAGATATGTTAACTGGAAAGCACGGCCCATGAGACTGTACTAATTGCGCCCTGTAACTCTGTAGGGCGGTATCGAGACTTGCACCGACCAAGCTGGCTGCTTGGACGTGTACGTAGACGGCCGTACGTGCAGCATGACGCAAGGCAGTGGCGGCTCCTGGCTGTACTGCCAGGTTTGCCTGTACTGGAGCGACAATCGTGATGCATGCGTCAAGTCGGACACGGACACCGTCAGCCACGTATGCATGGGCGACCAGTTCTACCCAGTGATGCCGACTGCCGCGAGCTCACCTGCGGCTGGCAACACGTACAAGCTGGAAAGCTGGAGCGCGGGCGTCAACAGTAAGTGTGTGGGCCTGTTGCCTGCTATAGCGCAGTACTTTATGTGGACGCGGCACTTTATCAGGGACACTGGTCCGGACAGGTTGACCACTATCACAAACTGGCCTTTCATGTTTTTCGTAATTTTTCACAGATCGCTACTGCCAATGGGCTCGGTGGAACAGCTCGAACTACGGAACGGAGACCGTACGGTTCACTGTGAAGGACGGCAGTGGCACATGCCGGGATGGTAAGTTAGCGGATTCAGGGTGCATGCAAGGGATTGCCTGTGTAGCTGTGCATCCGTTTAAACCATCCTTACTACCCGTACCCCTCCTCGTGCGCTCTGCAGTGGCAACACCTTTGGCGGTCACCCTACAAGGCGTGTCCGGCACTTGCCAATCCCCACGCGTGGTCAACAACACCGTTGCTGGCTGCGGTACTGGAGACCAGGACAACGAGTGCCTCTGGTCGTTTAATATCCCACGGCCTGGCACCCCTGACTTCAAGTGCGCACCGCGTCCGCCTTCGCCACCCAGTCCGTCTCCACCAACCATACGGCCGCCATCACCTGCTCCGCGAAGCCCTCCGCCCCCTTCACCGCCTCCGCCAAGCCCGACGGCAGTTTCACTCGCTGGGCGGGCTTACTTCGTTGGCCCGACTGGTGCCTGCACGGTGAGGGTTGAGGAAGGACTATGACATGTTGCCTAATGCTGGATAATGAAGGTCTGGTTATTTTGTCCCATCCTTAGGGGATGAAACATTGTTTTTCCTGCTTGCATGTAGTAATGTCCCGACAGCTTACTAACCGAAGTACCTTCTGCCTGCAGGGTACTATTTCGGGTTCCTCGGGCAACGTTACAGCTTCGGCAAGCGGGGATGTCACAGCAAGCTGCGCAAAGGGATCATTGGTAAGTTGGCCTCACTTGACCGAAAACCTAGTCTACAGGGATTGCCAAATCCAACCGACGGCAGGAACTTTGACTCCTAACTTCAACTTGCGAACAAAAACGTAATCGCAGGTCACGGCCCAGCTTGGAACTTCGTGCACAGACGCGTACACCGGCTTGCGCTTGCCGTACAGCATTTCAGCGCCCTACTACGCTTCAGCAGGCGCCAATCAGCCGCTCGTAATCAGCCCCGTAACCAAGGTACTGCAGTACTGCGACGTGTCGTACCGAACCAGTGACTCTGCGGTGCAAACGGCATATGGCTTGTTCGGCATCTCCACCGGTTCGTCGACAAGGACGGGTGCCGTTGACGCGCTCAAGCATGCGGATGCCGACGTCAGGTACGATCGTGCGCTTAACCATTATCCATTCAATGTACATGGTGTCATCAAGTGTCCTCGCCCCCATTTTTACATTCCCTGCTATTAATCCGTCCGTCCGCTACGGCCTCTGGACTTGCAGGCTGTCGGGAGTACGGATGCTCTTCACGGATGCCTCTTTGTCATCACTCGTGGTCCTTGCCACCTCAGCCCTCAGTGCCCTGCCTGCCGGCAGAGTGCCTCTGTGCCGCACCAACGCTACAAAGGTTGACGCCATTTACACCACACTGGCCCAACGGGCGGAAGAATCTGGCCATGTCGACTTGCGCGCCGAAGGCCTGTTCAGCAGCGTCGTCCAAGACACGGCATACAACCTGTGCGGAGCAGCTGATGCTGATCTCACCGCCACAGAAGTATCGGACCTGTTCGCCCAGGCTGAGCTGCTTTACAATGCAGCCGTGGCAGAGCTTGCAATCGACGGGCCGCGTGCATCAGCATATGCAGCGCTCCCGCTGTATGCTTTGTCAGGTGCAATGCGTGTCGCGTATGTGACGCAAGGCAGAGCCCCTGCAGCGTTGGCAGCGGCAGCGAACGGCGACATGACGGCCGTCGAGCAGCTGGGCAACGGTGGGTTGGGTGGGTAATGAAATAACCAGCAACTTAGGTGACATAGCTTCATGGACCGATGCTTAGAGGGTAGTTCATGTCAACACAGTTTGTGCAATATCTTAACATCTCTTATCCTTCATGGTTTGCAGGTTGGGCTGATGAGCTTGCCGCCGCTCCTGTCAACTTAACCAAAATGGCGGACGCATTGGGCTTGGAGTCTGTCACGTCCGTCTCCGACGTGGACGTCCTGGTCCGCTCAACGGGTGCTCTAACAGATTGCCAGGTGCGTTTATGCGCAATAAGCGCCTTCGAAGCATGGCATTCCCCTGGTACTTAAGTACTATCCAGCTAGATGTGACCCATGGGTCTGACGTGCGTTCCCATGGAACCCCGCAGCTCGACGTCATGTACATGTACCCGTGGCGCAAGGCCGCGGTCACAACATCGTCTTCTGGATCTGCCTTCCTGGAGAGCGCCTCCAGCGCGCTGGTAGGTAACCGTTGACCTTTGCAACCTACATTCCCGTGGGCTGTTTTCAGGCTGCCATGTATGTGCTGGGCCCACTGTAAGGATAGGACATGCCTTGACTTTCCCTGTTACACGGTTTGCTCTGCAGGTGACCGTTCCCGCCGGCTGCTTTGATGTGGCAGTTTGGAGCAGTACCCAGCTTTCAATGCGGGCCCTGCTGCCTTTCCCCAGTGGCAGCAACGCCGTGGTCAATCCTTTGGCACATCTTGCGACGGAGACATTCTACGTGTCTGTTAACGGCTCCGCACCCCGTTACATTGCAACCGATGACTACACTCGGGTGTACGGAGCCTTCGGGCTGCTGCCGGAGGATCTGCCTGAAGGAACCGACTTTGTGCGCCAGGACTGGTCATCGGGCAGCATTATTGACCTACGCGCCAAGCTTGCCAACATGCGCCAGCTGGCAGTGATTGGCCCCACATGCCACTTCATAAGCGGTGAGCCTCTCCTCAGTCTGTCACATCCACCCTATAGCACAGATGCATTGGTACGGGACTGATGCTGCTTTTCACATACCAGGGCTTTGGTCATAGTATCAGTATCTCATACATGTTGGGAAAATCCTGACATGGAGTGCGACCCGACTGTGGTTGCTTGTTGGCTACCTTGCAGGCCTGTTCAGTGACACGATCAGCGGAGATACTGCTGCTGAGGAGGTACTTCCACGCATGGCCAAGGACCTGCTGTCGGGCACCATGAACATCACGGACACGGAGTACGTGAAGACCCTTATGTTCAGCAGCTATGACGCCCTGGCACAGCAACCAAGCAGGAGACGTCTGCAGGAAGTCCTCAGCGGCGACCTGGTGCGTTTGCGCAAGCGCTGCCTATGATGCAAAAATAGCTGCATACATGCCACCAGCCTCACTTTTTGGCCAAATTTCTATGATTGCATGGCGTTCTGTATGTCAGCATCAGGAGGTCAGCTGGGCTGCCACGTGATGCCGTCTCCACCTGCTTTCTTAACCTCCCACGGTCTGTCCCTCCATGCAGATTGACGGTGTGTTCACCTCGGTGGCCACCACTGTGGTTGCCAGCGTTGAATACCTGCTGGAGCTGGAGTACCAACTGCTGCACGGTACTTTTGACACAGTCAACAGTGTCAGTGTTACCAACGCCCTCATGCGAAACGCAGAGGGAGTGGCTATCGTGCAGCAGACCACGCTGCAGACCACCCTCGACACCCTCGCCGCCGCGGCAGTCTCGGGTGATGCAGCTGCCGCGTCTCGTATCACACCCACCCTTGAGGCTCAGTTCACTGGCGATGCTCTCAAGGCTCGGGTGAGGATGGGGTGCGGACGCAAAAGAGATGGGTGCACGCGCCTATGGCCTTGAGTGTGTTTGCGCGTGTTTAGTCCACCATTACTCCCTTAAACTCGATAGCAGGCAGATATAAGCAGTCTCCTGGGAATGGCTCGTATACTTCTAAACCTTCATGCCCTCGCCCGCGCAGGTTAAGGCGACTGCGTCCAGCCCACCGCCGCCGGGCCAGGTCCTGGTTGACCCAGGAACAGGCTCAGGCAGCAGCAGCAACACTACCTCCAGTGGCAGCGGCAGCAGCGTTGGCGCCAAGGTTGGCATCATTGCTGGCCTCACTGTTGGTGGCGCTCTCATTGCCATCCTCGCAGTCGTAGTGGTGCGTCGCGCCAAGAGGTCAAGCACCGTCGCTCTGGACCCCTACACTGCCCCGTCAGGCCCATCACAGCACCTGCATACCGAGTCTCATCGCCCCGGCTCCGAGGTGGAACCCCTGGCTAGCTCACTGCGCTTGGGAGAGGTGTCTACCATTGCACCACTTCCATCAAGTAGGCGGCCGATACTGCCGGATCCGCATGGTCCTGGTGGCATGCCATCTTCTTTCGTTTCATCGCAAGAGGTTCTGCCATCGCCTGCTGAAGAGCCCGGATCTGAGCAGCCAACGGAGGAGCAAGGCCGTCTCTTCACACCCTCGAAGCGGACCAGGCAGAGCAGCTCTGCACCCCCGGCGCTTGAGACCGACACCCTTCGCCTGCAGTCCATTGCGGACATGCCCGGCCAGCTGGGAAGCGCCAATCCACGTCGCTGGACAGGCCAACACCTGCTCTCCTCGCCGCCCCAGGCCGTGACAGAGCAGTCAAGGCTGGCCAAGACCACAAGCCACCAATCGCTTGCAGCCCGTCCCTCGCAACGCCGCGTCAGCGCACTCATCCAGCTGGATCGTGAGGTGCCGCCACGGCGTGTGACGCTGTCCGGATCTGACCTGTCACCTCGACCCGCCGCCCAGCAGGAGGAGAACAACTCTCGCCTGGCCGTCGTCTCCCGCGCCACCTTCGGCCGGCCGGTCAGTGAGCCGACTACGCAGAACCAGCGCCGCACAACGGTCTCGGGCGCAGGTGGAGAGCATCAGCGCAGCGGTGGCGCCACCCCGGGCAGCCCAGCAACACCGGCATCGGAGGACTACGTCTTCATCCCCAGGCCGCCACTCCGCCGACTCGCCGGGGCTGAGGGCTCTTCTGGGCCAGCGCCTCCCTCGCAGCGTGGGTCCACCGGAGACCTGTCGACGATGTCATGGTCTGCAGTTACCGCCCCCTTCCTGGAGGGCAACAACCGTAGGCCATCTCCTCGTGTAGCGCTCCTGATGAACTCCCGCTCGGGCGCTGTCCGGCCTGAGCCACCGCCGACTCCCGCGGAAACGCCTTAGGTAGCGGCTTTTGGTTTTCAGATGACCGCACCGAAGCTCGCTGAAGAGAGCAGGACCGGGTTCAAGCCCGGATGACACGTCGCGTCGTGTCGTTGGTTTGTTTGTTTTTGCGTAGTGTTGATAGCGTGTTTGCTGTTTAGCCTTAACACGGCAACGTGACGATGTGTTTTAGTTTCGCTGTGTACTACGGTTTCCCCTGATGTTTGACTTGCAGCGGCCATCGCCTTTGCAACTTTTTGTTACACCGAACATCGGTTTTTCGTGCCACGAAGTGTATGTTTACTGTGTGTCGTGATAATAGCCTGCAACATAATGTTCATACTGGATCAACATGCTAGATAACTACTGCAGTGGTTGCTTACAGGCAGGCAAAGAACTTGCTTAGTATTGGGTGCGCGGGCACCATCAGTGCCATGGCAGGCTGCTGCAGTTGTGTGGAATTCGGACCGTCAGAGCAGGTCGCTCGAACAATGCGTATACTTCTGTCCATAAATGCATTTCAGCGCACCAAATCCCATATATACCAACAATACATAAATAATATGTTTGGCAGGTGTTGCCGAAGACCGTGGACATGCGAACTAATGCCCGAGTAACCGTCCGCATTTTTACGATTGATTCCTTGCAGAGTTTAAGGCAAATACTGGATTACTGCTCAATCTTGCCTGGGACTCCTTCGGGCCGGAAATGCAGTGTTGGAGCGAGCGGAAAGCGCATTGCTTGCGTGTGTCGTCGTATTGTTTCCTGCGTGCGGCGTCCCATGCAGTGCTAAGCGACTTTAGGCTCTGCTAAATGGTCTTTCAGGTCGGGTAGGGCATGGTCGGCATAAGACACCTGTTTCTGATGGCGTTGTTCGGATATTCGTATTCTGTGTGTGTATGATTTCGGTCGCAAATGCGGCCATTCTTGCTAAGCGTTCTACCGAGGCGAGGATTGCGCCAGCTGACCCGCGGGTCGGCAGGCACCTTGTTGCATCAGGTCACAATGTCATTCAATCCATGCGGTAATTGTGTTGCGTGTGTTGAAACACTTACTGTAAAGTAAGCGGAAAATGCCTACGTCAACTTCCGCTCAAACACAACACGCACAATGTACCGTTTATTCAGCAAGCGCCAGTTACCGGTACCCGCCCCTCGTTACTTAGTCATCAGTACAACCGACTCGCCAAGTACTTGGGTGCAGCCACACACAAACCACAACAATTCGATGGATCACGCCTTTCACGTGCACATGCACATCACATAATGCATGCAGACGTCAACCCTGCTCACGTTGGCAACACAGTAAGCTCGTGACGACACCAGCCCGCGCTAGTGTCTATTTTACTAGCTCCGACAGACACCCAGCACACAACGCGGCTTGCTGCGGTTAATTGCTTCGTTCACACTGCCGCAGGCAACATCGCAACAATCTGCAGCTGCTGACTGCACGCCATATCCCCTGCGCAGCCCGCTTGCGGTTGTGCTACCCGAAAGTGTCGTACAGTGAACCCTGCTTCCCGGAGGGACCCCAGCACAGCGGCGGGGTTAACAGCACCCACAAGAGGCACCTGCATGCACAGGCGTCCTCCGCTTGCTATTGCCGGCAGCAGGGAGCGCAGCCCTTGGGGGCCCCACCAGGACAGGCGCTGCGACTCCGCCATGCTCGGTGCTGCAAGGACAGTACGACACAGCAAGGAGAATCTTGTAACCGTAGTGGCAAAAGTGCTACAGGCCACAGGTTCACAGGAGAAGACGTACGGACCTGCTGCTATCAAAGGATAGAGCAATAAGGGGAGGTTAGGACGCATCAATATTTTCTCACGCACAAAGTACAAGGCCGCGATTACACGCGTGCATGCGGGGCGTACGTTACCTAGGCGTCTAGGGACATACATACGATAGGCGAAGAGCGGCGTGGTCCGCGAAGCATGCATACTTGGTTACTTAGCCTTACACATTGACAGGGCTTGGCGTCTGGTGGATCTATTCTGGATGCATGAATATGCGGCTTACCATCTAAAAGGACGCAATCGAAGCCACCGCTCGGTGCGGAGGCTAGCACTCCCTCCAGACAACGTGGGCTCAGCGCTTCCGCGGAGAAAGGTACGGCGCGAAGGCCACGTCTCCGACACACCTCTACGTCCTCATCCACAGCCCACACCTGAGGAACGAGCGGCGTGGTAGAGCGCATCTTAGATGAAGACTTGCGGCCCTGCAGGTCTTTAGCAATCATCATCATGTGCAGTGCTGAACAGTACTATGTACTATGGAGGAAAAGTATGGAGGAAAAGATACTTAAGCAGCAGTTGGGGAGTTGCTTGCAGGCGATACTGGGATAACATTGTAGGGCCAACTGCATGTGCCGTTGCACCCTTCCATGTTCCTAACTGCACCCAAGTCTTCCAAGCAGCGTACCTGCAGTCCCTGGCTTGCAAGCAGCTTGGTCAGAGCGCCCGAGCCGCAAAACACATGCAGCACTCGATCCCCCCACTCAGCGGCCTCACAAGTCGCCATCCCGCCCGCAGCCTGCCCAATGCGTGGGAAGGAGCAGGGAGCGCAACGCAGCGCCCCGCATGCGGACAACCAGTCAAAGAAGTCCAAGCCGGGAGCTGGGGAGCCTGCAGACAATCGAGGAGGCAGGGGCGGCGGCTGGCGTCGCTTGCCGGCCGACGTGTCGGGGCGTGCTCATGCCCGGAAAAAGCGGTGCTGGCTTGAAGGAAGGATGATGTACAGCATTTACGGAAGTGTGGATGAAGAAGTCGGTGCCCTGGCGTAGGAAACGGAATGCATCAAGCTTGTGTCCTGCTCTGAGGCAGTTCGCACGCTGTGTTCCGCCAGGAAAGATAAGGATGCCATGGTATGCTGCGATGCATATACGGATTACGTTTTCCGGCTGAGCGTCTCATTCCCGCCCTCTTCAGCACCCACCACAGCTCCTGACGCCCCTTACAGACAACTAAAACGCAGGTGGCGCGTGCCCGCCGCAGCCCCTTCCTGCTACCGTTCCCACCCGACGCTGGAGCCCTATCCATCTCCGATTCGCTCTCTTTTACCTCGTTTACAGCATCCTTGCTTACCCTCTATACCCATCGTCTCGCCCGCCGCCAGCCGCGCCGGCCAGCCCAGCGCCACACCGGCCGCTGCTGGCCCCTCCTCCGTTGCCCGCTGCAGCCGCTCTGCTAGCTCCCCTAGCCCAGACACGGCGAAGGTGGCCACTGCGCCCGGAGGGACCTCCACAGCGGTGCCCGGCTTCTCGTTGCCACCGCCTGGCGTTACCGGTAGGTGAGGGGGGGGGGGGACGAGCAGTGCATGGGAAGGGGCTATTATGTGTTGATGCGCAAATGATTTTCCTTTAAATCAAACGGTAATTGCCTCCACACCAAAGCATGTTACGGGAGACCCTGGCGGTTACTTCGATCGTAGTTCATTGTAGGATAGACCACGCAGACAAGCCCACACTCCCAAGCGCTTACCAGCAACCAGGCATGTCGCCGTGCCGCTAGCGTTGCCGCACTCGATGTCCTCGAAAGAGTCCCCAACCATGAGCATGTCCCATGGGTCGATGGCCCAAGTCTGCGATACAAAGGGCACCCCTAGCTTGTGTCACTGCCTGAAATCAGCAAGGCAATAAATGCACAATAGCAGCACCGTATGCGCTGAAGACACGTCTGGTACGTATGCCTCTCTGGTGCGGACCCCAAAAAGCACTGCGTCAGCATGCAATTTTCGGCCCCTTCCCCCAAAAGGGCCTCCCATACATATCCACCTTGCAGACGCCAGTCTAACCCACCCACCTTGGCCAAATGGGCTAGCAAGCGCCGGTCAGGCTTGACAAATGCAAACTCCCGCGTGAGCACATGAGAAAAGAGCGACGCCCACTCGGGCCCTATGAGCTCGAAAAACGCGCGCACGCTGTCCGCAGTATTCCGCGTCACCAGGGCTACGTGAACCTACAGGCAAATCAATGGGGTATATAGTGGGATTGGGGGGTAGAGTGTGATTGGAGGGTGCAGTGTGCACCTTCATGGTGCTTGGGAGAGCAATGGCTGGGTTCTGGCACGCAGCACATTTTCCTTGTGAGCAGACGTCAGTGTACGGCAGACTGACCTGGTGGTCCCGCAGTAGCTGCAGCAAGCGCCCGAGGTCAGGCTTGGCGCTAACCGCTTGAGCCGCATGTGCCTCAATGTCCAGGATTGTGTCCATGGCAGCGCGAATGCGCAAGTCGTCCTGCCAGGCGTCCATAACTGTGAAGAGATCACCCACTGGGATGCCTGAAAGGCATGACGCACGACGGCATGAGTTGTGGGTTTGTTAGTGGTGTAATGGATGGGGGTGGTAATCCATCAGGCCTGGGCTAGGTTGGGAGGTACGAATGTTCAGGGGCCTGGAAAGTTTTGAGGACCGGGCTACACCTAGACACACCGGTAGCCAGCATGATACCGGTAGTGCATAGGAGCATCTGGGACGTGGGATGTCGGCACATGGGAGCACTGAAGGGGACACCCACCAGTCCTGGCTCGCATGTCCGCAAAGTCGATGTGCGCCTGCATGCCATATGCATTTGTTCAGTCGGGATGAGGGGATGGCTTGCTGGTGATGCAACAGCCATGCGGGTCTAGATGTTGAGAGCCAGTGCATGGTGACCTTGGTGGTTAGACAGGGTGTTTGATGGCACACGAAGTGACCTACCTGAGAAAGCGTGCCGTCCATATCTGAAGGCCGACGAGCAAATGTAAGGGGGCCAAACAGGGCAAGTGGTTTTTCAGGTTGGTTTGGCAATTCAGGGTAGAGACCAGAACGGGCGTTACTACGGACTTCCTATGCAAAAGCGGCGATTCCCTGGGTCGTCATGGATTGCTAGCCTGCGCCTTTCAGCCGCACACGTGTGGATAAGGCACCGCTGTGACGGGCACCTCACAGCGAGCTTACCAAAGACGACAGCCTTGTAAAATAAATTTGGTTTATTTACGGTAATATGAATTGATGCGGGTTGTGGCGTCGCCACTTGCGTCAAAGCGCGAACCACCGCACAGCAGCGACGACTGCGAGGGCCATCCGACCGCCGTGCAAGCCCTTTCTTGTGAATGAGCATCGCCTCCCTTGTTACGCAATCGCGTATTACACAACTACAGTACAACGATTTGGAAAACAAACTCCTAGCTAATGCGGGCTCTTACTGCATAGAAGCCCCATGTACTTGGTCCGCAAGCTTAGTGTGTGGCAAGAGTAGTACAACGTCGCGCCAACCAGTATGGGTAAATAAGACAGGCAGCAGCGCCGTTTTTTCTGTGCTAGCTGCTTGCTGCCATTTTAGCAAGCCACAGTGTCGTATTATAATCTTATTCAGCATGGTCTGGCATAATCAGACGCTTGCAATCCACCCCGACGCCCCTTGGCTTGGACAAGCTGATATTTAATATCCTGAGGGCAAAGGCGTTTTGACCTGGAGGAACCGTTGGGTCTGCGCTGGCTCATCTAGCTGCTGGATCCCATCGATCCAGTACCCCGCCAGGATAAGATGCTCTCAATGGGGGCGAAGACGGCCGACGGTGACGAATGGATGATGGATGCTGTCGCTTTCTGTCGCTTGCACACGCCGTGCTGGTGAGGACAAGCATGGGCATGACCTTACATTGACGTTAACTCCTTGTCAAGCAACTGCTCCCGCCAAAATGCCGCTCGCCAAGACATCCCACAAACAACGAATTTACAATACATTATGTGCATTATACGAAAATGGCCACGCAACGTGTACAGGGTAACCGGAATTGGGTCCATGGAAAAACGGCCCCAGGACGTACTGTCCAGGGACCGGGCAACACGATTGGCCCCGAAACGCCGCCATTATATGTTTCGCGCCACAGTGTTCGCGCAGAAATCACCGCGAAAGGAACAGTGGAATTCTTCAAGAGACCATGCAGCGCAAGTCTCGTGAATTCCATTAATTTGAAGACATCTGGCGCTTCAACATGCAGCAAGCAGGAAGAGACGAACGCACAGCACAAAGGACGAGCAGACAAGGAAACAGACATACACACTGGAAAGGGGCACGACCCACACGACACATCAGGGACATCACAGATGAGTCTACTCGATAGGAGAGGACAGCAGCGGTGGCGGCTAGGACCTGAACGCCTGGCAACCACTACACCCGCTGCTGTCACTGCATCCCCGCCACGTGAAAGCGGCGTACAAAATTGCGTCTCAAGCTTTACGCAAGAGACTTGTGTCCAGTTCGTGGCCATCAGCACCTAGACAGACAGAACAGAGCCTGCCCGGCCGAGACCGTCCGCCCAAGCCTTAGCGATCCCCACCACGCGTCTCCGCGCAGAAGTCCGTTCCGTTAGCAAAGATTTGTTCACTCTCTCTCCCTCCTCCATGGTAAAGTCCAGGAGGCCAGCTCAAAGCCCTAGCGCAAGCCCAGGTGTTGTCACAGCCTGGACATGCCCGGCACGTAAGACAATCAAGCATATCACAACAACACAACCAAAGCCATCAAACTCGTGCTCCATACATCACCGAAAGCCTAACCAGGCAAGCATCCATAAAATTCCCAAAGAGTGGGCCTGGCAAAGAGCTGCATGGCAATGATAGAAAGACCCTGGCCCATTAAGCGTAGGTAGGGGCGTACGTCATCGTGCACCCCCTCCTGACTCAAGCGCGCAGCTAGAATAATGCAATGCCGGCACAAATGGAAAGAAAGAGCACCGAAGGCCCGTATGTTGCGCTAGTCAGCGGGTCTTTCTTCATAGCAGAGCAGCGGCATTGGTCCATCACGAGTTTAACTTAGGCACGCACACGAAGTGAAATGCGAGAAAGCAGTACCATCCAAAACAAAGTCCACACGCATCCGAGCACATGACTCCACAAACTCCACACGGGGGCATCCGCACATATGGGGCGGTAGCGCCACATAGGGCGCATGCCCTTGCATCATTGCTCAGCCTGCTATATGCACCCAAAGACACGCAGTCCGTTGCAACCAGAGTTAAGGCGCGTCATACATAAGAGCATTACCGAGTACGCATTCAGACCTAAGCATTCCGGCCAACAACTGCGCCCACAAGCCTGGACATGCCGTCGCTCCTTGTCGCCCTCGTCAGCCCGTCAGTCAAAGTCAACACGCTTTTTAGTCCAACACCTTCGGCCGACAGGCCACCTAGTCAAAAACGGAAACCGCTCGCGATCTGTTATTCCAATATGACACAAGCTGCTTTAAAACAATACAAGCAGCAACCCCATCACACAAGAACGACCACCACACAAGTAACCATAGCAACGACCAGGATCACCACACACCTTGCAACACCACACGAACAACACCACAATGCACATACGGCACAAAACTGCAGGACTGCAGTGTACTGCTGTCGACCCGTCCGCCCCTTTTGCCTCCAGCAAACTCCTGTCCAAGGAACCATCCACCGCCAAGATACCTGTTGCGCGCTCTTGTTGCGACCGGTGGTATGCAACCCACGCTCTGCTGAAAGTCGCGAAAAAAGGACACAGGCTGCGCGCATAAGAGGCCTGGGCTCAACGCCTCAAGTGCCATTCACTGATCTCATCCACACGGCCGCCAGAAATGTGTAGCTCTTGCTTTTTTCATATACGGCAACCCACCATTGCATCGTGTCAAGAATTGCTTTATTTCCCGCAGGATAACACAGACGACAACCTTTGCAGGTAGCTCGACATGTCGGCAGCCTCACATACGTTTGCAAACATGGCCGGGAAAACTTAAACCTTTTGCAAGCTATGCGACAACTGCCGACCATCGCACGAAAGCAGTAATAGCATGAATCCAAACCAGCAGGAACTGGGACGCCCTGCGCTCGCAAACAGATGACGTACCGCACAGCACGCGTGCTGAAGCTCTCCAAAAGGCCAGCAAAACCCACATTGCCTAAAGGAGGCTCGCCTTCGCCAGAGTATGCCATGCGCACGGCAGCTGCCTACGCAGCACCACTACCCACCAGCGCCCCAGCCTACTTCATGCCAAGCCTTAGGCGAAGATAGAGCACCAAAGGTCCCGCCACCCGCCTAAGGGACCGCCTGCGGACCGTCCAGCAGGCTCGGGCCGTCATACAGCAGGGCCCAGCCATGCTATCCCTGCTAGTGCTGTTGCTGCCTCCGAGGGGCAGGGGCAACGTTGCCCTTCGCCACCTTCATGTACCTTACTCCGCACGCGTTACACAACGTCTTGGGACCGTGCGGCCCGGCGCGCCAAACGGGTGTGGTCTGCGGGCGAGGAGCAGGATCGGCAGAGGGACGCGCTCAGCAGGAATGGGAGCCTAAGGATATACCAACAATCGCTCGACTAGCGCCCCGCATGATCAACAACAATTCCCTACATAAACATTATACCATAATTACATGTATAGGCCGCCATGCACCGACCCTCACCTGGGTTCCGCACTGCGTGCAACAGTGGCCGTTAGGGTTCGGCGCTGGAGCCTTGGGCGGGTTGCCATTGGGAGAAGCACGCTTGCGCGGCTTGGGAACACCCGGAACCGTGAGGCGCTTGCCTGCGTGGACCAATTAAACGAGGGTGCACAGAATCTCAACAAGCCACGGACGGTAGATTAGCCGTATGTCAATCCAGCCCTGGTTGGCCCCAAGAGTTCGTATAAGCGTCATGACTTCAGTTCCCTTTCAAGGGTGGCTCACTTACCATCTTGTCCGAAGGCTGGCATGAAAGCGCCCGGCACCGCTCCCGCGCCCAGGATCGCACCAGGTGCCCTCGACCTCTTCGTCGTCACCGGCGCCTGACCAGCAGCAGCCGGCGCGTTCGCAGCTCCGCCAGCAGCACGGCCTGCCCCGGCAGGGTCGAAAAACGACCCACGGGCCAGTGCTGTCTGCTGCAGCGTCGACGAAGACATTGTGCTTCCATTCGGGCTGATGACCGAGTCCGCAGCTCCGGGCGCGCCCAAAGGCTGCTCAGAACCATCCAGAAAGCTGTTCATGTTGGCCGGCATGCTACGCACCGTCTTCATGTTGCTCGTACCGGCAGCCGTTACCACGCCGGGCCCAGCGCGCGACGCGTTCCAGCCCGATAAGACGCCTGCACTTGAGGCCGGGGCGGCGCCGGCCTCCTGCCAGGCAGAATAGCCGCCTGCGATAACCTTGACGCGCTTGGGGCTCTGCACATTGGGACCGGAAGCGGTGCCCGCCGCGGACACGGACTGGCGCGACTTGGGCTGCCTGGGCTGCGGCAGCAGTGGACTGGGTGAGGTGATGATCTTGCGCTTGACGGTCACGGTGGGCGCGGGGGCCGGCCCGCTGGGTGCACTCGAACCGCTGACGCCGCTGCTGCCCTTGAAGGGCGCCAACCCGGAAACCATCGACTGAGCACCGCCGCTGCCGCTTCCCAGCGTGGAAGAGCCAAGACCGGACGAAGAGGAGTGCTGAAGCGAGATCCTAGCGGGCCGCACGGGCATGGTATCTTCCGGCAGTTCCAACAGCTCGAGCTCATTGACGCTGGGAGGAAGCTGCGGGGCGAGCAGCTCGCCCTCACAAAGCCACTGGCGGCGCATCTGGGTCTCGTTGAGGCTGGCACACCGACCGCGCGACCCAAAGGCCGACGGGTTGCCTGCACCACCGCAGCCTAAGGCTAAGTCGATAGAGTCCGGGGCGACGCAGCTATAGGAGCGGGGCACGTGAGCAGTGCACCGCTGGCTCTCTAGCAGCGAGTCCGGGCACGCGGCCGCGCTTGGACCCGCCATGGCAAAGTTGTCTACGCTGTAAGCACGCGGCATTGCGGGCGCCTGTTGCTGCTGGTGCTGGAAGGGCTGTTGTGCCGCGCCTTCCAGCTGCTCCTGAGCAGTCGGGTAGGCGCCCTCCTGCTTGGACTGAGCAGCGCCGCCGGCAAGCCGGGAGAGACTGAGGCCAAAGCTGGGCATGCTGATGTGCTCTTCGCCAGCAGTCGCAGCATCGGGTGCAACACCTGGAGGCAGGTAGAGGATGGCAGATGCAGCATGCTGTGAGTAAACGCCCAGATGTCGGCAACGGTACAGTTCATGGAACCGGGCGGATAACAGGGGAATCAGTGCCGCACCTGCAGTGTTGTCCTCCGATGCCTCACTCTGTGAGGAACCCTGCGCATTGCCCTTCCCCGGACCCACGCCGGAGCTCTCTCCGTCGTTAACGGTATGGCTCATGTCGCAGTCACTGCTTTCCTGACAATGGTTGTACTGATACTGCGAAGCGTGACCATGCCCAGAGAGCTCCCCGTCAGGTGCCGGAGCAGCCACCAAGCAGGCGGGCTGTAGTCCAACAGCGTTCCTGCAACAGGCGGCAAGACCCGGGTTATCAATGGAAGGGCGATAAAGCCAACTCGTGGTCGTCATACCCAGCGGCCGGTGCAACTGTTGCTTTCCCGAAGTCCGTGGCTAACACGCTCACCAGCTAAGGGCCGTTGGCAAGCTGCGACTACTGCCAGGGGCTGCCACAGATTCGGCTGTCGACTGTCGCCCGCAGATGGTGTGGCCGTAATGGTCAGCAGCAGCTGAGCAAATGGGAAGATGGGGGCATTGTAAGGCGTGGAAGTGCAAAGAGCCAGCAACTTGTGAGCTATGCAACTTACCGAGGTCATCGAGGCTAACGTTATCAATGAAGTCTGGGTCCGCAAAATCCGCTACGGCCAAAGCACAGATACTGCTGCCTCCAGAGTCCTTGGTGAGCGAGAAGGACTTGCCCGGCGACGAGTCGACAATTGGGAGGTCCCTGTCAACGCAGCTCCCGATAAGTATGTAACATCACTATGCATTCATATTTATAACGACACCTACCCGGCGCCTTCGTAGGACTGGAGCTGAAGCTCCAGCTCTCCGGCAATGCAGGGCACCGCGCTGTCGAACAAGTCCACGCCACCGAATAACAAGGCGTCGCCATCGTCGAACATAGGCATGTGCTCGATAGCTGCCATTGCCCACTGACAGAGCTCGCAGACAGCCTAGGCGACTGTCAACGTACGGGTCGGCGGAAAGGTCATGCAACCGACAAAGGCAAGAACGTTGAGCCAAGTGGGCAAGTGAAAGAAGCAAGCGAAAAAGTAAACGCCTAACAGGGCGACATCTCTGCCGCCAGAGGCGCAGAAGGGTCGGTAAATAAGCGACGTGTCATTGGGCCGAGCGTTGTTGTGCTGGCATATGCAATCTTCAACCTCCCTGGAATGGACGCCTGGCCCCGCCCCTCAGTAGATGGCATGAATGCCTACCGGTAAGGACGTGGACAAGGAAGACAGCACGAGGGCGCCAGGGACTGGTCCCTCACCAGCCAGTATGAGACAGAAATAGGTATTCGTGCAGCGTCTATGCTTCGCGGACCATTTGAACTAACCCCTACATGTAAAGCATCAAAGTAAGCCCGGCAAAACGAGAAAAATAAAAGCCGAAGCACGTGCCTGATATTTTCGCAAATTTATGGGACGCAGGTCCTCTTTCGTAGCTACAGTCCATGCCAAGTGTTGACAACTAACTCTATTGCTGTCGCCTGTTCCTGAAGATACCTTTCGTACAACATAAGGCCCAAGGCTTTTGCCTTTTCCCACTATCCTTTTCACGTTTACGTCCTGGCATGTTGGCAGGAAGTGCTTTTTTGTTGAACAACGCAGGAAAAGGATGGCGGGCGTCTTCGAAGGAGGTCAACGGGAGTTCGGAGCATAACCCAAATCCGCTCCAAATCAGTAACGTTAGCGCGTGTCCTTTAATTTTTAGACTATTTTATTGCAGCATGCACGCAAGTCGTACTAGCATTTCCAAACGGTAGGCTGACCAACATCTTACGGTCGCTGACCTACTTTGTCCCCATCCGCTATGACTTAGCATGTGGCTCTACAGGCTATGCAAATTTTCAGTGTTTGCAGCTGGCACTTTTACAGACTATTGCGTAAAAAGTTCCTTGTCACCAGACAGACGACTGCTGCATTAGGACGAAATCAGTTTAGGGTCAACAAGGATAGATGCACACGCAATTATTACGTCCTTGCCATGTAACGCAAATGCTGTACCTGGATGCGTAAGGTAGATACCTACCGACCGTTACCTCAGAGATAGTTCACAGCAACACCCGCAAGCCTAAAATGCAAGCTACGCCAGACATTCACTCTGCTGGGTATTATCGCAACGTTCTGTAACCCACCCGAGCTTTCTAAGGTACCAAACAGCCCTAGCTCGTTAGCATACCCGAGGCGCCTGAGGATAAGTATGTTCCATTAAGGGCCTTAATGCGTGAATGCACTTATCATTTCAAGCCAGCAATACAGACGGACTAATAGGGCAGCGGACCCCATCGTCGCTCCTGCCGCGCGGACGTGACACGCTGACAACTCAGGACGAAAAGCATGCGTTAACCATGACAGGCGACATGTTGCAACCACCGTTCGTTCATTGCTAGTGAGGATCGCCATGTATTAAAGCCGGCAGCCGCATACAGTACTCACCAGCCCAAGACCGCAACCCCTGCGCGCTGAGACGTACCCTCTGTACAGACCCTCACAGTAACGATAAATTTTTACCGTACGTTATTAGGCAACAATTTATGGCGCTTCGGCAACTGGTTCTGTGGGGCAAGACGAATGCCACGGCTTCGTGGGGCGCACGTTTCCTGCCTTGGGACTGTTGGGAGGCTGGGCCACTCCCTCCGCCTCATTACGTGTTTCATGTGGGGCCCCAACCCCAAGCCGCAGAAGGTTATCGCCGATAGCAGACGACCCGCATTGCTCCGTCGGATTAGCTGAAGCGAGGAATGGCTGAAAGCTGGTGGCAGGCATGGGGGATGTCTGCACAAGCGATTGACGTACAACTTCGTGGGGTCCACACGCTTGCTCTTGAGTGTGCTGGGGGCGCCAGCCAGCAGACGCCAGTGGCGGCAAATGCCAGTCGAAGGGAAGCCCCACAGCCGGCTGGGTGAGGCGATGCTCCGTGTCCTGCATACCAAGTCAAGGAGCCGAGATGGTTTGGTGTTGCGCTTGCACAGGGCGTGGCCATGCTTGCAGTGATGCAACGAACAGAGACGGGCAAGGGCACCTCTGCTGGTAGGCAGAAATCCACAAGGTCCCTACGGACAAGCTTGGATGATAGAATGAGCCCTTGGGGACAATAAGGCGGCGACAGCAGGTACCCGTAAACAAGTCCTAGCTGCAGTCTGTCCTAGACTACTAGTACATGGTGTGCCCGTACGCGCCAGGAGGGCCAAATACCGGTATGCTATGAGAAGCCGACCTGCGCCTCTCACCTGTTCTGGGTCTTCATCCTGCAGCAGGTACTGGCCCCACTTGCGGTGCGTGTAGACATTCCATATCAGGGCGATGCCCATGCAGCATGTCACCAGGCTTGCAGCTGTTGGAGTCGATGCATTGTGGAATTTAATCCATCCTGCCGCAGACGCGTGGGTTAGAAAGTGGCCAAGGAAAGGGGCCAATGTGTCCGTTAGGGGATTATAGTTGCTGAACATTTAACCGCCAGTGGAGCTAATGTGATGAATGCAACATCTACCATGACGAGCCTACACCACGCCGCTCTGTAGAACGGACTGGTGGGTAGGACACGCAAGCATGTTCCGTTCCAGCCTGTTCACTGCTGCGCAAGGGGCCCCACCTGCCAAGGCGAGGTTGATGAAGAAGCACGGGATGCCCGTCGAGAACAACCGGAAGGCGGTGGCCCATTCCCGCTCACATCGGTGGGCCCAGTACGCTGCAAATGTCCGTTCAGGTGCTGGCGGTCGGTCGCCAGGCCTGCACGGTAGCAAGCGGTTGCTCCACTGGTGGTGTAAGGGAAGAGGCATTAAAGGCGTTTTCCCCACCTGTATTGCGTGACGAATACGTGGCACCGGTGCATGAACTCCGCCTCCTCCTGCACATGAACGAAAGCGTCCTTTGTCTATTAGGGCTCGCAAGAGCGACGGCTGGCATGGACCCTGTACGCATGAACTTCAACACCCATAATGTGTTCCGATACCAGAGGATGGCATGTCCTTGCACCGGATGACATGGACACACCTGCTCACTGACGTACGTTTTGCCAACTCGCAGGATGTTTGCGAGCATGAGGCTGCACAGAACAGCCGATGCCACCTCAACGCCAACCTGCGATTTGCACCATTTGTACAGCTTGTAACAAGCATAGTTTGTCCATCCTCGCATTGTTCCAACACGCATTAGTAGCCACTGCGTGACAGGAAAGGATGCCGCCCCCGAATCGGCGTATCATGAGGCCGACCCATGGGTCGGTGCAATCCTCACCGTGATACTCGTCGTCAGCGCGAATAGGGGCAGCAAACCGTGTTTGTAGTTCTCCTCGACCGTGAACTGGAATTCCAAGAAGCTGGAATGGGACAGAAGAATGGATGGCATAAGTTTCCCAGGCTACCAGAGGCTACTGCGAATAAATGACTATAACCCAATCAAGACGGAGGCAAACATTTACCCCTCACACCAAATGTATATGCCCACGCCCAACATCAAGACACCGTGATGACTTGTTCCATGCGTTCTTCCGTACCTCACAAGCGCAAACCCTGCCAGCAGGGCCGCCAAGCCGCTTAGCGCCTTAAGCTGCTCCGTCTTCTCCTGTACCTCGGTCCGGTTGCGGTTGACGAACCTGCAGCCATAACAATACCGGGAAGAAAGTTGAGTCATTAACAAAATACATGGGACAGGCCATGCATGAGGTCAAAGGGCAGTGACGTAATGCACGGCTATACAGGTCGGCGCGTATGTGCTGATGCCGCAAAAGCTGTGCTGAACAAGCACGCAGCACTGGTTGCATACCCCACCGCATCCAAATCGCCCGTGCATTGTCCACGTGAGCCTGCTGTATTTGTGCCATGAGGAAGTCCCTCTCTTCCTGCCTGCCGGAAAGGGGAACAGCGAAGTCGCCTCCTGCGTGTGAGAAGAGCTTCCTGCCATGTGCCTCATGGGCAGCTTGGCTATGTAGTGCAGCCGGAAACACATCACAACTAGTTCCTCTTGCCAAGTAAAGGACTTAAGCAGGAAGAGAACAGGCGTTGAAGGGGAATCCAGCTACAGTGTTCGCCGTCCGCGACCAGGGTACCAGGGACCCTTACTCCCTCCTTGGGCACTCCATCCTTCTGAGGACCGGGAGCTTCGGAGGCACACACCATGCTCATGCTTACATGAATTCTTGTTCCTGAAGCAGCACCTCCTTTTCATGCTGCCTATAGACCAAGTCCTCAGCTCGCCATACTCGCTCTTCGCCTCTAATCTGCCGTTGCAGCGAAACATCGTAGCCTGTGAGAAGCGTCTGTGCGGTGTTCAGTACGTTTTCCATCTCTAGTTGGAATTTACGTGTGTATTAGGAAGGCATCCACACTAAAGCCACGAAGAGTTTGGGGAGGTAAAATGTACGGCGTTTGACCTTCCACAGTTCCACTGCCAGTTGGACGCCGACGCCCGATTACCTGTATTCTCTAAGCGTCTGAAACCTTTGTGCCTACAGTAGCGAAATTACTTCTGGTTACTGTAATTAAGCATTGTTGCGTAGGGGCAATGGTCAGGTGTTCCTGCATACCACCGCCTGCGTCGTTGCAACCACGAAAAATCTACAACATTTTAGTGCCAGACGTCTTTCCGTTACAACCTCCTGACCCACACCAAGATGTACCGAAGGGTGTTGAGCGGAAAATGGAGAAGTTGGCGGAATACCTGCAAAAACATCCCGCGAGGACGGCAAAGGTGGCCTCCTTCAAGCCTACTGATTTTGCTATCTCCATGGCTTTCCTTGCCGGAATTTTGACGGTTGCCGTGGAACGTTGCAGGTGTCACGGAGACTAACACGCCGCATCAAGCACGCGCTCTATAACAAGCAGTTTGGATATGTTAAGATCGCAGTGCAGACATATAAGTACCTTCTTGCGAAGACCGGAGACGACGGCAGCAACTTCACCTTCACTTATTTCGCCAAGGAACTGATTGATGAGCCGGACACAGTGGTGCGTTGTCGCACGGGGTTTGGATATGAGAGCTCTACTCGGGAAAGGGGGTAACCGTTCCCGTTGGTTTGCAGATGAGGACCCTCCTGGCGCATCCGGAGCCGTTGGTGAAGGGTTTGGGTGCTGAGCTGCTGGCCAGTTACATTAAAGCCCAGGTCAGGCCTGGGCTGCTTGCTCTGTGGGGTTGCATCTGCGTCTAGAAATATGCTTGCGTATGCGCACATGACATTTACCATAACCACGCCATCCGGGTCACGTGCTTTTCCGGGCTTTCTGACTACACAAGCGCATTCCGGTGTCGCTGCTATTTTCCGTGCGCATGTAGCTTATCTCTCATGAACATATGTCACCAGTGCAACGCATATCGTACAACAGGCAGTGGAGAGACTGTGGGGGCAATCCGTCGCCCAATGCAATGCGCTAAAGCCCCCATGTGGTACCACTAGTACCGCTGCACCCGGATTACTTTTAATTGGCCTATGAACCCTACTGCAGAACCCCGTGGAGCACCAGATGCGTGCCGTGCAGCCCCTGGTGTCTACGGTGTGCGAGCTCGCGCGGCGAAAGAGCGGTCAGCAGCAGCTGACACTCGCATGTCTGCGCGCCGTGGCGGAGTTTGTGGGGTTGTGCCACGAGCTCAGAACGTTGCCCGCCAACCTGGAGGAGATTGAGGCGGCGATGCTCCACAACCTGGACACAAACACTGCTGCCGGTGGCGCAGGTATGGCGTGGGCGATGCCCCGTGTCATCTGACTCGACCGAGGGACCTGTGTGTTGGGTTCTTCATGCCAGCAACGCTCAAAGGAAAAGACGATAACCTAACGTATCGTTGTGCTTTACATTGTGCCTCGTTATGCATTACAGGCCCCGCCAGCGGTTCGGACGAGGCGAGTGCCTCAGCGGTGGCCCACAGCGTGCTGCTCAAGTTCAAGCCGTTCCTCCAGGCAAGCAAATGCGTCAGGGCCGCTAGCTGCCCTTGCATGACCTTTGAACACTCCCAAGCAAACCGGCTTGCTCTTCGCTCTGTGCAGGACATCAGCACGGTGTACCGGGTCATGGAGACACTGTTCCGTTACCTCGACCAGGACGGCAGATGGCAGCAGGCGGAGGCAGTGCAGGTGAGGGCTAGAGATCTGTTAGCGTGCATTGTGACAGCAGGACTAACGTCTTCATCGTAAGCTGATTTGGGTCGACACGGTGCTAGCAAACTTGAGTGGCGCTTGCTATCGGACATACCCATGTGCACAGAAACAATCTGGGTCATAAATGTCGGTGGTCGCGCGTATCTTGCACCCATCGCTCAGTTATCGCCTATCCTTTTGCTACATGCAGCGATTGATGGCCATCGTGCAAAGCTCATGCACCGATCAGCCGTTCCCGCTCTTCACGGCCCTCATGCGGCACAGCAGTGCTCCCGGCCTGGGGCCCGACGAGCGTGCCGTGGTCATAAACCTGGCCCTGCAGCAGGTGAGCACCAGTTTAACGTTGCGTCATGACACCGCCCTTCCTAGTAATCACACAACTTTCCTATGTACGAACGAATGCGCATCAATGCATTAGGATACTCGTTTTACGTGGCACTAGTTCCCGGCCGCGCCTTCCTCATCCTATACCTGAAGGCGCACCCTTCCGCTACCCGCCCCCCTTGCAACGCCCCGGCTGGCACTGGCGCCGGCAGCCTCCCGTGTACTCGCTGTCGGCCTTCAGCATGGCACTGCAGGAGCTACCCCGCGCGCTGACGGCGGACAAGGACAGTGGGACGACGCAGCTGAGGAACACCGTCATGGTAGGAAGGGGGCTGCAAGCAAGGGCAGTCATTCAGAGTATGCAATTATCCTCAGGGATAAATGCATCCGAAAAGCAGGCATTACCATTACAGGCTTCTAGGGGCGGCAAGGGCGCTGATTAATTACAGGATATCTGTTTACTTGCATGCATGCTGTGCAGGCTGCGATGCGCAAGCTTGCGCTGGAGGTGGGCGACGCGGGGCAGATGTGCGAGGCTATCTCGTCCGCGCTACGGCAGCACGCTACGCCGACAAAGCACGCACAGGTTGTATGTTGGGACAGACGCACCGTAACCCACGACGAGCTCTTTGCCTTCTGTTCGGCTTTGCTTCTTGCTGGTCCAGCACCAATGTAACGTCAGAGGCCTATAGCGCGACCCGCCTCTGAACATATCGTCCGTTACTTAAAGTGCAAGCATCCCTGACCCAGTTCCCAAACGCGCATTTCCATACGCAGGCTTGCCTCGAGTGCGCCCTTGCTGCCGTCCGTACCATCCCATCCTTTCCCGAGCCTGGCCGCACCTTCCCCGGCGGCCATGCGCCCGCTCAGCTCCTGCAGCAGCTCGCCGCCATCATCACAGTCTGGGGCCACGTGGAGGCGGACGCTCGTGCCACGGCATGTGAGCTGCTGGGCGCGGTGCTGCCGGCATTCGGCCCAGGGCTGCGCGACGAGAAGCAGGCGCTTGGCCTGATGGACTTGGTGTTGCAGGTAACGGAGCGACGCGTCATAGTGAAGGAGCCGTTCAAGGGGTGATTGCCGTGGGTATGAAAAGCCCAAAGCACGTAGGAGTGTTTCTTCATGATGTTGACTGTTACAGAGTTACACGGTACTTGAAAGGTGGCATTGTCGCTGTATGGTTTTGCCTTGTTGCAGATGTCCCGCAACTTTGCGCTTGGCACGCCAGCGGACGTGGTAATCATGGGGAGCGTGCTCGCGACATGCCTAGCCACCAGTCAGCCGGTGCTGCTGCTGCACGGCGTGCGGCTGGCAAAGGCGCTGCTGACGGAGGCGCTCCAATTCGCACCACATACGGGAGCGGCGGCAGCCGTGGAGCGTGCGGCGGGTGTCGAGCGGCCTGGGACGGGAGGTGGGTGCTGGCTGCTGGGACCGCTACCCGCTACCGTCCGTTCCTTGTGTTTCTCCTAGCACCGGCATGGGAGACTGGCAAGAGAGGGCGTTCGAAGTATGAGTACAGCTGCAGTTGCGGCAGGTTGCGGTTGACTGACGCTGACTTCTCTTGCATGTAATGCCGCAGATGACAAGGCAGATCGGCTGTGGGCCGTCGCGTTGCTGGTGCTCGTCAACAACCTGCTTGCTACGCTGGCTTCTCGGGCCAAGTGCACCCACTTGTTACCATTGCGCTTCAACGTGCCGGTCGACGCTTGCACGAGCCTCAAGGTAGCGAGTCCCTTTAATAAGTGGGGTGTGCGTAACGAGGGCGCTGTTGCATTCCTTAGTGAACAGCACTGGCATGCATGCCTGTGTTTTACCGTCTTGTTCATCCTGACTGCAGGAAGAAAGCGGCGGCCTTGTCAGCTGTTCGCTGCTCTTTGAAGGGGTTGCTGCATCCGCAGACGCCTGCATGAGAGCTGTGCAAGTGGAGTGGCCCGTGGATCACTGGTACGGCAAGGTCCTTGACGCCCTTTGCAAGGTGGGCCCATGGTAATGGCTTAATACATGTCCCGTACACCATGTCCTGAAAGATTTGTTCTGTGCCATGCAGGGCAGTGTCCTCCAAACACACTACGCGCACAACCTGCAAAATGTCGTCTTCGAGCCTTTCGCTGCGCACGCCATGCTGGGTCTTCCCGCAATGCAGCAGTTGGCTGCGCACGCCCCGTCTTCCACGCTTGTTGCCCCGCCAGTGGCGGGTGCAAATGCGTCCACCGGAGGTGCTAACGGCAATGGTCGTGATACGGCTATCACGCAGTAAGTTTACAGGCGCTGTCATAGGGGCATAGGACATGGCAGAACGTCGTTGTGTTGCCGAAGGAAAGGGCTTGCACGGCACCATTAAGGGCGTTGGCAGGCAAGGCGGTTGCGATTACAGCTAACCATGGCGCATACTAACGCTAGCTACATGTCCTAATCCATGCAGCATTTCAAGCAAGCTGGAAGCCATGGCGCGCAACCGTGTGGTGTCCATCAAGCGTGAACGCCTCAACCTGCAGCACGTCATGGACATGCTAGCAGATGGGGACTGCGATGATGCCGGTGGTGCAAGCAGCACGCCAAGGCCCGCAGGTACTTCGAGGTAGTAGTGTTAGGCAGAGAATGATGGTTGGATTGCAAGCTACCTTTCCAACTTCGGCAACGTGCTGCAGGGCCTGTAGTATGTGATAGGATGCATGTTCTGAACTTTTACTGGGTCTCTTCGATCGTATGCAGGGGCAGCTACCGCAAACGGCGCAGCCATGTCGGCCGACGATGTAGCCCTCTCGGTTGCGGACGTCCTGGATGTGGTTGCAGCTTGCGACAAGATGCCGCCGGTGGCGCTGCCGGGGCCAGGGATGCTGGAAATGGCGGAGCTCGTCCAACGGTTAGAAGCCGTTTCGGGATAGAGCTTGCGGACTAACCACCCCAGGATGGTGGCAGGAGCCACTGAGGGGAGTCATACGAATTACCTCTGGAACCACCTTGTATTTCGGGCATCTTGCTGTGACGCAGGATGGATGCTCTGTTACGGCTTACCATGCTTTGCACTTCACCAGGATGACGTCAGGATTATAATTTCTGCTGTACCCATACCTTTTGCACATTTGGTATAGGACCTTCCTTGGGAATAGTGAGCACACGCTGCCCATGTGGAACATTCCTTGCACGATAAGTTTACCCTCCTTGTGTACATACGAGGTCTAGGACTCCATAAGACTCATGCTTGATGAGGTGTCAGCAGGTGACAATGACTGGAAAGTGGAGGCCCTGCAATCTGGAGTGGATGTTGCTTGTTATTTATGAGCGAGTCACTGCCATGTCGCTGTGCAAGCCTAACTAGGCCTAATGGTCACAATCTAATCTAATGTTCTACGGACCCGTGTGGTACGTGGCACGCGGTGCGTGCATAAAACCCTAGATGGTGGCTGGCTTGATGACGATGTTCGTGGCAAGGGAGCAAGGGGAAATTTGGGTTATGGGCATGCAGCTTGGAACGCATTGCAGGGACATGCACCCAACCCGGGTAAGGAAACAAAGCATTGGATAAACTGCGTCGCGATCATTATTGACCGTGACCGTAGCATACCATATGATGATGACGTCCCAGATGTCTAAGTAGTGTAACAACGTCAAGAGTATTGTGTAAGCAGCTACCTATTTACTTCATAATCCATTCTTTATTCGCCTGCATCGTTGGCCTGCATCGTTAGCATATTCTACAATCCCACGTCATGCCTTTCGAGTCCCTGCTTCTCCGTGACCTGCTGAAAAGTGACATGCCGCAAGCAAGGCATCAGCATGCCATTGTCCATGTGATGTGCTATTCGCTAAGTACCTTGCCTTCCGAACGTACATCTTATGGGGAAGTGCCGTTTAAAACACACAGCGCTTGCCCAGGCAGCAACGTATGGAACCACGTTTGCAATTACGCAACACCAGCATGGCAGGTTGATAGCGGCTGCGCATGTAACACCTAAGCAAGAGGAAAGCATGCCACGAAAGCCCAGAAGATGCCTCGCTCAACGAACACATGCCCAGCAGAAACGAACAAGGCGGTCTAGTTGTAATCATCCTGCTGTCACACGTGCTGCCTCGGTTCTCCTGCCCTAAACCCCAACATTAACCAATCCCTAAGGCGACGCAACCCAACATCATGCCAACTTCAGACTCCAACCGCAGCAAATTTCGGTACAGGCGGTAGGCGCACTCAACAAGCCTTTCAGAAGTATCTAAGGGCAACCCAACACCCCAACTGCAACTACGCCTTACGGCGACTGCTTTACCGCAACGCGTAGCTGACCGGCAACTTGCCAGGGAAAGACCCCTTCCCAAGGGCGAAGATCTCCTCGTGCTACCAAGCCCTTTCATGCCTTGCCAACAATTACCGGAAACTGTTGCCAACTTGCTATTCGTAACCCGGGTGGAAGACACTGCATCGCTGTTGGCCCCCCACAGCATGCAGCTTCTTGCCCGCTTTCCTCGAGCAGTACGGATAGTGGAACCCTGCAAGGCCGTGTGTTTGGCCAGTAACCCCGCAAGAGTGACACGAGACTGCAGAATCGACAGCTCTCTAGAACATGACGTTGTATCCACGGCCAACTAAGTACTTGTACTGTGATAGGATATACTTCCAAACAGTCTCGCATGTGAACGCCGCCGACCTCCTGGGGGCCTCCTTTCATTTCCCTTGCTTGCTAACCCTCGTAAATCTCTCTACCCCTGCCTCATGGGCGACCCTAGCATGCAGTATGCGTTTTATGAAACTTGGGGGAATGAAGTGCCCCCTACGGCCGCACTACGCATGTAGCCCCTTGCGTGCCGTTCACCGGCCGCGCCCACGGCCGGGCCCCATCCTGCCTCCCCGCCCGGGCGCTGGGCCGCCGCGCATTGGGCCCATCGGGCCCGGACCCATGCTCATGCCCCTTCCCGGACCCATCATGCCCCGCCCACCAACCTCCCCTCCCATCCCCCGCCCACCGAACTCCGGCCCCGGCCCGCGGCCCCCGAACTCCGGCCCGGGACCACGCCCGCCAAACTGTGCACCTGGCCCGCGGCCCCCGAACTCTGGTCCCGGCCCATGCCCACCAAACTCCGGCCCCGGCCCGCGCATGCGCATCAAACCACCCGGACCCGGCCCCATTGGCCCCATGGGCTCATGCATGGCTGCGTGCGGAGGAGGACCCCTTGCATCCGGCTGAACCGGCAGCCCACCTTGCATGGGGCCCGGACCCAGGTACGGCCCAACCCCCTCATACATGTGCGGCGCAACCCCAGGCGCAGGCCCACCCGGCCGACCTCCCATGTTGGGGCCCGACCCCGGCCCACCGCCACCCACAAACCCTTCGTCGTAGCCGCCGTCAAGGTACATGTTGGGCGCAGACGCCGCGCCCCCGGGCCCGCCGTGCATGCGCATCGGACCCGCGTTGGACGGGCCGCCACCGCCGCCGCCGGGACCGACCATCGGGCCCATGCGGTTCGGAATGTTGCGAGCCGGGTCGCCTCGTGCATGCGCTTGGCCCGGCGGCGGCGGGTCAAGGACCGCCCCCGCACCAGCGGGTGCTCCGGCGCCGCGGTTGACCTTGTAGGGGTCCTTGGGCGGCCGGGCGTAGACGGGACGCAGGACGGTGGACTGATCAGTGTCAAGGTCAAGGCGGTAGCCGTTGAGCGCCTTAAGGGCGTCAGTAGCGGCGCGGGCGTCCACGAAATCGACGAACACCTTGATGTTCTTGTCGTTGGACCGGGAGTCCTTGACAACCAGGCGAAGGCTCTGCAGGGGGAGCGCATGAGAGGATTGCGGGGAGGGAGGCACCGGTGTGAGAGGCTGTGGGACATGGGATGCGGTTTAGTTGCGACGCAAGGGGTCCAAACCCCATTCATTGACTTACACGAGAGACACCCGATTGTTGCCTAAGCGCAGCACCCGAGTAAATGAAAGGTGGTCCAAGCGCCCAACACCTAAGCGCACAGACCACCCATGATGCGCTGACTGGGTCCCGAAATTAAAACCCAATCCAGCTCACGCACCTTATACCCGGCGAAGGGACGGAAGATGTGAGCCATTTCGCGGCGCGTCACGTCAGGAGGCAGGCAATCCAAGTAGAGAGTCGCAGTAGCATCCGCCGGCAGAGGCGGCAGCACCGCCGCCTGCGGCGCGCCGGCGCCGCCGTTCACCATGCCACCAACCCCGCCCGCGCCCGCACCTCCCACCATGCCCATGCCCCCCTGCTGCTGCACGCCAGGAAGGCCTGCCGGCGGCTGTGTTTGCATGGGTTGCATGGGCGACGGCTGCGGCACGGGACCGCCAGCCATGGGCATGGGCTGTTGCTGCTGCTGCAGCATGTGCATACCCCCGCCAGGTTGCTGCATCCCAGGCTGCTGTTGCGGCTGCTGCTGCATTCCGGGCATACCTTGCTGCTGCTGCGGCCCCACACCCATCCCCATGGGTTGCCCACCCGCGGCCATGCTAGGCTGCGGCTGTGAACCCATGTACGGTTGCGCCTGGGAACCCATTGCCTGCTGACCCATTGGCTGCTGCTGACCGCCCATGCCCTGACCTCCCATGGCCACTGGCCCTGTAAGAGAAACAACGCCCACGCCGCCCGGAGGACATCAGGAAAACCACCTTGGAGCAGACTCAGGAAATGCACCAACAATCAAGGTGCGTTCACGGCATTTACGACCCAAGTTGAAGTGCAAAGTAATGCGCAGTGCACGCTAAAATTGGTCGCCCTCAATCCAGTGCTTGGCCAATCCTCAATGCCCCTAGGCTCGCTGACCGTCAGAATGCCTCATGTCCTGATTGCACACTAATGACAAGGATACTCCATCAAACTTGGAATACATGCGGTGCTTTCTTTGGCTTGAACTTCCCAAGTTATATGCTTAGCCCATGGCGACGCCCTAAAGAGCGTGTCGTGCAACAGCTTTCAGCTTCCGCTGCACACACCTTTTTCTCAACACACACCTTCGTCCTCAGCCCATTGCTCACCTGTCCCCAAAAGCCCCGCCAGGTTACTCAGTTGGCTTTGGCTCAACGTGGCCAGGGCGGCCGCAAGACTACTCGCATTCGCCCCATGTGGCTGTTCCATACCCGCACCCTGCTGCATCGGTGCTTGCGCCTGCATACCCTGAGGTTGCATAGCTTGCTGCTGCATGGCTTGCTGTTGCATAGCTTGTTGCTGCATGGCTTGCTGTTGCATAGCTTGTTGCTGCATGGGTTGTTGCTGCACGGGTTGTTGCTGTACGGGTTGCTGCTGCACAGCTTGTTGTTGCATGGCTTGCTGCTGCATGGCCGGCTGCATGGCTTGCTGGCCTCCTGCATCGGCGTGAAGGTACTACTATCACACCCAATACTCGTACTGCCCGTGTTGGCCCCCTCCAACACAACTGTCCCGGAACCAAACCGCAAAGTACTGTACATATTGGAAAAGAAACTGGACACAAAAGGAGCCGCTCCACCAGTGCCAAGCAGACCCAGCCTCACTTTGCGACTTACCATAGCCCTGTGCCTGATATGAACCATACTGCATGTTCATGTTCCCGTACATTTGTGCCTGTAAGGGTTCGGCACTTGGCTGGATAGCGCACACCAGGATATGCCTAACAATGCTTTCTGACCTGGAAACTTACCGGCACTTCGTTGGGCCTGGGCTGCTTGTAAGCCATATCTGAAATGCACGGTAAGCCTTGTGTAAGGACCTCAGTGTCCCAAGCATCATACAGCCCCTAGCCACCATCCAACGGTAGGCCTCGGACGCTTGTAACCCCAATTTGCTTCAACGCGACCGCTGTGACTTAATGCAGCGCAGAATATCGTGATCCAATTATACCCATCACAATTGTATTGTTACACTTCAACGCCTAGGCTGCGCAACCTTGAATAATTCCCAACCCTGTATCCTCATCCTTGCCACACCCTCAGCAGACATATGACAAGCGCTGGCCTCCCAACTTACCGTAGCTCCCACCATAAGGGCTGGGCTCATACGCCTCACGCAGCCGCTTTGCGGAGTCCATCCCCAAGGATTTTCCCCAAAGACGAGCACCTTTAGCTTTCTGACTGTCCTCTCGAACTATAGGCTCGGTTGGGTTAAGAACGGCTGTCCTAGACGAGGAATGCTCAAGAGTCGCTGATCCGCCTAGTGCACTCTTTCAGCAGCACCGGGTTAACACCCTCCACGAACAAGTCAATTCCGGTTGTAAACAAGTGCAAGATGTGCGGAGCAAAGGGCGACCACCGTGCTGCAGTGCCGGGATATATGCTGAAAGTATCGGTAGTATCTCAGGTTACAACCCAGGAAATATGGTGGCTCTATGCAATTGAAGTGTAGCGCACATCTATGACTGGTCGCCAAAAGTATGTTACCCATGGAACCGTTGTGGTACGACCTGGGCACAACCTCTCCTCGTCTTGTGGACGACCTTGCACCCTCTTTGCTTTCTTTGAACAGAAGAGTTTACTGTTTATCACAAACTAGCCTCAAGATGCGTGTCGTAAGCACGTGTCGACTGATTGCCGCCCATTGCCGCCAGGGCGTTTGTATCGGCGACTCAGCATGTGTGCATGGCTCTGGCAGCCTTGTACGCGGGCTTAGCTCCGCAAATGGTTTCGCTGTCCTGGCAGGGCGCCCAACGGGTGGTCAAGGTGAACCACACACCACGCCATCGTCTGGTGGGTTAGCACTTAACTCCGCATCGATGCGCCCGCCCGCCTAGCGTTTCGCCCCCTTTGGGACTTTGTTTTTCAACCACACAGCATTATATTCGCACTGTGTACTTCGCTTTGCGACGCATGTTGCATGTTAATTCTAGTTACTAGCAAGCAGCACGTTGAAACGTCGGCAGTACTTGGATTGCCCATGATTAAATTAGGATATTCGACGTCTACCCGGATTGGGCACCGAAGATTTACGCGACGACGACCCTGACGGTTACCCACATGGCGCCCTCCTTCTTGACACCCGAGACCACCCGAGGGCAGTGGCTTCCGTCATGCATGCCTACATGCCCTTACACCTTTCCCGTCACCTTGCTCGTCACCTCAACACCCATCGCAGCTGTCCTAACACTGATTCCCTTCCCTTTTGGTCCGCCCTCTGCAGCCGGCTGGGCAGCATGGCTCCTGGCATTGGGTACTGCGGCCCAGGGGAGCTGCTGCTTCGCTGACGCGCCCAGTCAGCAGGTAGCCTGTTCGCAGCGCCCTGCTGCTTGGGATGGTAGCCCCGCATTGCTTTCCTGCTTGCACGGGGTCCGCGGAAGCGCCTCTGGAAGCTGGCGGTGTTGCTTGATCTGGCGCTCAATGCATGTCTTGGAGCTACTGCGACGCTGTAGCATGAATGGCATGATTGCAGAGTGGGCGGTCTTAAACTATTTCAACTAATACATTCGGTGACGCACTTATGTGTGGCGCTTTATAGGGTTCCGAGGCGCCAGCAGGAGGTGCGCCCGGCACCGGTGCCAGCGGTGAGGCCGCGCCCACGCCGCTGACCAACCACCCTCTGGAGTACGATCCGGTGACCAATGAGCACACGGCCAAGATGACGATGGCGCGTACGGCAGCCCTGGAGTACTACAACGCGGGAAAGTAGGTGGTGTGTCGTCGTACATGTGTCGTACAGCCAGTGTTTCGCGGCGCTGGTGCGACTCCAGTGCTCAAGTTGCCATCCGCGTGGCCGCCGTTTGCAAGGCGTCACAAGGCGTCACAGCCAGCTGCCATGGTGTAAACGCCGCTGCCCGCCCGGGCAGCGTACGTACGTTTCTGGTTGCCAATTGTGTGCTGCCGATCGTCACATGACTCTGACAGGGACTCGTGTCGTCATTGACCAGTCGTCTCCGTCTCATGAAGTCACGGTCAAACCGTTGTGGGCCCTGCTCGATGCCCTCTGTCAGCACCACTTGCGCCCTCACCCCCGCCCCCGCCACCACTCCAGCCATGTCGCACGGTTGCTTTCTTCCTTATCATCCCTTCCTACCCGCCCCCTTCCTACCCCCCATCGCAGGTACACGCAGGCTGAGGCCAAGTTCCGCGAGGCGGTGGAGGAGGCGCAGCTGGGCTTCGAGGCGGCCGACCCGCACATCGCCTCCGCCAAGAACAACCTGGCGGAGTTCCTGCGCAACGTGGGCCGCTGGGACGAGGCGGAGGCGCTTTACATGGAGGTGGGAGGAAGGGAGGAGGAGAAGGAGGAGCAGAAGAAGAAGTAAACACCCTCTTTACACCCCGCCTGCTATCTCAAGGGCCGCCGCTATAACCCTCACTTGTTTTTGTGGCACCCAGCCGCTCCTATCCCCATTGTCCTGCCCCAACCTCTGGCTTCCTATGGTTCGCTATGGTCTTTGACCCCCCGCCCCAACAGGCCCTTGACCTGTTGGAGCGCAACTACGGTGAGAAGCACTGGCTCTACGTCTCCGCGCTGCACAACCTGGCCCTCAGCTACGAGGCGCGCGGCGACCTGGGCGCGGCGCGCTCCACCATGGAGCGTGTGCTGGCGCTGCGGCTGGCCATGTTCGGGCCGCGACACTTCCTGTATGCGGACTCGCTGTTTGCGCTGGGCCACATGCTGCGGGCGGTGCCGGGGCAGGGTGCTGCGGCGCTGAGCATGATGGGGGAGGCGGTGAGGCTGCTGGAGGAGGCAGGTGGGCGGGCGGTGGGGGGGTCGGGAAGGGGAGGAGAGGGCGAGGTGTGAGGGGAGGCCATTATCAAAGCTGGAGATGGCATGCACAAACTTCAGGTACCCCCCAGGCATTTGATGTTGGTCGCTTTAATCCTCCTTACAGCATGCCGATGGCCCACCCCCTCCTTACCAGTCCTTCCTTCCCGCTCCTCCTACCCGCCCGCCCTCGTCCTACCTCTTGCACTCCGCTGCCCCGCCCCCCACAGAGAAGGTGCAGGTCAATGTGGTACTGCACTGGCTAACGGAAATGGCCAGCTGCCACAACGCGGACGGCAACCCGCAGGAGGCGGCGTCGGCGCTGCGCCGCGCAGTGGCGCACTTTGCGACGGAACGCGGCGACGACGCGGCGGCGGCGTCGGCGCTGAATGAACAGCTCATTGAGGCGCTGGCGGCGGCGGGCAAGCCGGCGGCAGCGGCGGAGGTGGCGGCGGCGGCGCTGGCGGCGCGGCGGCGGATGTTTGGTGAGGGAGCGCAGGTGGTGGCGCAGACGGAGCTTCGAGTGGCGCATGTGAGGGGGGCGGGGGCGGGGAAAGGGAGGGAAGGGGGGATGAGGTGGTGGACTGGGATGAGACAGGGAAGTGTAGAGCGCTTGATAATGCTACCATGCCTGCATGAAGGGGGCAACGAATGGGTAGGCGAACTTGAGCCTTTGACACGCAACCTACTAGCAACTTAAGCGACCCACCTAACAACCTAAGCGCTCGCTAACTTGAGCCGGCCCCCCGCAGTTCCAACTGCTGGCTGCGCAGGCTGGTGAGCCGGCGGCGGCTGCCGAGGGTGCTGGTGCCGGCGAGGGCCCGGGCCCCGCGCTGCGGGCGCTGCAGCACGCGGAGGCTGCCGCCCGCATCAGCACTGCCACCGTGGAGGAGTGTAGCAAGCGGGGGCTGCTGTCGGGGCCGCCGCCGGAGAGGTACGGCGGCCGTACATGTCGTGTCGTACATGTCGTGTCGTACATGTCGTGTCATGTGCTTCAGCTACCCCGCAAACTACCAACCTTTGATAACCACCAACCACTGCTCACAACTGTGGGGCTGCTGCTGCTGCTCTCCCTCGCAGGTTGCTGATGCGGCTGCGTGCGGCTCACACGCTGGGTAGCGCCGCCAAGCTGGTCGCCACGCTGGCAGGAGTGGGCGACCCGGCGGCCCTGGCAGCGGCCGCCACCGCCGCCGCCTCAGCACCCTCAGCTGCCACAACTGCCACCGCAACGGAAGCACCTGCAGCGGCGGTGCCTGCCACCACCACCAGCACCTCCTCCTCCTCCTGGTCCTCCTGGTGGCCCTTTGGGCGGGGATCCAAGGGCGCCAAGACGGCGGGCGAGGGGCAAAGCGAGGAGCAGCAGGGACAGCAGCAGACGGCGGGTCCCAAGGCTCCCGCGCTGCCGCTGCCGCCCGCGGAGCCGGTTGCTGAGCTGGCACTGGCGGACCGGCGGCTGGAGCAGGCGGCGGCGGTGCTGGGGGCCGCGGCGCAGGCGGGGCAGGAGCTGCTGCAGGTGAGGAGGGGGTAGGGGGCGGGGTGGTGGAGGTGGGGGGGGGGCGCGGCATGTGGAGCCTGGAGGGCTTGCTGTCATGGCTTTCAGGCGCTTAGTCCATCTACCCATTCATCCCGCCCTACATCTTTCTATCTCTTCCTTCTCCCTTGCCCGCCTTCCTCATCCCTTGGTCTTACCGTATCCTTCTTCTCCCCGGCCTCCTCCTCTTCCTCAGGCCGTCGGCTCGGGTCGGCGGCAGCTGCCTCGCGGCGTGAGCAGCGACGAGGTGGCCGGTCTGCTGGTGGAGGCGCAGCTGCAACTGCTGGACGTGTTGGAGCGGCTGGGGCTGGTGCTGCAGGCGCGGGTGGCGGCGGGGCAGGGCGCGGCGGCGGGGGCGGCGGGCGGCCGGGCAGGGGAGGACGTGGTGGCGCGGCACCGGCGGGTGCTGGAGCAGCAGGAGGCGGTGGCGGCGGCGCTTCTGGGGTAGACGAGCTTGGCGGAGGGAGGGGGTGATGGTGAAGGGGGAGCTATGCCGCTCTAGTGGAGGAAGTAAGCAGAGGAGTAGGGGATGCAGGGGGGTGGAAGCATGCATGGAGGTAGGGGTGATGTAACCGTGTAAGTAGGGGTGTAGGTTGTGGTGCATGAGCAAAGGCTGGGACATGCATGGTTTGGTGGGGCGAGCGTTGGGTGGGGAGGATTGAGACAGAGAAAGTTTAGCTAGGAAGGATGCGAGGCATGGCATGGGTGTCATTGTTGTTTGCTTTAGTTCTCTATGCATCACGCTGCAGAGTAGGGTTTGTACGGCGAAAGGATTTGGTGTTAAGGGGAAGTGGGGAGGTGGATAAAATATGGGGTTATGGAAGGCATTGGCGAACGCTGAACGCTGTGGGCGCGCGGGGGGATCGTTATCTGTTGCATAGTGGAACATGTGCTGAGATGCTGCGTGTGGAACGCCTCATACGTGCTGTACATCTGCACGCCTTCTGAGGAGGGTGCCCCGTTTTAGGGTCGAGGTGTCCGAGATTATGTAACGGTGGGCTTCCTCACGCTGTATGATGCAAACCCAAGCAGGGGTACACATGCCTTACCTCGCATTATCGCACACCCAACACCACAATTCCAACCTCTGGCGACCCGTTTCAAACCTCAAGCGACGTATAACCATTAGTTAAGAATCTGGCAGGTCAGGTACGACAGGCACGACATCATAACCACCTGCGTTTACAATGGACATCAGCACGGGAATGGAAAAGCTTACTGTTACAGGATTGAGACTTCAGTATTTCTCTACCTAAAAACTACTTTTCAGCCTCAGTACTGCCGTGTTACGTACAGTCACAGCGAAGCCGTAGGCCGTCAGGGCCTCGGTGATCTGTAAGACCTTTGGCGTATTAAGTAGCGTGCCTCCTGTACTAAGTCCACTACTCCTGTGCTCAGCGCACAGCGTTCGCTTCGCTCGCTTAACAGTGCGAACAACAGCCCTTCGAAAATGGTTACCATTGCGGATACTGGCGGAAAGATACCCCCGGAGATCATGCGCCAAGCTGTAGAGAAATGCGCCCAACTGACGCCATTGGAGGCAGCACATGTGAGACGCGGTGTCACACCGCGGCTGTCTTATATCATTGTACCTCTTGTCCTGCTACAACCTAAATTAGCTGGTTTCATTGAGGCCTTTTTTCATTCAGCTGTTTCTGGCTTGGGGACGCGCATGACATTCGCAGATTTACGCCATTCTGAAGCAAACGCTGGAGAAGCTGGCGCTTGTAGGAGTCATCACCGTTGATCCAAAGGTTCAAGCTCATGAGCTTACGCAAAGCGTGGGCGAGGAGATCTCGCGTATGATAGCTGAGCAGAAGCAGCTCGAGAGCCGCTTCGAAGAGCTCGTGGCGCTGCAGCACGTCCTCCGCCATCAGCCCAACAAGACTAAGCTTATGGAAAACCAGGTGAGGAGGAGCTTACCGAGAGAGAAACCTTGACTCAGAGTCCCCGTGGTTAAGGGGGGGCATAGCTCACCTTGCGTACGGAAGTTGTCGGCTTTCCCAATCACGGGGGCAGTCTTAAGTGACATGTTTCACACCTGTTGCCATATCGCATCCCCCTACCCGCCTGCCTTCCCCGCTGCAGAACGAGCTCCAGAAGGTGGCTGAGGCTCTGCGCCAGAGCACCAAGCAGCTGTGCCGCAACCTCAAGGACAACCCCAACGTGGCGGAGAACATGCTCAAGGTGGGTGCCTGAGTTCCCGTTCCTGCCCGTTCCCGCCGTACGGCTGAAGTGGATGTGGATGACGTAAAGCCTATCCGAAACACACCTGGCTGCGATCTGGGTCGAGGGCACATGGAGGGCCGTCGCTTACCTCAGCCCTGTCCCGCTAACCCCCGCTAACATCTCCTCCCCCCCCGCGGCTCCATTGGCCCTCCCCATCCAGGTTGCCAGCGAGCGTCAGGCCCTGCAGCTGCTGCTGTCCAGCTGCCTCAACGAAATGGAGGTGTTCGGCAAGATGCAGCCGCTGCTGGAGAACGTGATGGCGCAGGAGGCGGCAGAGCAGGCCATGAAGGAGACCATTGAGCGCGAGAAGAACACCACAGCGGCGGTACGGCAGCTGAGGAACGACCTGCGGGAGGAGAAGCTGGACCATGAGGAAAAGGTGGGTGGGGGGGTGGGGGGGGGTATCAAGAGAGAGAGAAACCAAACTGTGGATGGGGAAAGCTGGGCGGGTGGAATGGCTGGCAGGAGAGAGAGGGTGCGTGATGACATGGGTGATGTCTCCACCAGACTGGCCTGGGTTGGTAATGCCGCTGTGTTGTTCCTGTTGTGCCCTGCCCGTCAGTAGTTGATCTATAGCGGTAGTAATGAAGTTATCACGGGGAGTGCCGTGTGGCTACTCTGCTCAGTCACGCTTAGCCATGGCTTAGTAAACCCGCGCCTACCCTTTCTTGCTTAAGTCCTACCCGCTCTCCCGCTCCCGCTCCCCTCAGATGAAGGAGAAGAAGAAGGGGCTGGTGGTGCTCAAGGAGCAGCTCAAGTCTCTCAAGATGGACACCGCCGTGTCCACCCGCTACCTGGGCAAGGAGCTCACGGCGGGCAATGAGCACGAGCGCCGCCTGCAGCGAACGCAGGTGGGGGCAAAAACTTAAATATGTGAAACAACGAGTCCCAATCCCATATCCCGACTCATGCAGTGAGCGCATTCGGAGACACTATTCTAAAGACACGCATCTCAAATGGGGGCGGGGTGGGGCGGGAGGAAGGTGCGGAGCAGGGGGCTGGCTTGCCAGGGTTCCCATGCACCTTGTTAACGTAGCTAGGGTGGTGAGGGGTGAGGGATAGTGCTACAGCGTTTAAGCGTCTAGACTACTGGAGTCCATGAAAGCACGTGGGTTACTTGCATTGTGGCTGCTCCAGTTACGAGAGTTGGCGTAGGCCGGTTCTGCTCTGTCATCCTCTGGAATCGTTATTCCTTTTTGGTGGTGGTTTTGAAGCCTGATGCCGCGAACGCCTGATGCAGTCCGCTCCCCTGTGATCCGCTTGCATCCCCCTGGCTCGCTTCCCCTTGCATCGCAGCTGGAGGACCTGCTGAAGGAGCTCAGCCTGGTGCAGCAGCAGATCGACATCGAGAAGGCGGTGCATGCAACGCAGGTGGGCGTTGCGGGGGTGGGGAGAGAGGACACGGGCGGGGTGAGAGGCGGTGTTGGCCAACTGAAGCTTGGCAGATATGAGGGTTCTTGTGCGTGTTGTTAGGATGCCCTAACAGATGCCTCTAGGTAGACGAAAGTGCTTAGCCCTCCCCCTGCACTGACCCCGTCTCTGCTTTCCTTGTCCCTGCCCCTGCCAGGCGGAGTTCCTGCGTCAGATAGCGGCCAAGATGCAGGAGGACAGCGTCAGCTGGGCGTCGCGGCACGACGAGGACATGGCGGCGCGGGAGAAGGAGCTGGAGGTGGGCTTTCTTTGGGGGCATGTGGGAGCCCACATGCTGATGTGCCATAATGTGCTCCGTCACACCTTCCCGCACATCGGGTGCACGGGCACCCCTCACATAACACACATGTAGTATACTCCGCTCACCACTCTGCTCCCCCCGTCTCGCCCCTCTCGCCTGCTGATCCGCATGCATGTACCCATGCACGCATGTGTGCCTACAGATGCTGAAGCAGCAGCACGCTCGCGACCTGTTGGAGCTGAAGAAGGCGGAGGAGAAGTTCAAGATGGAGCAGGCGCTCAAGAAGGAGCGCGAGCTGAAGGCGGCGGAGGAGCGCGAGCGCGCGGAGTTTGAGGAGATGCGCGAGGCGCGGCGGGTGCAGGCGGCGGTGGTGATCCAGGCCTGGTGGCGCGGCTACCGCATCCGGAAGGCGCTTGCGGGCGGCGGCAAGAAGACCAAGAAGGTGGCCAAGAAGAAGAAGTGAGGGGTGGGGCCAGGAGGAGAGGGAGGGACATTGTCATGGCCGTATGGAAGCTAGGCGAACAGTGCAGCAAGAAGACTGTGAATGGAGTCGAACCGGAGGGCGGTGCTCTGGTTGTTGGCTTGGTGCATACGGGCTGCTGTTCGTTACGCAAGCGTGCGCTTGTGGCAGTAGCCGGTGCGTGCATGAACTTGCTGGGTTTGGGGCATTGACACGTATATATACCAGCGTATTGGACCGCTGGACGAGCGGTGGTTCGGACGGAAGGTACGGTTGTGTGCCGTACTTGACATAAGGGGGCGAGGGCGCGCCTGCCTTAGTGCTGTGCTTGCCGTACGTCATGCCTTGGGAGGTGTGGTTGTGTCGTATCATGATGACAATGAAAAAAGACTTCATTTACGTAGTTTTGCTGCCCCGCTAGCGCCATGGCATGTATACATCTTAGCGGGACCTGTTATAATGCGATGTGCGCGAAAGTGCGACTAGAAGTGACGATGTGTGCTGCTGCTGTCGTACCGCCACCATGTACTGTAGGCGTGCGTGCTGTGTGGACTTGAAACATTTGCAGGTTTTTCTAGGTGTTGTGAGGAGCCATTACTTGACTTAATGAGCTTATAATCGGCGTGCCTCTCGTGTGTGCCTCTCGTGTGTGTGGACGTGTTGTCTAATTACCGGTAGAACAGTACGCAGGATTTAGGAGATGGGGGAGAATGTGAACACGCATGAAGGGGAATGCCATGGCCACAGCAGTAGTCTTATAGCTAGTTCCCCTCGACATTGAGCACTGAACGTGCTGCTGCCATAGAATTCTTGCTTGCTTTGACGCATTACATATTTGCTCGCATGTTGCGGCCCCAAGCCGCCACGTAACTCGTGTAACCCAAGATGTGTAACACCTGCGGTGTACATCGCAAAGCTGCAGCTTGTGGAGCGCACGATCCTGCATGGGCGGTGCGTGCCTGAGCAACACAACACGCCCAAAGGACGCCACCACCTGCTACCCCACCACCTTATCCACCACCACACACAGTGGAGATGGCGAACCTGAATGCGTACATCCAAAATGCCAGTCCACGTTCTCCCGGCCTAACGTTAAGCTGCATCCAACGGACCTACGAACTATCTACCGAAGCATAGTGTCCGACCCCTTTCAACCGCTCGCGTGCCATACGGCAGTACCGGTGCGTTAACGCAATAACCTATGTACGCATCATGCTGGAACGCAATACATAATACCTAAACACCCCCGCTTAAGCGTGCCCTAACCTTTCTAAGGGGCTGCTGCGCTGGGCTGGTGGCACTATAACCGCTTTTGCCGCGGCTGCTTATGATGCTTGGCATGCTTCGGATGCGGAGGCGGCGGCGGCGGTACGGATGAAGAATTCGAGTCGAGCCCCTGCTGCTGCTGCCCCTGCTGCTGCTGTGTCGGCAGCGTCAAAGCCTGCATGGGAGCTGGTGACGGCGGCGGCCGTGGCGGCGGCGAAAGCGGTGGCGATGACAGCACCGTCACGTTCGAGCTCGTGCCTCCCTGGACGCCTTGCTGGGTGACAGCCGGTGCCGCCAGGGCTGCGGAGAGGTCCGCGCAGCTCATCAGGGTGAAGCCCACGCGGCTGTTGCGCCGGTCGTACTGCATTGGGAGGTACCGTGCCAGTCGCATGCGTGTGTGTGTATTTGCCGGTGAAGACCAGGGGAAGGGAGGGGGATTCCATTAGGATCATGGAAAGCTGGCGAACACTCAGCAAGCAAGAGGTGGGTTGCTGATGTTGCCAATCCGTACGGCCCAATCCGCCTTCTTAATTATTACGAGTTCCCATAGGCCGCCCAGTCCAGCCCCACATACGGCAAGGCATATCCAAGCATCCAAGCAATCGGGCAGACCCACGGGTCGTACCGTCACGATGACGTCCAGCATGCTGCCGCTTCCGATGAGCGTCCCCGAGTTGCCGTTGTCAAACACACTCAGGCAGTACACGCCGGGGCCCGAGGCGAAGAGGTAGCGCTTGGGCGTCAGGTTGAGGCGCACGTCGCCGCCAAAGATGAACTCCGCGGGCGGGAAGTACTGATCCAGTTGCGAGAAATCGTCGGGGGCGCCCTTCCAGCAGATGTCATTGTACTGTGAGGGAGCAGCGCAGCACACACAAGCGCACAGCAGGGATGAGAGAGGGGACTTCAGGGTGCAGCCTTTGCCTCTGTTGAGGGAGGCACGGAGCGAAGCTTCACCGCTGGCACGGTTGAAATGCAGAGTACGGGAATGCAGAGTACGGGAGTGGTGCAGCAGCGGCACCACACAAGCATAGCTGCATCAGCATCGCGACCGAAACAACCCAGATATCCTGCCCGCCTCCCCCCTCCCACCTGCGGGTCAGCTCCCGGCGAGCGCTTCAGCCCCCGCGCCTCCGCCCAGTCGCCCACCGCCTTGACCATGGAGGTGAAGGCGACGGAGGGCAGGTAGGTGAAGGTGGTGCCGCTGTCCAACACCACTCCGTAGCCCCGGTCAAACATGGCCTGCCGGCGGTCAAACACAGGGGCAGGCCGGTTCAGCCGGTTTAGCCGGTTCAGCAGGGTCAGCTGGGTTGGGAATAACGTATAAGCAACGAGAACAGCAGTACAACACCAGGCAGCACACTACCCCTCTTCCTCCTCTCCCTTCCCTTCCCTTCCCCTCTGCTGCTCCGAGCGCCCCCCACCGTGTCCAGCGGCATCAGCTCCCCGCCCACTGTGATGCCCTCCATCTTGACGTTGTAGAAGTGCAGGTGCAGTGAGGTGAGCAGCGGCGTGTAGCGGGTCGGGGAGCCGGGCGGGAGCGGAACGTCGCCTGGCAGGAAGGAGAGGAGGCGAGGAGGGAGGGAGGGAGAGGGAGAGGGGGATGGACGAGGGGATATTGCGGGTGAGGGACATACGGGGGCTAGGGGCACGTGGAGCAGCATGGGACATACGGAGGAGGATGAGGGTGCCCTTCATGCCAACAAGTGGAAAGGGGGAATGGCCGGATGGGCATGGCGACGGGCGGGCAGGTAAGTATACCGGTGCCGTTGCTGTACCGGTATGTGTGTGCTACACTGCAGGACTGCCGGTGTGGCTGTTTGAGCGCTTACCCAGCAGCATCACGCCGTCCTTGGGGAAGCCAAAACACAGCGAGAAGACGTTGTCGATGGCGCCCTGTGCCACCAGCTGCGAACGGTACCGGTATGAGGAGGAGGAGGAGGGGTGAGCGGGTGACAAGACAGCGGAGACAGCGAAAGCCAAGGATTTGGGTTAGTTGGGGACAAACAGGGGGAGAAAAGTAAATACCGTAACTAGAAGAGAAGCGGAGGCGACAGGACGTGCAGGTTCAGACCTGGACTGTGCGACTTCACGCGCTCGAAACCTTGTCAGCGAGGAAGAGCCCTGCCTCGCCCTTCTAGCCCCTCTCTTCCTCTCTTCACACCGCCTTACAAACGTCACAAGCACCCCCCACCTGGCTCTGGAATGCGTTGTTGTTGTTGCCCATGCCCATGATGCCGTCCGCCATCTGCCGGTAGATCTCGCCCGACTCGCCGTTCTCACAGCCGAACACCAGCGGGACGGGCGGCTGCGGGTCGGGGAAGTGGAAGGCCTCTTGGATGAGCCATCCCTCGCTGCTGCTGCCCTCGGCTGTTGGGCAGCGGGCGAGGAGGAGGAGGAGGACAAGGTTGTTAGGTGTAGGTGTTCTTCTGGTCGTTACATGGGATGCATGGGGGATGGCTTAACATACTGGGGATGGCGCCCCCGGTCCCAGCACCAGGAAACAAAGACCGGCAGACGCGTGCCGGGGGTCACAGGGCTACAGCTGCAGCAGCACGGGGCGCCTCAGCAGGGAAACGCCGCGTGGTGGTACGGCTGGTACCGGTAAGAAAGTCGTCCGAACCCCACCCGCCCTCCCGCATGCTGCCCGCTAGGAGCCCCCGCCCCCTGCTCAAAAGCAGCAGCAGCACCAGCAGCAGCACCAGCAGCACCAGCAGCAGCAGCTGCTCACCATAGTATCGCCGGTAGTAGCACATGTTGTTGGTGCACAGGCAGCCCGGCGAGCCGCAGTTACACAGCGGCTCACCGCAGCCCAGTCGCCGGGCGGTGGAGGAGCTGTCCGGGTCAAACCACTCGGACTGCGGGGGCATTGTAGCCAGAAACGAAGGACGGCGTGACAGGGGAACCCGTACATGGAAATCCGCACATAAACCACCGGTACGGTACTCAAACGGAAAACGGTGAAGTCCGCGCGTGTAGTCCACAACCACGCTTCATACCTGATGATGTCCGCATTTCGCGCAGGTTTTACAGGGCACGTAGGTTACCGTACTACCCGTATCTATGATGACGCTAAACGTGCGTGCTGGGGTTCCAATCACCAGGTTTGCGTAAAAGTACCTGTGTGTTGGAGTAGCGGTATAGCGGGGAGGAGGAGCAGAGTGTGAGGATTACGGTAAGGAGCTCGTACGCTCCCTTGCACGCCACGTATTCCCTGTAACCCATGTCTCACCCTAGCTCGCGTACCCCGCCTTGCACGCGCATTGTACCACTCCGCAACAAATGCCGCCGCCATGTTTGGTGCTCCCGCTGTTGTAAAGGCAAAATAAAGCCTCCAGACTGGCGTAGGGGTTGGGCGCTGATGGTGGCATGGCCCACACTGACCAGCGCTAACTGGCACGTTACCAGCAGGAAAGCTAACACAACCATCATACACGTCTTGCAAATAAGATTATAGTTCGGTCAACTAATTCTGGGTCTGTGGCTTCCTAACTCCTGAGAACGAAGCACATTGCTAGCCCGGCTTTTAATGGCAGATAATCACGCACAATGCCAAATCAATACCTAATCACTATGCAACCGGATATTGCGTTTTATCCTGGCTAGCACAGTAGGTGTGCTACGATCCCGTCTTCTAGCCCCATGTCGCCATGACCAACGCAGACCGGTGCAACTTCCCTGCCTTGAAACACTACGAGCGATTGATAAGGCTGTTAACAGTCTCGATAGAAATTGTACTGGTGTACGAAGCATACTCGTACATCCTCAACCGCTTCCCGCTTATGGCGGCTAACAGTAAGAAGCTAACCCGAACGGACCTCCACCTGGCGCCCGCCCGCCCGGCAGTGTGCGGGCAGCCACGCCTCCTTATGCGCGTACCCGTCTCAGAAATAAGCGAGGCACTTGACTCTCAAGCACCCTTTAGCCATACCGAGGCAGTCATTTACAGCAGCGGTTCCTCGCATCCTGCTCCATGACGCGACAACGCATTGGCGCTCGCACTACGAACGCCGCTACCTCCTCATCACAGACAGCGGCAACAACACTACTCCCGCACACCACATGACACACACGGTACGGCATGGCAACACCTGCAGCTCCCTCCGCAGCCAAGGGTGTTTTCCCTCTCTCTTCCCTCGCAGCCACATGGGATATGGGCCGCGCACAAGCCTTCAAACCATATCCATATGCATGTACCCCATGTACCATGACCCCACCTCCATGTACCTGCGCTTCCGTGCTCAAGAGCCCGCATGCCCCACCCCTGCTGCATTGCATATCTCTCACCAACGCTCACCCGTTCACCAACCGCCAGCCGCACAGGACAAGGACGACGCAAAGGCACATGTAAATTAGCACAAGCCAGCAAACGAGGAGCCCTGCCAAAGCCCCTTCCAGCCTCCTTTTCCTCCTCCCGTTCCGCATTCCCTCCGCTTCCAACTCCTCTTACTTCCCTGCCTGTTGCAGCTTACCACCTAACACAACAGTTCACACACGCCCTTCCCAATCCTCCACCGCCATCGGTCTCCAGCGCCACAACCCGCGGGCAGCCCCAAGAAGCACGCATGGAACACCCACACCACCACGCCGCCTTCCCCATGCTGGCAGCATGCATGCCCCTCCCGCATCCCCCCTCCTCCAAGTACCGTATCCACGGCTCCCCTCACCGCCACTGCTGCCCCTCGCACCATCCACGTTCACACCTCACCGCCGCATGCCACGCCCGCGCATGCCCCCCCGCCCCCGTCCCCGCCCCCCCGCCATGGCCGCCTGCGCCGCCGCGCCGCTGGCCGCATCCGGCACCTCGCTCTTGGGGTTGCGCACCGTCTCGTCCACCGAGAGGATCAGGCAGGCTGCCTCCGTGGCGGCCTGAAGCAGGCGACAGGGGGGCAGCGGGGGGGGGGCAGCACAGCACATGGGAGGTTGGGTAATGTAGTACAGAGAGTAGTGCAGATTGTAGTACAACGCTTTGCAAGCACTGCGTGTAGTTACGCATGTGTGCAAGCTTTCTAGTGGGTACGGGGACTGGTAGGGCTGCCTGATTTGGGTCGAGTTAAGGACCTCCGCTGGCCCCGCTTACAGGCCTTCTGCACGCTTCCCTCACGTGTCCCCCCCATGCTTGTGTCAACACCGCACCCTCCCCCCTTCTTGCGTTAGTCCCCCCCCCCATGCTTGTGCCAATGCGCCCATTCCACCCACCAGCACATGCACACTTCAGTAGGTTCAGTAGTATTCCCGCTCGCGGCCAGTTTCCTCAATACACGCACACACACGCGCGCACCTGGATGGCGTTGATCTTGACGAGTGCGGGCTCCCACACGAACGCCTCGTACGTATCGCACACGCCCCCAGTGTTGACGTCCATGCCGAAGTTCTGCGGACGCGGGGCGTAGTGGGGGTGAGATGCAGCGATGTGGGGTCAAGGACCATACCGAACCATAGGAATCCACAGGTTGGGCCAACACAACAGGGATAGGAAGCGGCAGGGTGCCACAAAAACGTAGTGGGGGTGGTGGGGGTGACAGGCAGAGGTTCAAAATTGGATTTGGACTCATGGCCCCCCGGTTACCTCACATCGACCCTACCTCACACAAACAAACCCCATGTAACCTAAATCCCTCCACTCGCGCCTCTACGCTGCAGGGGTTACACGCGCCGCCTCCCTCCCCTCCCCTCCCCTGACCTGCCCTGTATGAGTCGGGATTTGCGATTGGGACTCCGTTGCTGCACTTATCATTCATTTTCCCCTGCCCCCTCCTGGCCCCCCCCCCCCGCCCCCTACCTTGCCGCCTCCCTCCCCTCCCCTGCCCCCGCCCCCTACCTTGCCGCTTCCGTCCGCCAGCGCGTGCTTCTGGCGCAGCTGGTTGAGCACATCAGTGGCGTCGAAGCCAGCGTTGTTGCAGAGCTGGCGGGGGATGACCTCCAGCGCCTTGGCGTAAGCCTTGATGAACAGCTGGGACTGCGGGGGGGCGGAGGGGGGCGGGGGCGAGGGAGGGGAAGGAGAGGGGGGGGGATGTAAGGTGGTGGTGGAAAACAAGTTAATAGGGAGAGGTAAGTCCTATGTCGCTCCACACTCCGGCGCCTAACCATGGCTTCCTCCTTTGCAACCCCCCCCCACATTTCCTGCATCCATCTTGACCCCTGCCACCACCTCCCTCCTTCCCTCCCCTTCCCCACCTTGTTGCTGAACTGCAGGCTGTACTCGCTCAGGTACTTGCTGAGACCCATCTCGATGGCGCCGCCACCGGGGACAATCTGGGGGAGGGGTTCGGGGAGTAAAACAAGTGGTTGTTAAGCAACAGAGCCCCAATCCCGTGTCCCGAGGGGAATAAACTCCCGAGGGGAAGGGGGTGTTTAAATAATTGGCCGCGAAGGGGGGGTGTAGTGGGGTGGGAGAAGGAGATGGGGAACCTCTGCTGGAGAGGAAGGGAGGCACACATGATGGGAGGGCACACGCATGCATGCGATGCTGGTGGTGACCACCCGCAACGTACGGTACCGGTACTATACGGTATACGGTACCATGCCGTACGGACAAGACAAGCACGGCCGACTCCGCTTCCTTCCCCTCTTCCCATCCTCATTTTTCGCAACAACAGCCCCTTTCGGAAGCCCACGCCCCCCTTCCCCTCCCACCTGCGCATGCTTGAGCGCCCTGCGCACAATCATGATGGCGTCATGCAGCGAGCGGTCCGCCTCGTCAATGAACTGCTCCGAGCCGCCGCGCAGCACCAGTGTGGCGGTGCGCGCCTCGGGGCAGCCCATGAACAGGTTGTAGCGCTCCGCACCCACCTGGGGGCAGGGGGGGAAGGGGCAGATGGGGGGGTAGGTGGGTTAGGATGTGGGTTAAGAGTGTGGAGGACGAGAGGAACGATGGAAGTGAAATGACAGTGAGATCGAAGCGAGTTATAGGCCCGCCCGCCTGTTTCCGCAGCCCCGCCCCGCCTCAGCGTCAGCATTCCGCTCTCCTCCCCCCTCCCTCTCCAATCACCTGCCGCTCCTCGAACCGCTCGCAGGTCCCCAACACCCGCGGGTCCAGGTTGTTGACGGTGGTCTGCACCTTGGCGCCCGTGGCCTTGGTGACGCGCTCAATGTCACCGCTGTCCACACGACCCGCGCAGAAGATGTTGCGGTCCGCAAAGTACTGCCCGGGCACGGAAGGGCGGGGGGGGGGGGATTGGAACATACATAGGTAAGTGCATCAAGGGGGGAGGGGGGAAAGACTTCAACTGGGTATTCTTCTTTACCTCCCGGGCCCCCAACCCCCCAGCCCCCACCTCCCCCGCCCCCCAGCTCCCACCTGCGTGGCCAGGTCTCCAATCGCCAGCCTTGACAGCACGATGTTAGCCCCGCTGGCGACGCACTTGGCCAGCTTGTCGTAGATGATGTTCCACTCCGCATCCACGATGGACTGATACTTGGCGGGGTCGTCCAGCCGTACCTCCGCGTTCTCCTTCTCCGCCTTCAGCTCCAGCTCGATGTTGAGCACCAGGATCTTGGGCTGGCTGAAGGATTTGGGCTGCTGCTCGAAGCCTGGGGTACGAAGGGGGGAGGGAGGAGGGGGGGGGTTAAGTAGGGATAGGCATTCCGCATTAGGCTGTGGATTTAGGACTGCGTATAATAAAATTTGCAGAGGGAAAGGAAGGATACCCGGTGTGTTGGGTGAGGGTGGCAAGCAAGGAGACGAGCTGGACAAGCTGGGGGAGGGAGGGAGGAGGCATGTTATACAGAGGGCATGCTACAGCTAGTTGCGAAGTCGGGTTGCATGGAAGTGGGGGTGCCAGGGTGCAACAGGGAGCAAGGGGCCCCGTTGGGAGCAACAGTCGAGAGATAAGTTTCTTACATACGCTGCCGCGTCAGCGTAGCAGCAAGTACGGCCCCTTCCTTTAGGCTTGCAGGCAGGCAGGTGCATGCCAACCCACCCCTACCCGCCACCCCTACCCGCCACCCCTACCCGCATACGAGAAGGTCTTCTTAAACGCCACTCCGTCCACCAGGAAGGAGTCGCGCAGCCCGCCTCCCTGCACCTTCTTGATGCCGATCATCTTGAGGTCCAGGGAGGAGGGGTCCAGCACCGACACCGCGTCAACCACCATCTGCGCGAAGAACTCCTTCTCGCCGCTCACCTGAGGGGGGGGGGATGGGGGGTTTGAGGAGGTGCGGGGGGTGAGGGGGAGCGGGGGAGGGCAAGGGTTGCAGCGGGCATGGGAGGGTGTGTACGGCAATGGGAGGGTGTTGGCTGGAGATGGGTTGGGAGGCAGGAGCTGAGGCGCTAGACGGTAGGCATGCATGCATGCATGCATGACGGCTGCGGAGGCAATGTGGGGTGTGGGAGGTTGCGGCTGGCTAGACGTGTCTTAAGCAGACGATAGGGCCATCAGCCATGCGCGTGGCCCCCGCCTCTGCAGCATGGTTGGCTGCTTTGCTCGCCTCCATGACCGGCCCTTGGCCGCATGCCCCCCCTTGCACGTTAGACGCAAACATTGTGCCTGACCCATAGCTATGCCCCCAACCCCACCCGTCCCAACGGTCCTGCTCCAGATGCGGCCTACTTTCCCTGCACACCCCTGCAACAGCGGTGGCTGGCTGGCCGGCCGCGCCCTGACGCTCCTCCCCCCACTGCCAGGCGGTCCACCGCCCATATGGCCCCCACCCCCATAATGGCAGCACGCCTGACTGCCTCCTCCCAACGGGCCTCCCCGGGCTCTCAGGAGCAGCACACCCACCCACCTTATGAGCAGCACACCCACCCAAAGGGCATACCCCACCTCCAATCCCTTTCCAATCCCATGGCTCCCTTCTCCAACGCACCACGCGGCATCCCCCTTCACGCCATTACCATAACCTCTTCTTCCACGCTCCATGCGCCGCCAGACGTCCGTAGCCCAGAACACCAGAAGTGCGATGGCCCCGGCCCTGCCGCCCCAAAACACACAACCCTGCCCCCCCCACACTCAGCCACCACCCGGCCCTCCCCCTCCCTTCCTACCAGCTTGCTGTTGAGGGTGGTCATGGCGCACTTTTTGAGCAGGTCCTTCTTCTCCTCCATGTGCTTGTCCTCCAGGCTGATGGCCAGCGCACGCAGCTGCTGCACCGCCAGCACAGAGGCCTGGCGGAAGCTCTTGATCAGGCTCTGGGGGGGGAGATGAGGGATGAGGGATGGGGCATGAGGGAGGTGTTTCACTAGGTGATTGGAGCAGCCAAGAGTGTTGGGCGTTGGGCCAGGCAGCCGTGTTAAGAGAAAAGAGACCCATGGGCCGGAGCCGTTGATGGCGGCCTTGGACCCTGTATAACCAAGTGGTTCCTTGCAGACGTGTCCTGGCCTTGCGACACCCGGTACTCAATGCCCTGCTTGCTGCTTGGGATGATCGGCTTTCAACGCTGACACGCCCTGCAGTGCTGTGTTCTTGTCATGGGCCGGGAAGCAGCCCAGTTCACGCCTCCTGGTCAGCCATCTTCGGCCACCTGACCCCTTGATGCTAGCGGGGCGTAACTCTTCCCCAACCTCTGCCCGGATGGCACACTCACGCGTGGGTGAACACCCTCCTCGATGAAGGGCTTCGCCTCCTTGAGGAACTCGCCGGCCAGGATTACCACGCTGGTTGTCCCATCGCCAACCTGTCAGCAAATAGCCAGCGTCATTGATCTACTGCTTGACCGCGTTATAGGCGGGCCCGCGCGCCCGCGGCCCAAAAGCGCGCGCAAACGGCGGCCGGGCTTCACCGCTGGAGTTAATTTCCTCTGTAAACGCATGATCACTTAAGACGTAAAGTTACCTCTGCATCTTGTGCAAGTGACACGTCCACCAAGCTCTTGGCAGCCGGATGCACAATGTCGAGCAGCTTCATGATAGTCGCGCCATCGTTCGATATAGTAACACCCTGCGTCATGTAAAATGCTAATGCATATAGCCTTCCGAACCATTAACAACAGTCATCAGCCTATTCCAGTAGAGCTTGACAATCGCATCCCGAACATTTGCCGAGCATACCCTGTTATCATGGATCAGTTTGTCCATTCCACGGGGACCAAGCGTCGTTCGAACTGTGTCCACTACCGCCATGCACGCGTTGATGTTGCTGATAAGCTGGGGCTTGCCCTGGCTAGTATCCGTCCCTTCTTTCAAGAGAATGATCTGGGGTTGCATACCCATCATTGGCATCATTTTTCTGAGTCTCTATGAGCAGAAGCACACAGGTAGGTGTAAGGTCTGTAAGTCCGCGCCAAATGCTAAGTAAAGGATGATCTAGCTTCCAAGACAGTCGAAAGCCTAAGACCAGTAAGCTTTGTTGCTATATATGAGCGCTTCTGGCTGTAGGAATAAATTCCTTGCGAGTATAGTTGCTAACAACATAGTACAAGAGGGAGCCGTCATGTGCCGTACAGTACGTTACAGTCGTAACTCTGGTAAAGCAAGCCAAAGTAAAGTGTGTACAGTCCTTGGCAACATGCTTTGCAGATAGCCAAGAAAAGCAAATAATAACTCTATCTGCACCAGGGTAAGCACTTCGCAACACCCTTTACCGGCCCCATCCTGCCCCATCCTACGCCTAGTCCTTCTTCAACAAAACGCAGAAAGAATATTTCACGCAGGCACCCATTTGCTCGATAATCCATTCCTCCACCCGTAAACCGCAACACCCAAAACACACTGCATTAAGAGCACTTCCAGCCTAAGCCGCTAGTCTCTAGCTCCGTGCTGTGCCTTCTAGCATCCACCGAGTAGCTTAGCCCTGGGCGTGGAGCGCAGTCCACTGGCGGGCTGCGTGGGGGAAAGGGAAACACGGGACGCGATTTTGTTCAGTTACATATGGTGCCTTTGCCCCCTCGGGATCGTCCAATACACGCGCACGGGTCTAGGGCGGCTACTCAATCCACATGCAACATCCCTGGCGCGCCCTTACCGGTGGCAATCGCCTCCTTCTCGTTCTCCTTCCAGTGCTTTGCAACGTTGTCGGCCAGCGGGTCGTCGGGGTTTGGCGCCGACAGCAGGGCTTGGATACTGCGGGTGCGAGAACAGTGGCTTACATAGCGTCGCTCTCTTAAGAGTGGATAGGCACGGATGCGTGCCTACCCATAGCCACACATCCCCTCAAGCCACCTGACTTACAACTCACAGGCAACACGGGCATGATACATAGCAGCCCTGAGAGTAACGCACCTGAGTAGCACCGTGCGGATCTGGAGCGCCGGGGACCACTTGTCTTTCAAGATGTCCAGGCAGATGCGGCCCAGCTTGTCAATGCTGCAAGCAGGGCCCACGGACAGGTGAGGGGCTCCGCATGTTGAGGCAGACTGACATCCCCCGGGTCGTATGTACTTACTTGGGGTGGTAAATCTTGGTGAGGAAGCGGACCTTCGGGGGCGCCATGGGGTAATCCTCGGGAAGGAAGAGCTCCAGCTTAAAGACGCCGCCCTCATAGGGCGACTGCTGGGGGCCCAGTATCATGACATTGAAGTAGCGCAGGTTCTCCTCCGACGGCGAGGCGCTAATGCCAGGAGCTGCAAACGATTAAGCACGAGGAATTGGTCCTGGCAGTTCTAGACGAAAGCTGGTTCTAACGCCCTAGGTAATTGCCCCAATACTGACCAGGTTCGCTAAGCAATTTCTGGGTCTCCTGAGGGTGTCCGTATGGAAGAAAACAACGATGAGTCGCAGACTGCTGAAGGGATCCACCGGGGGCAACCCTGGCGACTACGCACCTTAATAATACGCCTAGGCAGCTGAGCTGCCTGAGCAGCCTGATCAGGGTTCATGTTTTTGCGGCGCTTTTAGAAGGGACCCTTGTCGACAAACTACGAGCTGGAACTGCTTACAAGGCAATGCACCAGTCGCCAAGTTCCTATCTCATCATAAAAGCTCACTAGACATGTTGCACCTGGGCAAGCGGGACCTCCGGTAAGGCGCTCGGAAAGTACGGCATAATCGCTGTACTTTTTTGTTGCATCGTCCGATTCACATTGTATATATATCCCGAAGAGATGCAGACCGTTAGATGCCTCCGGTGCTTTGCACAACGCCGCTTGCTGGTGAGGTTTGCTCGGGTTTGTTTTGCGCTGCCGTTGAGCCGGCATCGGCTAACGCCTGTCCGCAATAATGTGTTTGCAATTGCATAATGCCAAGTGAATTTATTAAATGCGACTGACCCGAATCCTGAACATATAATTAACTACCGCAATCCACCGCCCCCCGCGGTGCACAAAATTCATCCACCGAACTCGCCCACACTGTACCCCGCACGGCTCTGCTTTCCTTCACCTCCCCCTCGGATTCTTACAGCACACCCGCATTCACTCCGCTGCCACACTGCCCAAATTCCCCTATCCTCCACGTTGCCATGTACCCCTCCTGACGCCGCCTCCCCAAGCAGCCTGCAGCGGCAGCAGCAGCGGCGCAGCTCCCGCCTAGCGTGCGCCGTTGCTCCTCCGCCACCTCCACCCCCGCCTCCGCCACCTCCATCCCGCTGCCCTCCGCCCCGGCAGCTGCCCCCGCACCTCGCGCGGCGCTGGTGGTGATTGGCGATGAGATCTTGTCTGGATCCGTGGTGGACTCCAACACCCCCTGGCTGGCCAAGCTGCTGCACAGGTGGGTGGGGGTCCACAGTTCCCTGCCCAGGCGGGTCCGGGGTGGGAAGGGGTGAAGGGGTTAGGGGCAAAGGGGTTAGGGGCGAAGGGGTTAGGGGCGAAGGGGTTAGGAGCGAAGGGGTTACCGTAGGGACTCTGTTTGCTGCCATCCCATGCCTCCTACTACCGGTAACTCCCCTCTCCCTCCCTCCTGCTTCACCAAATTCACCTCGCGCCCAGTCGGGGTGTGGATCTGATCCGCGTGTCGTACATCCCCGACTCGCGCGCCGAGATCCAGGAGGCCGTACGGGACTGCCGTACACGCGTGGGCCCGGACGGCTTCGTGTTCACCAGCGGGGGCATCGGGCCCACCCATGATGACGTCACGTAAGCATTGCCTTCTTTTACACTTTCAGTAATACCGAATCTACACATTATGCCGTACGGCTAAATGTGGTCGTATGGCAGTACCCTGATGACGCCATTGTGTTTGTCAATGCCGTAACCTCTTCCCCCTGTGCTGTGTATGCGTGTCTCCCGGCCGCAGATACGAGGCGGTGGCTGAGGCCATGGGTGAGTGGGTGCTGGCGGGGGTTGGGCGATGGGGGGCTGCGTGCCTTGCGGGGCTTGCCCTCCCTCCCTCCCTCCCTCCCTCCCTCCCTCAGTTTCCTGCCTTCTTCCCTCACTTTACGGGATTAGGACTCCAGCTGCTGCACTTCCCACTTAATATTTCCCTCACTAACTTTCCTGCCTCCCCCTCCCCTCCCCCTCCCCCTGCCCCCCCCAGGGGTGCAGTTGCAGCTGCACGTCCCCACCGTGGAGCGCATGCGCGGCTGGTACTCGGCCCGCGGCGTGGAGCTGAACGAGGCGCGACTGAGGATGGTGAGGAGGGTAGCGGTACCGCCCGTGCCCGCCCGCAACCCTACTCCCCATGCTCCCCCCCACGTCCCCCGCCACCCCCCCTGGTAGCAACCCATGGTGATGCCTCGTCATACAGCTCGTCAGTTTCCTCGGTTTGCCGCCCTCCTCGCCTCCACCTCGCCCCCTCCTTGTCCCCACCTTGCCCCTCCCTCACAGCCTCATTCACACATTGGGTATCCTTCTTTTCCCTCCCCCTTCCCGCCAGGCCACCCTGCCCTGCCCCAGCGAGGTGCTGTTCACGGAGGGGCTGTGGGTGCCGCTGGTGAACGTGGGCGGGGTGTACGTGCTGCCCGGCATCCCGAGGCTCTTCCAGGCCATGGTGGCGGCGCACCAGGTGTGTGGCATGGGGTGGGTGGGTGGTTGGGGGAGCAGCATGCGGGGGGTGGGGGAGCAGCATGCAGGTTGGTTCCAACATGCGGGGGGGTTGGGGGAGCAGCATGCGGGGAGCAGCCTCCCCTCACCCCCGCCTGCCCACCCCTCAACACCCCCCTCCTTCTCCCTTCCAGGACCGCTTCTCCGGCCCCGCCTTCCACTCCTCCGCGCTCTTCACGCAGCTGGGCGAGAGCGACCTGGCGGGGCCCCTCACGCAGGTGGCCGCGCGCCACCCAGCTGTGGCCATAGGGTAGGAGGGGGTGTAGGGTAGGAGGGGGCGTAGGTTTGGGGGGGGGTAGCAGGGGGCGTAGGGTTGGGGGGGGGCGTAGGGTAGGAGGGGGCGTAGCGTATGTGGAGGTGTAGGAGGGTAACGAGGAAGGAACTATCTAGAGAGGCTGCTGGGGGGCAACATGGGGATAAGACAAGGTATTAACACAGACGGCTACCGTGTAGGGAGCAAGCTGTGCTTCATGCTGCCATGCCTTACCGCACCCACCTCCCTTGCCGCACCCACTCTCCCCCCCCAGCTCCTACCAACTCCTACCCCCATTGCTTTGCCCTAACTTGTGGTCTCCTATGGTTTGGTGTGGTCTTTGACCCCCCAGCTCCTACCCCAACACCGCGGCTGACACGACCGGCAGCTACAAGGTGAAGCTGGCGCTCAGCTCGCGCGACCCGGCAGCGCTGGCGGCGGCGGTGGCGGGTGTGCGGGCGGGACTGGGGGACATCTTCATGGAGGAGGGGGAAGCGGCGGCGGCAGCAGGGGCAGCGAGCTAGAGGAGACTGCGGGGTTTACGTTTGGGTGCATGTACCTGGGTGACTCAACATGTCGTCAAGCTAATAAATATGGGGAGTCCTATAAGCACAAACATAATCCAGTACGTTCCTACGCGAAACCAGTTTTATTAAGGACCCTTTGTGTGTTGTTAATGGTGTTAAGGATTCTGGCGTGCGGATACTGTTTCGTAGTTCTGTGTACGTTTGGAGGTGAGGGGTGCCATGTTGAGAGGTGGGGTGTTGGGACCCTGTCGGGCCCATGCGTGCGTGTAGGAGAGGAGGGTGTTTGTTGAGGGAGAGGGTGGCAGAGGGAGAGAGGCGCCCCTGCAAGAGAGAAGGGTGCGCAGCTGGGTCGGCACTACCGGTACCCTCACCTCGCCCACACGCCCAGTGATCTGCAGTGAACTAGTGATCCGCTGTGCTGGTATGCATATGTGTGTCGAGAAACATGTACTCCAGGTGTCGAAAACTCCGCAGAGCTTCCTCCTACTGAGCGATTGCGGGTGTCCTCCACGCGATTGCTGTGTATGTGCACAAGTACGTATTGCTAACGGCCCCAATCTTGCTCTCATTACCCGCTTGCCGTACTCTTCCACGTCGGCAGGGGCTGCTCTCCTTTGGAGGCCCTGAAGCTTTACCCATGCGGTTTACCGGAATGGGAGTATAAACCGAAACTAGAAAGTTGCGGGTTGAGATGCAGTGACTGTGTTGCCTGCGAGCTCCCCGGCCCCGTGCCCGCGGGCCTCCCGTGCCTCTGTACGGCACGAACCGGCAGTACAACCGCCGAACCGTATTGTGGAAGGAGGAAAGGCGCGGCGCTAATCGGGACTATACGGCGGGCGATGTGGTTGTATACTTGTATTACATCACGACGCTGCGCTGCATGCTGCACATTGCGCTATTGCTACAGCGTGGCTCCAGCATGACGCCGTGTAACCGCTGCTGCTGCTTTGTAGCTTGCATGGCCACCTGCCCACCTGTAACTGGTGACCCAGTTATATCCTATCGCCTACATTGTCTCGCAACGCACAATGGGAACAACTCCACAGCTACCGGTATCCAGCTACTATTACTTTATTAGCCTCCAGCGCAGCAACATCCGCCGTGCACCAGGTCCCCCTTCCTGAGGAGCGGTTCAGGAGCAGCAAGTTGCGAAAACCTCCAGACCGTTTTCGATACCTCCTTGCTTCGTTTAGGGAGGAACTCTCATGACGCCAATCTGTCTCTTTCCCTCCTACTCTGCACAGGTCTACGCGTGTCTGCAGAAACCCACCACACGTCCACACTCACCCCCCTGCGGCCCCTGCCTAACAACATTAACATAGCCTTCACAACTAGCCTTCCTTTCTAGCCTTAAACATCTTCTCAGCACCATCACTACCGCTACGCCTGCACCTCTCAACAACGTGACCCTCGTCACGTCCTTGCAACTGCCGTACTGTAGGTACCACCCAGCACCAAACACCGCCCCTCCATGTATGTACGACACCCCACCACCGCAGCAGCGCATCTCCCAGCGCGACCGCTAACCGCTCCTTGCAGACACACTCTCTCTTCCTACACCCTCCCAATCCTTTCCTAACCCCTTCCGCAGCCCCTTGTGCTCCACTGCCGGTGCCTCCATGGGCACCTGTCTAACCTCCCGACCTCCGGACCTCCACGCATGCATGTAACTCGCAACCATCCTGCTGCAATCCAAACCGCATCGCTACGCCCTCTCTACGCCCCCTCACCATGGATCCATCACCATGCTGCAACACATGGCGGCTGAGCCTTGCCACGTGGTTATGTTTGCCCTCCCTACTCCTTCACCGACCCCTTCCCCTCCTCCTCCTCCTCCTCCGTCTCCGCGCCCCTTGCAACCCCCTCCCAACGCGCCGTCGCACCCCCCCCGGCGGCACCCGCTGCAAGGCCCGCCGGAATGCTCTGAACCTCACACTGATATAGCTGACCGATGGCTACAGAGGCCCTTTTGTTACTGTGGCCATGTGACAAGATAGCCTCTACGACATCCCCGGTACGCAACAGCAGTGGTAGAGTGGGTGAGGAAGGGGATGTGGGTGCTGGAGAAGGACAGGGGGACGGGATGGGCGGTGCTAGGGTGGTGGCGGTGGTGGTGTGTTGGGAGGAAGTGACCCACGGGTCAGGCTCGGCAGACGCCGCGGCAATGATGGCTCGCCGCCGCTCCGCCTGGCGGGAGATGAGGTGGGAAGGCAGTGAGGCGTAGGTGGACATGTTGGTAGGATAAATGGTCACATTATTGTGCGTCAGGGGGTTGAAAAGCCGCACACAAACCACAGATAGGTATCCCAGTTGATAACGTAACCCCAGTCGTTCACAACATGTGGAGAGCCACATGTACGAGCCACCCGCATGCATGCACTCGTATGCATGCATGCATGCACTCGTATGCATGCATGCATGCACACTCCTTCCAGCCCCTCGCAAGTGGCGCGACCCGTACCTTGTCCGCTGCCACCGATTCCTCCCATACCGCCCGCAGCGGCTCAGCCATTGCCTCTGCCCGTAGGAAGCAGAGCAGCGGCCGGAGGGCACCATGGGACTCGGACGGAGGATAGCGATCAGCAGCAGCAGCAGCAGCAGCCGTTTCGTTAACTGCCGGCATGCCGTCAAGACTATCCGCCGCACTGTGCCCCACCACGTGCCTGCCTGACCGGCCCCTACGGGCTTCAGCTCTGCTCCTGCGGCCTCCGCCCCTGCGGCCGCTGCTGCTGCTGCTGCTACCGTCATAGCTGCTGCCAGGGCTGTCATTGTAGCTTCTACTGTGTTTGGGGTTGCCGCTTTTGGTGTTGTTGTTGCTGTCGCTGCTGCTGTTCTCGCCCTCCACCAGCAGTTGGCAGTAGGCTCCCGTGGGCACCAGGCTGAGCACGTGTGTGAGCACCAAAGGCCGGTTGTTGGCGTGAGCAATGCGCACCTAGGTGCCACCGCAGGGATGAGAGGAGGGCGGGGGGCAAGGAACGCGCAAGTAAGAGAATGAGGAGCGGAGAATGGCGTGTCATGATGCATGTGTACAAGGTATGACAAAGGGATGCCGAGTACAAGGGCCGGGTGTTCGGTGCGTGCGTGCACCTGTGTAGAAAGAGGTGTGCGACAGGGCAGGAAGAGACAGGAGGAGACAGGACAGGAGACGGGACAGGAGCAGGAGGAGACAGGCAGCTGGAGGTTGGGGAGGGGAATGAATACGGTAGGCAAGGCCCCCAAGCAGTGCAGCGACTGCACTCATGCATGATGCCCGCACTTGCATCGCCCATTCGGGTGAAAACCCTGCAGAGGGCCTGCAACGGCTATCGCCATTCCGTCCTCCCTTCTCCCCTTAATCCCATGGCCTTGCCCTAACCTATGGTTTTGGTATCGTATACCGGTACCTTTGGCCCTCCCTCACGCACACCGCTTCACCCCTGCCCCGCACCCCCAACTCACCATTGCTCGCACGGTCCCCTGCATGGTCTGCAGCGTCTGCGGTTGCAATACCTCTACCATCTCCACACGTAAATCGCGGTCCTCAGTCCTCGCTGCTCCCGCCTTGCTCCGAAGCATCTCAAAGTGGGTAACTGCAGCCAACACCTTCCGAACCTGCCCTCCAGCCTCCAGCCCTGCCGGCTCTTCCTTTCCTCCCGCTGCTGCTGACCCCGTTCCTGGAGCTACTGCTGCTCCCATCTCATCCCATTCCGCAGCGTTCGCTGCGGCCACAGCCGCCGCTCCCGAGTCCAAGTGACCCATGGGTCTTTCCCCCTCCCTCAGCTCTCGCAGCACCGCCCCCCAGTCCCGCCCGCCTAGCAGCTGATCAGCTGTCATGGAGACAGGTTGCCGTACACCTAGCTCGGCTAGGTACGGAAAGTCCACAAAGGCGGTGTGAGTGGATCTGTCGTACGACAGGATCGTGCCATTAAACAGCTCGCCTAACGGCAGCAGCTTTCGAAGCAAGTTGAGGCTGTGTGTCTGTATGGGTTGCGCCCGACTGGGGCTGAAGGCTGAGGGGAAGGGGGTGGCAGCTGCTGCTGCTGCTCCTGCTGTCGCTGTTGCAGGGCCAGTGGCAGGCACCCCGTTGAAGCTACTCATAGACTCGTCACGTGAAGGATGCGACTGCGGCTGCGGCGGCTTGGGGTGGCGAGGCAGGAGGGGCGTGGGGCTGCTGTTACGCCACTGGGAGGAGAAGGCCGGGACGGCGGCGGAGGACGATGTCGTTGCAGGCGAACCGACAGTCGGAGTAGGTAAGGAGCGGTGGGTTGAGGAGGGCGCAGCAACGGAGCGACGGGGATGAGGAACGCGCTCCAACCGTGCCAGCCCTTCCTCCCAGCTGCCGTCCTCCGGACTCAACCTCAACTCCTTCTCCTGCCCTGCATGTTGTTCTTCCGGGGGTGCCGCGTGGCTAAGCCGCGCGGGTCGCCCTTCCTGGGCGCTCTCATGCACCTCATCATCAGCGCTGTTACCGGTAGGCACCGGCAGATCCCTCTCCTGGTATGCCCGACCCTCTAGACCCAGCAGCAGTGGCAGCCCTCCCCGCAAGCCGCCGCCATCGCCATCGCCATCGCTGGAGTTGGAGTTGGAGTTGGAGTGGGAGTGCGGCTGGGGGGCGGACTTGGCGACCTGGTGCACGATCAGAGGGCCCTCGTCTCCGAAACCAAACAGCTCCCCAATATCCTGATCAATACCAAACTGTCCTGACGGCGTTTGGGAGCAGTCTTGCTCGTGCGATGGCTGACCTTGTGGGAGTTGCGAACGTCCTTGCGGCTCCTGCTCACTCCTGAAGCCCTGCTGCTGCTGCTGCTGCCCCCCATCTTGCTGCTGCTGCTGCCCCCCATCTTGCTGCTGCTGCTGCCCCCCATCTTGCTGCTGCTGCTGCTCCTCTAGTGGAGACGCCGGGCTATCAGATCCCCTGCTGCCCCCGCCCCCGTCCCCACCTCCAAACGACGTCGCCCACTCCCCATGCTCCACCCCCAGAGCCATCACCACTGGCCGCCGCGGAAAACCGCCCGACTGACCCATGGGTCCATCGTCATCGCCGTCTGGGAAAGAATCCGCTGCAGCACCAGCTGCTAGCGTCGCTGGGCCGCTTCCCGACTCCCCAGCACCCATTCGGGGATGGGAAACCTCCTTGGCTGCGAGCCCAGCGGCCTCCTGCCGCTTCGACGCCTCCGGAACCGAACTCCCTTGGGGTGACCTCCCTTGGGGTGACCCAGCATCCTCCTGCTGTTGCGGTGGCCGCTGCGGCTCATGCTGCTGCTGCGGCTCTGCGTCGCCGCCGCCAGCATAACCACTACTGGTTGGGGTCTTGGACGCTGGGCCGTCGTACAGTTCGTAAGCCCATACCGGATCCTCTGGTTCGGGGCGACCTAGCGAGTCGCTTTTCCCCTGGCCGGACTCTTCGTCAGCAGCAAGGTCACGGGGGTTGATGCCGGCCGGCTTGCCGTACCACGCATCAATATCAGCCTCAGTGACGTATTTGCGCTCCTGGGGGCCACGGTAGCCTATACCACTGCTGCGGCGGTGGTTCTGACGCCCCTGCTTGGATCCGTACGAAGAGTAGCCGCCACCAAGGCCCCAGTAGGTATCATATCTCTTCACTGCTTCCTCAAGCGCCTTGTTAGGGTCAAAATCCTCCACCGCTGCCGCACCTGCAGCGCCCCCTGGCGAGTCGCTTTTCCCCTGGCCTAATTCTTCGTCAGCAGCAAGTTTACGGGGGTTGATGCCGGCCGGCTTGCCGTACCACAAATCCAAATCAGCCTCAGTGACCCCCGCTCCTGCAGCGTCCCCCGCCGCCCCTTCGGAATCAGGGGTCCCATCGCTCCCAGGCAACGGAACCGGCGCCAGCCAAGCCCGACCGGGTTTCCAGGGCCGGACCGCCGCCGCTGCCGTAACGGCTGCTCCTCCTCTTCCACCCCTTCCGCCCCTTCCCCTTCCAGCCCTCACTCCCCTCGCAGCCGCCTTGCCACGGCCTTCATACGACGCCCCCGCCGCGGCACCCTCCCCTCCCTTCTGCTTCCTTCCTGCGGAGCCAGAACCTCCTGCTTGCTCCTGCTTCCACTGTGAGGCACCGAAATTGTCATCGGCGCTAGCACCGTAGTACGCGGCTAAGGCATTAAGCACATCAAGATCATCGCTGACACCTCCGTACGGCAGCCCTATGAAGGGGTCCCTGTCGTCCTTGGGTGCGTCGCGACTGGGTGGCTCGTTGCTCCCTTGGTCTCCAACGTAGCCCCCATCGTGCTCCCAGCTGCTCCCGAAAGACGTCTGGTAGCCGCCGCCGTCCTCGCCTCCGCCGTACTGCAAGTACCGAAAAGCGCCCTCACGTTGCTTGGCGCGGCGACGGCGGTGTTGCCAATCGCCTCGCTGCTCAAAGCCCCAGTAAGCAGCACCGATACTCCGCTCAGCGGCTTCAAAGCCCATAGCCAACCGCTCTTCCTCTTCCGCACCGCCGCCTGGACCCGCACTGAGGGTGCTGTCGTACAGATAGCCCCCGCCGCTGACCGGCACTTTACCATCAGCATGGCGCTGCTGCTGCTGCTGGCGTTGATGCTGCTGCCCGCGCGGCGAGTAGCGGCCGACAGGAAGCTCGTCGTCGTTACCGATACCATTGGAGGAAGTAGGCGGGGATGATGCGGTGAGGGTGGAGGAGGAGGAGGAGGCCGGGGCAGGGTCCGGGGTAGCAGTGCGCATAGAGCGTCGAGCGGGTCTTGCGGTGTATACGGCTGCCGCTGCTGCGGCCTCGGATGCGTTTGCGGCTGTGTTGTCAGAGTTGTGCGGTGCGGAGGAGGAGGAGGAGCCTGAATCGCCTGCGTGCTGCTCCTGCTGCTGCTGCTGTCGCAGACGTTGCGCCGCTGCCAGTTCCCGCAGCGCTGCCGCGGCGGTTGCGGCAGCCTGCTCAACTTCCTGCGCGGATTTGGCCGACGGGGCCGCCGACGGCGGTTGTGGCGGTTGTATTTCGCTACCGGATCCCGTCACAGCCGATGTCTCCCGGGGCTGCTGCTGCCGCTGCTGCTGCGTCTTCGTCGCGGTTTCCTTCTCCCCAGCAGCAGCCACCACCATCACGTCGTCGACATTATCAGCAAGCGTCTTCCCAATCGCAGCACTTCTGGGCCGCTGCTGCCGCGGCGGCCGCCGAGTAGCCGCCGCAGTTGCAGCAGCCACCGCAGCCGTGTTGGTGGCGGCGGCGGTGGTGGTATCCGACGCCGTGCCCTTGCGCCCCGGCGGCGGTCGTGGCGGCGGCGTCCCCAGCCGCATCTTACCCTCCAGCCGCTCTAGCCTGGCAACGTTAGTGGGATTGGACAGCACCGCTGCCGCATCCGCCATAGCTGCCTCCAGCTCCGAAGCCGAAGCGCCTCCGGTCGCCGCCGCCCCTCCCCGCGTCACGGCGTCTGGCGGAGGCGCGGTTGGGTCCGTTACGGCCACCACGGCCTCCGGATGATACCGCTGTGCAACCTCGTCCTCTGCCGCCACCTCCTTCCTCGCCTCCTGCTTCCGGAAACCACCCGAGTGGGTTCCATCCGCATGCTGCCCCGCATGATGCCGTCCTGCCGCAGCAGCGCCGGGCGCCTCACCAGCCTTCACCGCCCCCGGAGGGGGGCTAGTCGGTGCCGCCACAGTCTCGGACACAGCCCGGTGGGTGGCGGGTTTCGGCGGCTTCTTGACACCGGCCGTGCTCAGCAGCCGTGGCGGAGGTGCACCCAGCCGCATCTTGCCCTCCAGCCGCCCCAGCTTGGCAACGTTACTGGGGTTAGACAGCACCGCTGCCGCATCCGCCATAGCCGCCTGCAGCTCTGCCGCTGTGGCCCTTCCGGCTGCGGAAGCCCCGCTCAACGCTGCTGCTGCAGCCGCTGCTGCAACACTCGGCTGCTCGCCCTCCACTGCCTCCTCCTCCTCCTCCTTCCCCTCCCTCCTGTTCACCGCCTGCTCGCCCTCGGCTTCTGAGTCCCCGGCAACAGCTGCGGGCCACAAGGCGGCATTCTCATCCCCCTCGACCTCATCCTCATCCGCAGCAGCCGCGGGGTAGCCGCCTGCGCCTGCCAGCTTCTCCTGTGTGAAGTCAACTTCCTTCCTTGCCTCCACAACCCGCTTCTTGGTGGCGCTCTGCAGCCGTGGCGGCGGTGCACCCAGCCGCATCTTGCCCTCCAGCCGCCCCAGCTTGGCAACGTTACTGGGGTTAGACAGCACCGCCGCCGCGTCCGCCATAGCTGCCTCCAGCTCCGCCGCTGTGGCCTTGGGTGCCGGAGGGTGGTCAGATCCGGCAGCTGAAAGCGCGGCCTGAGCGGCTGACTTCGGTGCAGCCGCAGGAACTGCGGCATCAGCAGCGCTATCAGCGCTTGGTAATTTGCCTGTGATGCTGGGGAGCCTGGAGGACGTCTCAGCTACCGTCTCAGCGGCGGGCCGGGCCGCTTGCCGGCTGGGCCTCGCCAGGGGTACCACCCGCGACGGGGGCGTGGGTGTTGCCGCCAGCGCTGGCGGATCTGCTTCGAGGCTGCCGTACAAGCTATCGTACAAGAGATCATCATCAACATCATCAACATCACTGTCCTCATTATCACTGTCCGATAGATCTGCCAGCAGGGACTCCAGGTCACGAGTGCTCAGCCGAGCTGCTGCTGCTGCCGCCGCCTCCGCCGTCTTCTTACCCCTGGTGCTGGTGTTGCTACTGCTGCCACGAGGTCCGGCACCGGCTGCTGCTGAGTCACGAACAGGAGGCGCAGCAACGTGTTTTTCCGGTCGTGCCAGCAGCTGTGGTTTCGGCTGCGCCGCCGTCGAAGCGCCCTGCCGCCAGCGCTGCTCGTGCTGCTCGACCTCATCCTCCAAGTCCTCATCGGCAAGGTCGTCAGCATCCTCATCCTCGTCCTCATCCTCATACATGCTCCAGCTACCCCGTAACAGCTCATCCTGCTCCTGCCGCGCCCGTAACTGCGCTTGTGCCGAGGAAAAGGACGAGGCAGCCGGCTGCTGCTGCAATTGCGATTGCGGTGGCGGCTGCTTACCACCGCCGCTGCTGCTGCTGCGGTTGCCACTGTCCTTAGCTGGCAGGTCTGGTTTGCGAGAAGCAGAAGCAGTAGTACCAGCAGCAGTAGCGGCGGCTACGTTGTTGCTTCCGAGCATTCGGCCTCGGGGAACGGGTTTTGACTCCAGGGAAGGGCGAGGCGGACCCCAGGCCCCAGGTGCTGCTGCTGCCGCAGGAGGTGCCACCGCCGGCTCTGCTGCCAAGATGTCCCATGGGTCGGTGAGGCCGCCTAGCCCTCCTCTTCCGCTGCTGGTGGTGCTGGAAGGCCTGTCTGCGAACATGTCACCTGTCATCGGGTAGGAACGTAGGATGTGGGAGGGCAGCGCAAACCGGACAGTGAAGCGCACGGGAAAGCACATACTGACCTGAAGACTGTAAAGGGGCCAGCCAAAGAGACACGGATCGACACGATGCCACACGAAACGGAAGAAGAGGGCTGAGCAACGAAGTGCTGCCTTACGACACGTCGACAACGGAAGGATACCGTACTGCGCATTAGAAGTCCGTTGCTCGCAATAGTACTGCCTTGCACCATTGGTTCCCACTTTCGCCTCGCCCTGCACGCCCTGCCCGCACGCACCCACCTTGCAACAACTCCTCTAGGAACAGCGCGTCGCTATCCGCCAGCCCACCCGCAGCGGCAGCACTGCCGCCACCACTGCCACTGCTCATGCTGCTGCTGCTACGGTTGCTGCTGCTGCTGCTGCTGCCAAGGCTCCCAGCTGCCTTTCCGCGCGACTCCACACCCGTATTGCTGCCTGTAAGTACTGGCTTTGCAACAGCACCAGCACCCACAGCACCACCACCACCACCGCTCGCAACGCTGCTGGGCCGAGTCAGCAGTTGCGGCTTCTTCACCGGCGGCGGCTGCAGCACCCTGTCCGCCGTACCCGTACCCCTACCGTTGCCGCCCTCCGATTCAGAATCCAAACCCAGATCCAGATCTCGTTCCAAGTCCTCGCCCACGGCCTCCAACAGATCCATCAACGCATCGTAATCAGTTGCTGGGGTCGAGGAGGCGGACGGCGCTGATGCCTTAGGACGAGATGTAGGAGCTGTAGACGGCCATGTTGTCGCCGCCTTGCCAGGTGCCGGCGCAGATCCCTTACGTTCCGGCTTCGCTGTCAACTGGGCCTTACCATCGGGCCCAAACAGCGCTCCTCGCAGGGCCTTCACCACCTTTCTTTCGTAGTCCGCACTGCGCTCCTTGGCGTCCATGAAACCAGGACGGCGGTTGCCGTACTCATCATAACCGTCGTCGTCGTACTTGTCATCTTCGGACTTGTACGACAACGGCGGTACGACGTCAGGTTGGTTGGTTTCTTCGTACAAGTTGTCAAGCAGCGTGTCGAGGTCTGTGGGTCCGCCACCCGCAGCGTCCCCGGGGCGTTTGGGCAGCAGCAGGAAGGGGTTCAACGGCGGTGGCAGTGCCGGCCGTGGGGCTAACGATTTCTGTACGGCAGCGCTGCCGCCGCCGCCACCGCCGTACCGGTAGTCAGCGTCGTCCTCGCTGTCGTCGCTGCTGTCGCCGCCAGCTGCAGGCTCGAAGAGGGTGCGTCTCTTCTTCGGGCGTGCCGCCCTCTCCGCCTGGGCCCGTAGCCGCTGGACCTACGGTAAAGAGGGAAGCAGACAGGCTCAACAGGGGGCTGATCCACCATTGACCTACGGTAAATACAGGGAAGTAGACAGGCACAACACGCGCCAGGGCCAGGCCTCACAGCATAACTTAGGGGAGCTGCTTCCCTCGTTGCCTTCTTGGCTCATGCGCGGTACGGGGCGTATTGCTGACATGTACTTCGAGACCTGGAACATACGAAGAAAACCGGTATGGTATGCCCTGGCCTGCCCTCGCCATGAGCGAACGACCAGGACGCCCCTCTACCCAAATCAACCCACACCCCACACCACACCAGCCTCCACCCACAACTGCCGTACATTGGTATCCGCCCACATTGAACAGCCCTACCTGCGGGTTAGATGGCGGCGCCAGCAGCCCATCCGCCGGCGCGCCGCGGCCCCCTCCTCCCGCTGCTCCCCCTCCCGCTGCTGCCGTCCTGGCCCATCCAGTGGTGGTGCGGCCGCCCTCCACCGCCGCCCAGTCCGCCTCCAGGTCCGCACCCACTGCTGCCACCTGCGTCTCCAGGGCGGCCAGGTCTGCCTCTGAGGGTACGGCAGGGGGCAGGGGCAGAGGCACGGGGCCAGGGGCGGCAGCAGGGGCACGGGGCTCGTTGGTGGTTGGAGTGGGGTGGTGGTGCGGTGCATGGGGACAAAAGAGGTTAAGGGAGGGCAATTGAGACCCAGCAATCAACCCATCCACCTGCGAAAAGATGCCGTACGCCGTAGGCGTCTCCCAACCCGCCACACAGCAACACAGCCAGTCACCGCCCCACCCTGCCCGCATGCGGCATGCCTCGTCAGTTTCTCCTTACTTCCACCCCTCTGCACGCATGTACGGCTACCGGCATGTACACGCACCCTCCAGCTCCTGCTGCGTGCGCTCCAGCTCCTCCTCAGCCAGCTCACGGAAGGAACTGATGGATCCCAGACCGCGACCCGCGAGGTAGTTCTCCACGGCGGCGCGGCGGCGTGATGCCTCGGCAGCAGAGGATGAGATCGCTGCAGTGCGTGCGCGTTGCTCAGCCGCACGTTGTTTCGCGCGAATGACTTCCGCCAGCGCTGCGGCGTCCGGATTGTCCCGGGCATCCTCGTCTAACAAATCCAACATGCGCGCCATGCGGGCCTCGCTGGTAGGGGTTCGTGGCGGAGGGGCTGGGTCGGCACCGCCGCGGGGTACGGCAGGCTTGCCGTACGCTTTGTAGAATGGGGAGCTGCTGCTGTCGTCATTGTCGTCAGCGCCGAATTCGTCATAGTCGTAGGTTTTGGAGTTGTTGGAGGTACTGCCGCCAGGGGTCTGTTGGGGCGTGCGAGTGGAAGGGGCGGCTAAGCGTATGGGTAATGCCGAAGTAATCACCTCGTTTAGGATAGGTTTAAAGGGCCATTGCTAAGCAACATCAGGGCAGCGAAGGTAGCGCAGGTAGGCGGGTGCACTCCTTGTGGACCGGTGGTAAAAACTAGTGCAGCATCCTCGCTAGACCTAACATCCGACCATGAAAACACTACCGGTATGGAAAGCAACCATTGAAGGTCGATTACTATACGCCAATCAACCTTGTGATCCAGAAATTATGAAGCATTCGCCTTCCCCCGACGGAGGGTGTTTTGATGCTGTGGGGTACAATTGGGAATAAGCTGCATAAACACCCACCTGCCGCCCAATTGCATGCGATGCAATTAATCGAACGCTATGACGGCTCCATCGTGCGCTATTGCGCCGTCCGAAACGTAGTAGTGTGTGGCCACGGTCGTTCGCCGCTTGCGTCTGTCGCGGATCTGCAATTCTGGAACGCATCGGTGCAACTCCTAACACTAAGCTCCTAAGGTACTATGGGTAGGAGTAGAAAGCGCATTAGGTCGAGCCTTCAAAGCCTGCGACAAGCCAAGGATGAGAAAAACACAAGAAAGTCCAGTACTACAAGATTGTTAGCATGCATTAGACGCTAGCAGCGGAAGGCTGTGAAAAAGTGAGCTGCGCGTTTGGTGTGTGAAATACGACGGACTGGTCTCGGAGGCAAGCATGTAACCAGACAAGAGCAAGTTTGCTACTCTGCCGCAGCACAAGGGACATCCGATGAGAATGTTAATCTGCATTTGGGCTCTACCCCATAAAAATTGGAAACAATTGGCATCGTAAGGGCCGCATAGAGTAGTTACTCAAGAACCTTTCCGTTTACTGAACTTGCTATTGGCCATCTAACTGCACTTGAAGGCGTGTTGCTTAGCGTCGGTCGCTATCGTTTCCAGGCTTCGGCCGTAAACTGGGTTTACACCGCGACCCCTTATAGCGTTTCTATACTGGCTACCACGTTGCTGCCATGGCTAAGGCTGCAACTATAAATGTGAACGATATTTTTGCACCACCGCATCCACAGGTAAGGACGGCATGCATCTCCAAATGCCATTTCAGTACAGTGCGCAGTCATCAGGAGCGCACATGTTTGTTAAGTAGCAAGATCAAGTCTCTTTTACTATGCAGGGTGCTTCATCGGCGAACTCTTACGGGGAACCGTTACCAACCCTTGCAAATTCGGCTGGCCCCGGCCCTAGCAGCCTTGGCGCCGCAGCAAATCGACTCTCTGGTCAGGTCTTGGCTGTGTCTTCAGAAAAAGAAAAGGCAGCTAACAGAAATGCAATAAGCGGGAGGCGCTCTGGAGGTCCCTCGTCCGCTGCATTACAGCCAAACCTGCTTCAATTTAACGACGGTCGCCCACACGGCCAGCCAAGCGCTCGACTTCCACCGTTGCCACAGGGCTACGGCCCCGGCTCCTTCTCCTCCACATCCCAGCAACCACCGGGCGCGGGCACCGCCACCAGCAGCAGCCCCCAACCGCCGGAGCCCCTGCAGCCCCTGATCCAGCACCCAGCCATGCTGCCCGGGCCCACCCCCGCCTCGCACCCCTACCACCCAAAGCGCAAGCCGCCCAGCGCCTTCATGCGGAACAACCACCTGCGTCACTTTGACGTGCACCTGCACCATCCCCACCACCAAAGCGCCGGTCCCAGTCGCTCCTACGGCTCCTTCGACCCCACCTACGCGACCCAGTTCGCATCCGATCAGCAGCAGCAGTACGCAGAGGCGGTGGTGGCGGCGGCGGCGGAGGCCATGGCGCAAAGCGACTGGGGCGACGGCGGAGGTGGCGGCGGCGGCGGCGGGGCCGCGGGGACCTTCCCTGGCGGTCCGCCCTGGGGCGTCAGCAGCGTCAGCGACCTGGAGGCGCTGGACTCCATCCTGGATCAGCTGGTGGTTGTGGACGCACGCATGCGGAAAGCGCTGCTGAAGGGGCCGCTAATTTCATTTGAAACCGTGGTTCCGGAGCATATCCTGAACGGCGGCATGATGCAGCCCATGCAGCATCAGCGGGGCGGCGGCGGCGGAGCAGCGGGAGCAGCACCAGCAGCCGGGGCGGAGGAGGACAAGGACCGCATCTTCATCACCGCCGTGAAGGGCATTGCAGAGGAAGGGGAAGAAGAGGAGCAGCCACAGGCAGCAGCAACAGCAACAGCAACATCATCCCCCCGGCCGCCAGCAGACGCCGTGTCAGCAACAGCAACAGCCTCCATCCAGCCCACGCCGCGGCCGGTCTCCGACATGCTCCCCGCAGCACACCAGGACGTGGCCATCGCGGAAGCAGCCGCAGCGGGGGCCGCCGCCTCCTCACTAGGCGCTGCCGGCGGCGAGGGCGGCGACCCCCTGGAGACCGCCATGTTCCGACCCGCCATCCCCAACACCACCCTGCATCCCACCTTCACACGAGCCTACCTCGCCTCCAAGCTAGCTGCCAAAGCGCAGCTGCTGCCGCCGCCGCCGCCCGCCACCGCGGAGCACCTGCTTCGCTCGCGACCGCCCGCCTTCATCGCCGCGCCCTCGTACGACCAGCTCTGTTCACAGATCCGCGACGTGCAGCGGCAGTACACCTGTGGTACCTCACGGCCCAGCAACAGCGGCGCCGGGACAGCGGCGGCAGCGGCGGTGGCGGCGGGTCCGAATGTAGGCGCGATCGTGGCCTCCGCGCCGCCCACCGCCAGTGCTCTGATGGCGAATCTGCTGTCGGGTGGCACCAACAGCCAGTACATCAGCGGGCTGGATGGGCCGACGCTGGAGGAGGTGGTGGCGCACCAGGACCTGCCCATCTGCCTGGTGAGTGGGGTGCCGTACTGTCCGTGCTGTGACTGGGCGGTGTTGATGATTGGGGTGTGGGTGCTGGGTGGGGTAGACGTGGGGAGTAGACTGGTGCAGGGTGGGCGGTAGGAAAGGTAGAGGCCGCTGGGTGGGGTGTGGGTTGCGGGGTAGAAGGGGAATTAGCGTTAGGTCTGCATGGGAGGTCTTCTTAGGCAGGGTGTGTGGTGGGAGGATTTGGGTTTGGCTGTGAAGGGAGGAGACGCGAAGGGATACACGTGTGCGTGCGTTTGCCTTCTGCTTGCGTGCAACTGCCGGTTTGGTCCAAACCCCCATCTTTTGCCCAACTCATACACGGCTCAACCATGTATGTGCCTCTGTGTCCCCTATGTGTCCCCTAGGAGCGGGTGCGGCCAACGTTCGTGGCGCTCAAGACCAAGGCGGGACGCGCGCCCTCCCCCAAGCGGAGAGGGAGTCCTGGCGGTACCCGGACCCTTGGAGGCGGAGGAGACGGGGCGGACGAGGCTGGCAGCCGCGGGCTGTCCGGGCGAAGGCTGTAGGCAGGCAGGGCTAAGGGGCGTGACAAGTTGGCGTTGGAGCGTGTGTAAAGGAGGGCTGCGTTTTGGGGCAAGTTTGGTGGACGCAACGAATGCCAGTACTGAAAGATGTGCTGCTGCTGCTGCTGCGAGAGGTACCAGATTGCCTCGTCTGCCTCGTCCAAGAGCTTTTTTTCCTTGGCGGAGGTTTCCACGGTTTAAAAATGTTACCGACCCAACAGCTGTAATACTTCTTTATGTGACTCGTTAAACGCTATTAGGATACATACCGTGGTAAAGTTCTGACAGTTTCAATCGTGTCAAAACATGGCAATAACTAAGCCAACGCAGCCTGGTCGTCCGCGCTCTAAGGCCTGCTGGCCCCGAAACACAGCCCTAGCTTTCCTGGCCTTGGTTGGCGTCGTCTTGTTGGGAACGGCGATCGTGCAAGATACGAGAACCGGGCGACTGCTGTCATCTGCCGGTGGCGGTACAGCTGGCGGATCCCTGAAATCAGACCACATGTGAGTGTTTCACCTACAGCCCCCATCAATCACTAGCACGTAAGGAGCTCATAAGAGTTAAAAATTATGCGCTTCGAGAGGACGAGGCAGCGCAAATTAGGAGCAGTTTCCCCCAACGCCCGAAGTGCAACCGCCGTTTCGCCTCGTTTTGTTCGAGGCAGCAGACATGTCCGCATGCGACCATTCCGCCTCCTGACACAGCATTCGTTTTACCCTGTGGCATGTATGCTCAATGTGATCGTCAACCCCAACTGCCGACATCTTTTCCACCACCTTCCCCTCACCCCTGTCTCTTCTTGTTGCCCGCTCTGCTCTACTCTGCCGCTCTGCCCTGGCAGGGACCTTCACCGCCGCTCCATGCAGGACCTGTTTAGCGCCGCCCAGGACGACCCAAACACTGCTGCTGCCATGAACGATGACACTCCGCTGCTGCCGTGGGCTGAGGCGGACCTCCAGCCCGTCCCGGATTATACACTGCGACAATCGGCTGCCCAAGACCCCACCCCCGGCATCTACGGCGCCTATGACACGCGGCAAGGGCTGCCAGGGTATGGCTCCTACACCACACGGCAGGGGCTGCCAGGGTACGGCGCTTACTAAGCAGCGCCGTGTCCTGTCGTGATGCTATGAAGTCGCCACTTAACAACGTGTGTCTAGAGCGGCAGAATGGAGGACAATTGCATGAGGAGCTTTGACCCAAAGCTGGATGTGGATTGAGTACCAGTATTAAGGTTCCTTGTAGTGACCCTGTATAACAGCTGGCATGCCGAGTGGGGGGTGCATGGTTGGCTAGTGCCGGCGCTGGGGGGTGATGTCCCCGGGGCAAATGGTGACGAACAGCAGGCTACATACATTCAGCAGCATTCTGCATTTTTATTCATGATCCGCACTGGCCCGCATTATCCGTACATACATATCTTTGCCGACACTTTATTTAGTGTGACAGTATGATTACCACCATAGGCATGTCCAGATGAGAGGTTGCAATGCCCCGTCGTACTATGTACAAAGTAATGTTGCCTACCAAGTAACGGTCAGGTGGACATGACCCACGGGTCAAGCACATCTGTAGCTTACTACCACGCTTCAGCGTCCACTGTCAACAGACGAGGCAACCGCAAGCTGGATAAGCACAGGCTTGCCTGCCAAACCGACCGGATGCAAAATAGAAACCTACCCTAACTGTCATGCGAGTCAGCGGTGTCAACTAAGCGAAGTCACACACGAAATAGAAGATATGCCATGCAATGAACAGATTTGATGCGCTATTGGCGCCTTTTATACCCCAAAAGGAGAGAGATGGGACCTCGAAGCCCCTTGGAAGACTAAGACCTAGAACCTAAGTCACATTTTTGGGCATATACAAGCTCAACTCGCGGCCAGTTTTGCTTCCACAAACTTCTTCCCAGCGGCTCACCTCCATACCATTGCAATGCACCGAACACGTATGAACACCACTTTACAGGTCTCTGGCAAACCACACCTAATAACCCTTCCCAAACAACCCCACGGCTACAACCGGCGGCCCCCCGCCAGCACCTTCCGCCCCGCCCCGCCCGCCCCACTCGCCACCGCCCCCTGCTGCTGCTGCTGTAGCACTGACCGCAGCGCCGTCGCCACCGCGGCACGCGGCGACAGGTCCGCCACCACATCCCGCGCCACCGCATCCCCCTCCGCCTCCAGCCGCACCGCCGCCGCCTGCAGCCGCCTGCACTCCCCCAGCACGCGGCACAGCGGCACATGCAGCGGGTCGGGGCCGCAGCCATCGGAGGAGGTGTTGCTGGATGAGTTGTCACTGCCGCTGCTGGCGTAGCTGGTGCTGGTGAAGAGGCTGGTGGGGCCGCTCTCGTGGCTTGACATGGACTCAGAGGAGAGGGAGAGGAGCGACTGACAGAGACCGCGCAGGGCGGCGTTGCCGCCGCTGGCGAGGTGGCCGTAGCGAGGCGGTACGGCCGAGGACGAGGCGCCAGCCGGCCCTGCAGCGGCTGCTGCTGCTGCGGGTACTGCAACTGATACCTTGACATGGCATGGGCCGCCAGACGGCTGCGCCACCCGTGGCGCGGTAGGACAGCCGGCGGAACGCCCTGCGGTTGGCTTTGTTGGTGCTGCTGCTGCTGCTTTGGCCCGAGTAGCAATCGTGTGGGTAACTGGCACACCGTTGTCATGCATGCCCTTCAGGGTCTGAGTCGGCGGTGCGACACCGCTGGCAGCCACTCGTGCTGCTGGTTGGGTAGCGGACTCTTGGGAAGGAGCAGGCGGCCGTGCAGCCGCTGTCTGCGCATGCTGCTCCTCCTCCACCACCACCGCATGTCGGGCAGAGGGCAGCTGCTCACAACCACCGGCATGAGGCCGCTCGCCGCGTGACAGCATCGGGACGCCACCCTCGTGGGCATGGCGGCATGCTGCATCCGCCGCCAGCCTCCGGCATGTCGTCTCCGGAAGCCGCGTCCGATCGATCGGCAGCTGCTGCGCCAGCTCCGCCAACGTGGCTGCCAGCTGCGAGTTGCCACGTCGGTGAGCGATCCGCGCCAGATCCTCCAGCGGGTCTGTTGCTGCATTCATGCGCGGCCAGTGCCGCTGCTGCTGTGGGCTTTGCATAGGCTGCTGCTGCTGGTGTTGCCCTGCAGGCGCTAATCGATCCGGTTGGTGCTGCAACTGCGAGGGCATGGAGCCACCACCACCGGGGCCGCGGTATCCACCATCGCTGACCACCGCACAGCCGCTGCCGCAGCTTGCATTCCAACGCACCGCCTGCCGCGTAGCGCCTCCGCCCAGACGCCCGCCCACCGGACCCGTGCCCCTTTCGGACAGCGAGCCCTGAGCCTGCTGCGACCTGGCCGGGGACCGCAGCGGGTGCTGCTGCTGCTGCTCCAGGGGCGCTGCGGACGCTGGACTGAAGCCCGGCGGGCCCCTCCCACCACCCACATCCTGTACGGCTGGTACCGCCCGCCCGGCCGTAGTCCATGACCGTAGGGATTCCCGTTCTTGTGAGGATGAGGACGACGGTGGTGGCGGCGGCCTGGCATGCGCCTGACGTCCGGCCAACTCCACCGCACCCGGCAGGAAGGTGGACAGCAGGTCCGCTGCTGAGGTGGGATTGCCGCCCTGGCCCATGCCGTGAATCGCCGCCACACGGCTGCCTGCGCCCGCTGCTGCTCCATGCAGGTGGTGGTGCCGTGAGGGGGCATGGTGGGAGCTACTGCGCTGCTGCTGCTCCCGTCCCCGTCCTGACGCTGCGCTCCTGCCAATGTGCTGTGGGGGCTGTTCCGCTGCTGCTGCTGCAGCGGTGGCGGGTGCATCCTCCTCGGCTGCAGCCTCACTGTAGTTGTCGAGCCCCACATCGCTGCCTGCCTGCCATGAGGCCGCTGCATCCGTCTCGCCTGACCTTGCCGACCACATGGCTGCAGCTGCTGCACCCAACGTCGCATCCGACCGCAGGCTGGCCGCCTCCAGCCGACGTAACGCGGCGTCCATGGGGTCCCCCTCACTGCCGGCTGCACCGCTCGGGAGCTGCTCCCCCGATGCTGTCATGCAGCAGGAGGAACCCAAGCCCGATCGGAAGCCCATAAGGGGCGTTATCGTGGTGGCACGAACATGCAGGCTGTCGATCTCATCCAAGCTCTGCAGCCCCTTGTTACTATCACCACGCCCTGTTGTTACTGCCGTGCCTGCTGCTGCTGCTGCCGCTGCTGTTCCAGCAGCATTGCCACAACCACCACCAGCACCACCACCACCGCACGCGGCTGCTGCCGCCGCATGCCATATCCCCGCTGCGACATCTCCGTTGCTGCTGCAGCCAGCGTCGCTGCTTGCAGCTAAGCTCGCGGCTGCGGCGTACGCACGCGCATGCTGTCCCCCACCGCCACTCGCCGCAGCCAGCAGGATACGTCGCGGCGAAGACATGGAGGACATGGCCGACCTCGAGCGCGCCTCCAGCTCCCCAAGCACTGCGTCCATGTCTTCCAGTTCCGGGGTTACAGGCGCCAGGGAGGACAGGCTGGAAGCCATGCTGGGCGCCAGAGGAGCTGAGGAGCGACCGTGGCTTCTTTGGCTGGCAGCTGCGCTAGCGGTGCTGGCGTCACACACCGCACCGGCCAGGGCGGCCCTGGTCAGCGTGGTTGCAGCAGGTACGGCACGTGGCACGGTTGTGGCGCGGGGAGGCGCATGGGCGGCAGGACGCGGGGTGGTTAGGTGGTCTGATGGGGCAGATCGGGCGGAGCAGGGGTCCAACAGGTGGTCTGCGACGAGGGCGGGGGAGGGTGTGGGGGCGCGTGCGGGGGCTGGCGCGCCGGTCGGACTGCCTTCGCGTGCGGAGGAGCAAGCCGTGGAGCAGCAGGAGGGAGTTGTTGCTAGGGTCGCTGCTGCTGCTAGTGCTGCTGGGGGTTGCTGGTGGTGCTGGGGCTCAAGTCCGGCTGCCGGGTGGCTCACTGGGACATGCGGCGCCTGCGGCTGAGGTAGCGGCAGTTGTATGGGAGGGACGGGCGCGGGCTGCTGTTGCTGCTGCTGGTGCACGGGCCCTGACTCGGACCCTGCCACTGGCTGCGTGAGTCCGGATGCGGGCGCAGAGTCTCCGCTGCTGCTGCAGCTGCAGCCCGGAAGCGACACAGCGGCAGCGGTGGCAGCAGCATCAATGGGTAAGCTCGTCTGGACCGAAATTGAAACGGCTGCTGCTTGTGGTTGCGCCTGAGGCTGCTGCTGTTGTCGCTGCAGCGGCTGCTGTTGCTGCTGCTGTTGCTGCTGCTGTTGCTGCTGCTGTTGCTGCTGCTGTTGCTGCTGCGGCGACTGGGGCTCCGAGACCAGCACAATCCTGCCATCCACCACCAAGTGTTGCGCCAGGGACTGAGCGCGCGGGGACTGACCACCCTCCCAGCGGGGTGAGGAGGAGCTGTTGGGGCCTGGTTGCTGCTGCTGTACAGCACCCGCTTGGCTGGTCTGCTCCCTCTGATGCTGTTGTTGTTGCTGCTGTAGTTGCTGCTCCTGCTTCCACTGGTGCTGTTGCAGTGACAGCAGCTGTAGCTGTTGTTGCTGCAGAAGCTGGTGCTGCTGCAGCTGCTGCAGGAGTTGCTGTTGTTGCATGTACTTCTGCTCCTGCAGCTGTTGCAAGAGGAGCTGCTCCGTCGTAGTCGGCGGCGACTGAGCCGCGGGCTGCGGCTGTTGGGCAACCGGATGCTGCCACGCTGCTGCCAGCGAGGGCGACAAGGGCTCTTGCCGCATGGGTGCCGTATGCGTCGGCGCTGCTGCCACAGCATTAGGGGCCACGTAACAGCGCTCCTGTGCTACCGGTAGATTGTTGCCCGGAACAGCGACAAGCGGCGTGGCCGCGGCGGGCGACCGGTCAACGGGCTGCGCCGGTGTGGTTTGCGAGGCAGGCATACCGACGGGCATGGGGTTTGATGGGTACATGGATCCTCCGGGGATGGTGGTTGGGTTTGGCGGTGGCGCCTGCTGTAGCAAAGTTTGGTGCTGCTGCTGCGGCTGCTGCGGTGACGGTACTTGACCGGGCCCTAGGGCTGCGACAGGGGGGGCCGCAGGCTGCTCCGATGAGAGTGCTGCTGTCTCTGGTTGAGGCACGAGCGACAAGTGAGGGTGCTGGTAACCTTGCTGCTGCTGCTGCGGTTGCGGGGTCGGTGGCAGCACCCTGGGCGGCACGTCAGGCTGCAGCTGCTGCTGCTGGGTGGCCGCCGCACCGTCCGGACGCATGGGCCGCTGAGGCGGGTGCGGAGCCAGCTGGAAGCGCCCGTACGGCGGAAGCGACGTCGTGTCATCCCCTGCTGAGGAGGCGCTGCGGCTGCTGCTGCTGGCACCACCCGAGGAGGAGGAGCCATCCGAGGACTCTGCCTGGCCGGATTGAGAGACGACGGGAGTGAGGGGCAGCGGGCCGCGGCCGTCTTGGCTGAAGCTGCTACCGCGGGACATCTGCCGCAGGGGTGGTGCCAGCAGCTGCAGCTGTGGTTGTGGTGGCAGGTGCGGTGGGTGAGCTGGCGGCAGCGGCGGTGGTGGTGTCGATTGCTGCGAGGCGGCGGCGGCGGCTGGGACTGCAATAACAGCAGCAGCAGCAGCAGCTGGTGAGGAGGAGAAAGAGGAGGCATCCCAGGAGGGCTGCTGCTGGGCTGCTGAGGCCACCGCAGGCTGCTGGTGGTGGTGGTGGTGGTAGTGGTGCTGCCCGCTTCCGCTTGGGCTGGTGCTTGGAAGCGGAGGGTACGCCGCCGCCACTTGGAATGCCGCCGGAGAAGCCATCGACTGTGAGGCCGGCACCGGCTGGCTACTGGGCTGCAGCTGCTGCTGCTGCAGCCCGCCAGCCTCAACCGCCCCCGGCCCCCAACCAGCGCTGCTACCGGCAAGCTCCGCAGTCGTGCGGCGAGACCAGGCGGGTAGAGACTCCGCGGTTATCCTTTGGCCTGCTGAGGATGAGGTGGAAGAGGAGGACCAGGGCCTCACGGCGCCGTCCTGGGAGCCGCTGGAGTGAGAGACCATGGAGGAGGGAGGCGCCAGGAAGGGGCTGCTGACCACGATTTGAATGGTCTGCGGCGGCGGAGGCGGCGGTGGTGGTGGTGATGTGGGATAGGGTGCAGGCTGTGGCTGTGCAGGCTGTACGACAACAGGGGACGCCATCGTAACCGCTGCAACCGGCAACGAGGACGCAGCAGCTGCCGCCGGCTGCGGGGCTGCGGGTGTCTGCGGTCCTGGTGTTACCGGTTGCGTCGGCAGTGTCGCTGTGGCCGGCTGTGCTGCTGCATGATGCTGTACGGAGGCATTGCTCCGGGTGGATTCCCCTGCTGCCAGCTCGCTTTGGCCCGGGGTGCTGGCGCGTCCCACGCTCGTGGTGTTGCCCTGCTTTATCTGGTACATGGGACCGGGCTCCGGGCGGCAACTGGCAGTCATTGCCATGGTGGAAAGAGAGCGACCCAGCTGCGCCGGCCGAGGCGGGGGCACGCCGGGGACAGGGACAGCCGCCCCAACGGCTGCTGCTGCTGCGGACGCAGCAGCAGCCTTATCCTTCTCCTCACGTTCCTTTTGCTGCTTGACCGCATCCTCGATCCTCGCAAGCCGGTCCTGTAGCGCATCGGAATCAATCCCCGGCGCAGGCGCCAGGATGGGGCCCACCAGCGGCCCAAAGCCCCCCGCTCCCAGCGGCAAACCCGCGCCGCCGCCGGCCTGCAAGTAGCCATGCAGGTACTGCCACATGTTTTGCATGTGCGCCATGCCGCCCATGCCGCCCGCGGCGGGGCCCAGTGCGTTTTGCTGCGGGAGGTCCTGGCCGCCACCGCAAGGGAATCCTAGACCCAGACCCAGGCCAGCGGCTGCTGCTGCTGCTGCGCCCAGTCCCGAGCCGCTAGAGCTGCTGTGCAGAGGCATGAGCAGCTCTTCCATGGAGGAGGAGGAGGCGGAGGAGGGGCCGCCGGAGGAGGAGGAGGCGGAGGAGGTGCCCTCGGAGATGCTGGTGGGTGCAGCGGTGGTGGTGGTGCCTCGGCTGTGAAGGGCGACGGGAGACGGTGCTGGTGCGGGTGCTGGCGGCGGCGACGGGGCCGAAGGCGGGTGCAATGTGGTAGCTATGGGGGGTGCTGGGGCGGCTGCTGCGGCTGCTGCTATTGTCGCTTCGGAAAAGGCGGCGGAATGAGGCGCGGAGATGCCGCTGAGGTTGGAGCCGACCTGCGGCGCTGGAACCGACGTCTGGGTTCCGATCGTGGCGGCTGCGGGTACCGGCGCTGCTACGGCTGCAGCCGCATGGGGGACCGCGAGCGACGCGGGGGCCGCCTGCAGCTCCTCCGGCACCGCCGTCTGGGTGCCCGTCTGCGCCTCGGTGCAGGTCTGGGTGGCTACGGCTGTTGCGCAGCTGGTCTGCGTGGAGGCTGATGCCGCCGAGGACGTTTGTGTGGACGCCTGGGCTGATCCCGCAGCCGTCTGCGTCGCCACGGAAACATCCTGCGCGTCAGAAGGACGCGACACGACAGCCCTGGCGGCAGCCGCGTCCAGTACTGCGGTGGTAGTGGCGGCACCCTGATGCGCGGGCTTCAGCGGAGAAGGATGTGCGGTTGGCGCCCGAGCCGGCCTAACGGGATCAAGCCCCAGCTCCTCCAGCTTAGCCTCCGCCGCCGCAGCCGCCCTGCCCGCCGGCTGGACCATCGTGCGCCATGCGTAGAACACCCTAGCAGGGGCAGCGGGAGGCAGGCGTTGGGACCATGCACGTACACACATGGGAGCAGACGGAACGCCATGCACTACGCATGTGGCCGCGTGCCATCGTTGGCGCGGAGCAGGATTACATGTACCCATATGTAACGCACACATGCAGCAACGGTAGTCGTTCCTGCCGTACCTGCAGAGCTCGGGCCAGTCCTCCCGCCGCTGCCGCTCCTGCTGCGCAAAGTCGGCCCATGCGGCCAGCACCAGGCGCAGCAGGCGGCGGCCGGTGTGCGCCTGCAGCAGCCGGATGCAGGTCTCCAGGTGGTACTGCGAGAAGGTGGCGGCCTGGCGCCAGCTGGCGAGCACTGCGGGAGGGAGGAGGTTGGTTGATGGGCCGGACGGGGTTTGGATAGTGGCCTTTGAGCGTGTGTCAGAAGCCACACATTCACCATGTTTGCTGCGCTTTGCTGTGAAGGAGCCGAGCCCATCACCACCACAAGCAGCGGCAACTGCAACCACCCACCTTGCCGCTTGACGCCCGTCCAGGTCGCCGCGTGGCGCTTCTCCGCCACCTCCCGCGCCTCCGCCGCCGTCTCCACCGCCAACCTCCACGACCGCACCGCCCGCTCCAGCACCCGCAACCTCGCATCCAGCTTCCTGCTCCTCGCCTCCTGCACCGTCGCCCTCGTGGCTGCCACCGCCCGCTGCCAAGCCGACAACACCGCCCGCTGCAGCCGCGACGTGCGCCGCGCAAGCAGCAGCAAACTCGTACGCCGCAAACGCGCTCGGTACTTGGCCTGCCGTCGCCATGCAGCCAAGCAAGCCACCTCCAGCCTCCGTAACGCACGAGTTGCCATAGCCATGGCGCCTCCCCGCCGGCTCCTTATGTCCTGTACGGCAGCGCTCCATGTACGGATGCAGCGGCTCAGCAGCGCCCGTTCGCATCGCTCCCGCAGCTGCACGGCTGCAAGCCGTAGCCGGGTCTTACGGGCGGTGATGCGGCGCCAAGCCCGCAGGACAGCAGCCGCCTGGCGCTTCGGGCGGGTGGCTAGCCGTGCAAGACTCGGCACCCGCGAGAGCAGGAGCTCCGAGGCGGATGCGATGGCCGCTGCGCTGCCCCCGCCGGGTGCGGTGACGCCGGCCAGCAGTGCCAGCAGGGGCCGCATGGCGCCGGCCAGCTGACTACCCAGGCATGACGCGGGCAGTGCGAGTGCAGGGACGGGGTAAGGTGCCGGTGCCGGTCCAAGCCGTGATCCTGCGGCGCTGTAACGAGGGGAGGCCTGCGCGATTGCGGGCTCTCTAGGCGTGTTGTAGGCGTGGGTTGCGGTCAGTGAGCCTGAGCCCTGCGGAGCGGTTACGCTGCCAGAATCACAGTGCCCCCAGTTGGCCGCTCGGATGCCATTTAGCATGTGGACTTGTAAGCTGGCGGCATGGGTGGCCAGTAGCCAGCAACGCAGCACGCCACGGGCTACGCAGCGCCGCCAGCGGTTCTGCAACATGCGGCCGATGATCCGCAGCCTCGACAGCTCCCTAGCTACCAATCGCCAGGATCGCAACAGATGCCGTACACGAGCTTCCCGGTGCTGCCGAGTAAACCGCCGTACATTCAGTTGCAACACCGCATGGCAGCCCAGTCCTCGCAGCGCGCCGCTAAGCAGCTGCAACTGGCAGCTCCGCTGGATGCGAGTGAGAATGGCCTGGGCAGAGTGTACGGCAGTGCAGCGACGTCGCCAACCGTCCAGCACGCGTCGCGCCAGCGCCTGACCGTGACCTTGTACGACACGGCCCCACAGCTGCTGCGCCTGAGTTGTGAGACGCCTCCATGCACCCATAACGCCATGCAGTTTCCGGAAGCGCAGTCGGCGGTCCGCAATCACCGCTGCGACGTCCAGCCGTCGCTGCGAAGCCAGAACACCGGCCCAAGCCCGCATGACCCTCCGCTGCAGGGCAGTCCGGTAGCACCCCAGGTACTGCTGCTGCGCTGCCGCAGAGGCCTCCACCAAGCCCCGCCAGTGGCGCAGCACGGCTCGAGCGACCGCATGGCTCCGCAACCGTACGAATGCCACCTCGTTCAGCTGCAGCTGCACTCGGGCCGCCGCCATGCGCCGCCAGACCGCCAGCACACGCCGTGTCACCAGCCTGCGGTGCTCCGCTGCTAGCTGCCGTCGCAATACCTCCATCAGCCATGCCGCGGCTTCGGAGCACTCCTCGTCACACAGCCTGCTCGCCCTGCCAGCCATCTCCCGCCATGCCCCGAATGCCAAGGGCAGCATCCGTCGCTCCCGGCGCGCCGCCATTTGGCATGCGGCGAAGCTCCGGGCCGCCGCCTCCGAAACCAGAGCGGCCCAGCGCCGTACGACACGTCCGGCTAGCTGCTGCTTCCGCAATACGATCAGCAGCCGGACGCGGTGGTGCCGTACAGCCGCGTCGTCTACTGCACCCCGCCAGGCGCACCAGGCAGCAGCCAGGCGGCGCCGCGCGGTTGCGGCCTCTAGCAACATCGCCCGGCCTGCTAGCTGGCGACGCCGCATGCAGTGCCAGTTCCAAGCGTGCAGGGCGGAATGCAGGAGGGTGGCGGTGGCGGCGTCGGCTGCGGTCAAGGCGGCCTGTCGAGCCGAGGTAAGGTGGAGTGTGACGGCGTGCCAGCCGCCGAAGGCTAAGCGCAGGAGCGCCTGGTTCCTGAGATGCTGGAAGGCGGTGACGTCGCGCCTGGGAGGTGGGAGAGGAGCGGCAGCGTATAGTGTTCAGGCACCCTGGTGTCAAGTGTGCAGCAAATGAGCAGCAGAATGCTCCGCAGGGACACCCTGCATTCTCGGCTATGTTAAGCTCCACTAGGGGGTTGTTGCGGCTTTCGCTTTTGCCTGAGCACTGTCTTATCAACTTCACCGGCTGGGACAGGTCCAGTCGAACACCAATCCTTGCGGCACGGGATTCGTTAACGTAGGCATGCATGCACGGCCTTGTCACATCACCTAAGCGTGACGCGTACCTGAATTGGCTGACGGCCTCACTCCAGCACAGCAGCACAAGCCGCGCCAAGCGCACCTCCTGTCGTGAGCGCAGGATCTGGAGCTGCCACAGCAAGGCCCGGCGCTCTTGAGTTACCCTGTGGGCAAGAAACACACGTCCAAACTTCTTACTCGCAGCATGCCTCAGCAGCCAGGCAAGCTGATCACTACCATTGCATCCGCGCCGGCAGTAAGACTTCTAGTTTTTGCACTTTGCAGCTACTTGCAGCTACTCGGTGACTTGGTAACATCACGCACCTTGCCCATTCCCCCAGCGCCGCCGCCGCCCGCCGCCAGCTGGACTTACGCCGCAGCACGCTGCACAGGCGCGCCAGCATGGCGGAACGCTGGGCGATGCCGTGCCACATGCGCAGCGCGTACCGCAGCCGACGAGAGCGCTGCTTGGACCAGCACTGACATGCGAGCACCCTGTACGGACGTGCATCAGGGTCACCGGGTTACGAGCGATTAGACAATGTGGATGAACGCAAGGCAAGGAAAAAGCTTTCACTACCAGAGCTTGGTACAACATCAGGAAGACATGCATAATGCACTGTACAGTACAGTCTGTACTGCACTCACAGCATGTGTCGTTCATGCCGCTCTGCCACCGCCCGCAACTGCACCACAGCCGCGCGCTGCTGCTCCTCCTGCTGCGCTGCCTCCACTCGCATGACCCGCTGCTGCCGCGCCTGCGCCCGCCACAGCCGAAACACCAGGTGTAGTGGCCACAGCGCCATGCGCGCCACGTAGCCCTTGACCACGTTGTGAGACAGCTCCAGCGCCTCATCGCGAAGCTGGGACCCCACGGAGTCAGCGTACGGCAAGGTTCCGATACCGCTACTGCCCCCGCTGCCATTGCTGCCGCTACTGCCACCGCCACTGCTGTTGCCAGCTGGAGGTGCTGCTGTTGTTGAGGGTGCGGGTAGTGGTGGTGGCGCCGAGGGTGCAGCTGCGGGGAAAAGCAGAGCGGGAGTTGGAGGAGGTAAGGATGTGGGTGGCGGTAGCCGCCGGCAGTGACAAGGAAGATGTGGAGGAGGCTTCACGCATTACTGCCATACAAACGCACTGTTTGCGTTGATTTGAGACAGGGAATGCGGCCGTTGAGTGGAACAAGCCAGGTACAACCGGCTTACCTTCCTCCCGCTGGTCGCCTGAGCCGCTGCGAGTCCGCTGCTGCTGCTGCGGTTCGCCGGGGCAGCTGGGAGGCCTGCCCGGCAGCGCGGGAGGCTGGTGGGCGGCCCCAGGCGGGAGGGGGCTGGGGCCCATGCATCCCACCCGCCAGGCGCGGACCGTTAGGGCAATGCTTGGCAGCCTGCGCAAGGAACGACGCATGCGAAGGGGAGGAGCGTTGAGCAGGCCTGCGCATGATTGTTGGCGCACTGCAGCCGACCTATCCATCATGGGCCCAGATGGCAGCTAACAAACTAAGTTTACAGGATTTGGGGAGGACTACAGGATCTCGGGAACGTAAAGGGTGTTGACTTACTGTCGGGAGGTAAGGCATAGCACCGGGCTGTTCCGCTGTAGCACGCCCTGATACAGCCCCTCGACCTGCGTGTTCGGAGGGGAGGCCGATGTGGGTCACAACGTGCCAAAGTCAGGCCAGCGGCTTTGAGGCTGAGCTGATAAGGGGAGTTATATGGTCAGTAACACGACGGGCTGGCTTCTCCGCAGCCAACAAGCCGAGCTGCTGGGGTGTTGACCACCCAACTGCTCACCTTCCACTGCTCCCAAACGCCCAGCCGGGCCGAGAAGAAGACCAGGTGTGGCGTCTTCTTGCGCACTTGCAAGAACAAGCCCTCTAGCAACGGGGAGCGTAGTCCCAGCCATTCGCCCTGTACCACGACTTCTAGCCAGGCTGCCTGCCCGAGTCCCCTCTCAGCCGGCGTGTCGCTAAGATACAAGAGAGCTGGCTTGCCAGCCTGTGCTTCTTGCACCTACGTATTATTGACCCGTTAATAAGGGTGTTCAGCTGCTTTGACCGTGACCCAGGCGTCCATGGGCCATGACCTTACCGCATAAGCTGTCGAGCTCTGCACCGACTCCAAAACAACCAGATCGCCATGCGTAAAGCGCTCGACCAAGTGGGGCGGGTCCGCGGCGGTCCACTGCATTTTCAACCCTTCGTTGACTCCATGCGCGACGAGCGTCAACTCAGCCTTCCCACAGTTCCATCTTTAATATTTTATCGTGGGGTCTATATATGACATGATTCGGCTCTAGTTAACCCTTTCCTCTACATGACCTGACTGATACAGTCGCGGAGCCTGGATCCCAGGGCGTGCAGTGCGTAGGGAATAGTTACTGCATGATTATTATGTCAAATACAATAGTGTATGACTAGTTATAGTTATAACTATGGTCCTTTTGTGAATATAGTTTGGTTAGCCTTGCGCTGCACGATGCGCAATGTAACCCGAATCGCCGCTCTTGTAGCGGAGTGCTCAAGGCATAGCGAGAGCGCTGCCTTGCAGTTCGCAGCTTCAACTATATTTAGCTGTAACACATGGAGGCAGCTCTCTACCCAACCCCAGGGCTCAGTACCATTCACTAATCGGCGTGCGCGACCTGCCCCAGGCGTGCCCTACCTGTCGGCAGATGACTTTGGCAGGCCTACTCTTGTGCGTCCAGCCGCCACACCTGATGTACGCGGACATGAAGGAGGCGTCGCCCCTGGGGCGCCCAACGATGCCGCCGAGGAGCCATCTCGCGGCCGCAAGGGGCGATCTCGCAAGAAAGTTGCCCAGCCCGAGAGCGACGCTGTACCGCAGCAAGCTGAGACCGAAATCGGTACCCAATCCTTGCGGCCCAGCAACCGCGCGGCTGTTGCCACCGAGCTTTCTCCGTCACTTCGAGACGATCCCTCAGAGCGCAGGCCCCGTTACACCTCTGCCCGGCACGACACGTCGCCCGAGCCAAGCCTCGATTCCCCTCTCCCAGGCCCCCATCAGCTCCCTCCAAAGCACCGCCGGAACCGCTCCAAAGCCGACCCTGCCGCCTCCGCCTTCTCTCCCACTTCCTCGGGTCGCCTGGACCGCACCCTCACCTACCGCCTGCTAAAAGCCGACTCCTTGCGCGAAATCGACGAGCTCCTCTCTTCACACACCGGCAGCAACGTCGTTGGAGGCAGCAGCAACGCTGGCGGCGGCGGAAGCAGCAGCAGCCCCGCCCCCAACATGATCCACCTTGCCGCCGCCGCTCGCCAAGCGGTGCTGCTGGCAAGCATGCCGCGGCCCCAAGAGACGCGCGCGTTGCTGGACAAGCACCTGACCCTGCTGCTGCCTCAGCTGCAGCTGCTGCTGCCGCCGGGAGGTGGCGGGAAAGGCGGCAGCAGCAGCGCTGGCGGATCGGTAGCGGAGCCCGTTGCAAGCGATGTTGCCAAGCCGGGCGAGGGAAGTGCTGGGCAGCTGTTGGCCACACGTGATGGTGCTGACGCAGGGGAGCGGGAAGCAGCCACCGCCACCGCCGCTACGGTTGCAGCCACGACCACGGTGCCCCTGCCGCTGCGGGAGCTAGGCGACGTGTTGTGGGCGTACGGCAGGCTGCGTTGCAAGCCGCCGCCGGGGGTGTGGTCCTCAGCGCTGCGGCCGCTGCTGCTGCACCCCGCGGCGCTGCAGCAGCTGCGGGCGCCGCCAACAGCTGCTGCTGAGGCGGATTCCGAGCCATGGCGCAAGAAGACCCGCAGCGGCAGCAGCGGCTCCGGCTCCGGCTCTAGTTCTGCCGACGGTAACGGTGTTGGTCAGGACCTGAGTAAGATTGCGGTGGCACTGGCGCGCATGAGGGAACACGACGTCGACGTGTGGCGGGTGCTAGCCCGCGCAGCCGCCGCCACCGCCCCAGACATGGAGCCGCGGGCGCTGACGTCGGTGCTGTGGGCGTTCGGCTCGGCGCGCATGACCCATGGGCCACTGCTGGCGGCGGCGGTACGGGCCATCCGCCTGGACATGCCGCAGTACACAGGCCAAGACCTGGCGTGTGCCGCTTGGGCGCTGGCACGACTGGCGCCGCCGTCAGCGGAGACAGCCTCCGCTGCGCCCTCCAGGTCCGCCGCCGCTGCCGCGGCGGCGCGGGAGTTGCTGTACGGCGATCTCTCAGACGCCGTCCGACGTCGGCTTCAGTTGCAGGCCTTCAAGCCTGCGGAGCTCACCACCCTCGTGGGTGCGATGGATGAAATGGCCCAACACCAGCAGCAACAACAGCAACACCACCAGCAGCTTCAAGATGGGGTACGACACCCGCGCCACCTCGGATCTCGGCCGCTGCACGCCAGCCCTCGGCTGCTGCGTGTGGTGAGCCAAGCGGTACGCAAGAGCATGGGCGCGCTGCCGGTGGGGGTGCTGGCGGAGGCGGCGGCGGCTTTCCAGCGGCTGGGGCACCATGACCTGGGGCTGTACCGGGGCCTTGCTGCCGGCATGCTGTTGCGACTGCGGCACATGGAGCCGCGGCAGGTGGTGCGAGCGGCGGTGGCGTTGCAGGCGGCGGGGCATGCGGACGGAGTGTTCTTTGGCAAGGTAGGCGTTGGCGGGGATTTGGGTTGGGTATGGGGACTTGGGTCAGCGCCAGGGGCGCACGGATGGGGTGTTCTTTGGCACGGGGTTCATTGGGGATTTGGGTCAGCGCTCGAGGCGCAGGGACGGAGCGTTTCTCGGGAGGATGAGGATTGGGCATGGGGAATTGGATTGAAAGCATGGTGGAGCGTTGCTCTGGTCTTCGGGCAGAGGTCTGCCTTTAGCAAGCAACGTGGCTGTAGGGGTTTGCGAGGTGGCACTGTAGCTGCCTGCTTGCGGTGCCGGTGGCTTGTGGGGTTCAACGATCCAAACAGATGCACCAAATGCTCTTTTTCGTGGCCATGTGCCTCATGTCACATGCAGGTTCTGGACACCGCCCGCTCCAAGCTGTTCGCGTACAGCACCGGAGAGGTGATGTCGCTAGTGGAGCTGTGCAGCCGCCTGGGGACCAGCGGCGCAGCCTCCGCCTCCGCCGCCACCTCCTCCTCTGTTGCTGCTGCCGATGCTGATCCTGCCGTACAAGGGGACGTGTACGGTAACGACAAGGATAGCGCCTCTACCGGCACCGCTGCTGCTGCATCTGGAACCATTGCTGACCCAGATGCGGATTCAGCATCCACCGGGGTCTTGGATCCCGCCGTTGCCCGTGCCTTCCTGCACGCCGCCGTGCAATACGCAACCTCCGCCGCTGACGGCGGCGCGCCCAACGATCCACGGAACCGCACCGCTGCCAATCGCGGCAAGAATGTTGGCAGAGGCTTTGACGCAGATGACGACGACGACGAGCACGAGTTCGTGTACGATGGCAGCGGCAGCAGTGACCCACGGGTCGGTGCCGCCACTGCGGAGCCCCTGCTGCTGCGGCAGTGGCAACTGCTGCTGCGGACCGCGGCGGCTGCCGGCTGGCGGGATGACGAGCTGGCTGGTCGCGCGCTTGACGAGGTGCTGTGGCAGCTCAGGAGCCTGAGGCCCGCATGGCTGGACTCGGTCCGTGCTCGCGCTGTGGAGCTAACGCGGGCCTCGCAAGAGCTACAGCAGCAGCAGCAAAGGCAAGGGCAGCAAAGGCAAGGGCAAGGGCAGCAAAGGCAAGGGCGAGAAGAGGAGAGTCAGGAGTCCAAACGGCCAGCGCCACGACAGCGACAGCAGGTCGGCCGCAATGCAGCTGCTTCTGAGAAGGAAGACGCAGCAGCAGCCGTCAGCTCGGCGACGACAGCGGAGGCGGAGGCGCTAGTGCCCGTTAGGCGTCACGACCCGCTATCGGTGGATGTAGCGGGCATGGTGGGCACCGCTGCACTGCTGCGGCAACAGCGGCGAGTCGACGTGGTGGCGGTGGTGGTGTCGCTCTTGCTGGAGGGATCACGTGCGGCTGGTACGGCAGCGGCGGCAGCAGGAGCAGCATCAGCACCCGGAGGCAAGAACGCTGCTAGTGGGGCTGGAACCTCGGTGGGACGGGGAGGGCGACTGCATGGGGGCATGCAGGACGTGGAGGAGGCGGAGCGGTGGCAAACGAGTGTGCTGGGGCTGTCACCGGCGGCGGTTTCGGAGCTGAAAGAGGGGCTGTCGTACTTTGGGCCCTCGCTGGACATGCCGGTGCATCGTACGACAAAGGCTGCCGTACAACTGCTTCAGCGGCGGTTGGGGTTGGTTGAGGAGTCGGGAAGGAGCATGGGGGAGGAGTGAGGAGGGGAGGGGGTTGCGGAGATGGGTGGAGTGTGATCTGGCGGTGCAGGGAGAGAGCGTGAGAGAGAGGTTTGGGAGTTCATTTTGAAGAGATGAGGACGTGGCAAGTGTTGTGGGTTGGGTACCGTTAGGCAGAGTGGGTAGCAGTGAGCAGGCGTTAAGCTGGGGTTCTTGGAAGGAGTCATGGGTACGTAGTGGGCAGGTGCGCGGAAGAGGGGGAGTATTGCAGCACATGTGCGAATTGGGCTAGGAGTACGGTATTGGTTGAGGAGTGTGTTGCCTTGCGCTGCTGTATATGCATGCGCATAGGATGTGAAGATGCGCCGCGTGAGTACGCGTGCTTCCTTATGTGCAAGGCCCAAGCGGAAGGCACACGCCTCACACTCTGCCAACAACATCGTAAGACGTTTCTTGGCAGGACGTCATGTGAGGTACTGGTAGGCATTGGTATGGCAGCAGGGCACTATGGAACAGCGAGTTGTGTAGGCGCGCTGGGGGAACGCAGGCTAGGTACCATCCTGTACCAGCCATTCTCTCTAGACGGGCCTATAGCCCGACACAATTATAGCTGGTTACAGCAGCGAAAGTCTTGTAAGATTCGCGCACAAGGCAGGCAGCTGCGGCAAATCCTCCTATGATCTCATATCTACGATTGTATCTGAGCCGGGTATTACACTTCCAAGCACAATTAGTCCAAAGGGACAAGGTTTGCTCTTAGAGCGCTTGACGTGAGCACTTAGAGCGAACGAAACAGGACCGGAAAGCACAGCTGACCCACGGGTCTGCGCAGGCAATATATACAAGGAAAAGCAGGTTGCAAGTCTGAGCACACCCATTTCTGGGCACAGCGCTAAAATGCGTTGTCCCTTACGAGTTATATGCGGCGTAAATGTCTTTTGCGGTGCGCCTTCACCGTAGGATAATTTTGAAAATGGACAGCCAGCTTTCTCCATACGCCGGGCGCAAACCCTTTGACTGTTGTCTTTTCCGGCAAATCGCTTCTATCACTTGCAAAGTAGTATACCTTCGGGATCGGGATCTGAGTCCTCATCGACAAAAATGTACGGTGTCCAAGGACTGTTGTCACTCATACAAAACCGCCCGTCGGGAAATCGAAGGCGGCGATCATTTATAGCTTCCGCTTGCCAGCCATCAAACGACCTTTCACTACGAGAATCCCTTTCCCGTCTACACACACATTTTTGCAGTCAAAACATATGTCCTGTGGCCTGTCTTAGCCTTGGGACACTGAAAAATATCAACGACATCAGCAACACAAACCTCTGAACCTCATAGATCTGGGCTTGTGTGGGTGCTAGCGTGCTTGTGAGCGGCCGCCCTAAGGCGGCAGAGCAAAGGAGCCTCCTCCTCCCTCCTACTCCGCGCACGTGCAGCAGGCGCCGCTTCTCGGCCCTGAGCTCATCCAGAGGTCCCTTGCGTGATCTACGGTTGGGTTGGCCTTCACCTTTTAGGGCCTTGGTCCTTGGAAGAGGTCCTTGAGAAAGAGAAGATAACGCATCTGTGTGTGCTTTGCTGTGCGCGGCAAGGAAGCGCGGACGAAAAGACCCCGCTTTTTGGAGCCGCCGGCAACGTGACCCTCTTCGACTCCTAACATCGTCCTTCCTACGCTGCCGTGACGTGAGCCCGAGACCAAGAGCAAGCCCCCAGTCCAAGCCGTCCAAGCCCCATATACGAACACACCGCGTAGTTCGCTGTTAGACGAGCCTTCTCCTCCTCCTCCTCCTCCTTCAGCTGTGAGACATCCCTTTTTAGGCAACACGTAGGTCAGCAACATCAGCGCCAATAGTAGCATATAGCAGCCATAACAGCCGCCAGCCAGCCAGGTCAGCAACGATAGCAGCAGTTACGCCATTCCTCGTGTGAACCTTCTACCTTTCTCCCGACAGTTTTCCTGCAGCAGACTTTCCACATCTTTTCGCGATGATGCGCCAATCCGCCTTCAAAGCAGCCTCTGCGCTGCCTCCCGCGGCTCCCGATTACTCCGGTGCTCCATCTTCTGCTTCCGCCTCCGGCACTCCAGCCTTTACCGCGGCCGACATCCAATCCGCTATCGCAGCCCTACAGCAACAACAACAACAACAACAGCAACAACAACAACCCACATCGCAGTTCTCCACAGCCGCCGCTACTAACATGGCCAACATGGCCAACATGGCCGCCAACCTGGCAGCTGCCGCCGCAGCCGTGCAACACGCGGAAGACAGCTGCTCCTTCCTCTCCCAGCTGCCCTCCCTCACCAGCCCCCAAGTCTCGCACCCTCACCACCAGCAACACCTTGCAGCTCACGCGAGCGGCAGCCTCTTCGGTACACCCGGCGGCGCCGCAGGCGCCGCCACCCCGCCCCAACTCCATTCCGGCGGCTACACCCGCGGCGGCGCCGGTGGCCCCCCCGGCAGCTCCGGCACCAGCAGCAGCAGCTTCATGTCGCTGCCTGGCAACGCCGCCCTGCCTGGAGGTGTGGGAGGAGGTATGGGGGGAGGTATGGGGGGAGGTGCGGGGGGTGCGGCCAGCTGGCTGTCGTCGGCTTCCACGCCGCCCGCCAGTCCCGCGGGTCACCACGGCGGCTTCTTCGCGTCTCCTCGAGCCGGCGGCGGCGGGGCGGGACCTGGGTCGCTGTACAGCACTCCGACACGAGGTGGGCCGGGTTGCGGGTTGGGTCGGGTCGGGTTGGATTGGTAGATTGGAATGGTGGGAGGTGGACGTGTTTACCTAAACAGGAAAAGGGCTGGAAATAGGGTAGGTGTTTTGAGTGCTTGAGAAGGGTCGTGACCCACGGGTCACGAGCTGGTTCTGGAGGGATATGCGTTAAGAAGATACGATGTGGGTCGTACTGCTGGTGTTCTGTTTCGGAAAGCAGCAGCCCTTTACCCGTACTGCCCCAACGGCTGTGCTTAATGTAATCCGCCTTTTGGCTAACTCGTACGACATGTGTTTTGCAAACTCCCTACGCAGCGGGTCCGTACGGCAGCATGGGTCGCAGTACGCCCCCCGGTGGAGCTGTGTACGACATGAAAAGGTACGGTGGTGGTGGCTTGGGTGTGTGTGGGGGGGAAGGCCTATGTCACCGAAGGGTTATCCAGGACTTTAGAATGAAAGCCGACCCCATAGCTGCAGCACCTATAGGTACTACGTGACCCACATTCCCTAGCCTTTGGACATGGTTCGTTTGGACTTGGACTCGGTTCTCTGTTTGACCTTCCCTTACCGTACGTCCGTGCCCATACCCCCCCACTTCTCCCCCCTTCCCCACCCCCTCCGTCCCACCCGCCAGCCTGACAGCCGCAGTCAACATGGCGGCGGGCGGCACCGGAGACATCCGCCGCATCTTCACCGCCGCCACCTTCCGACCCAGGCTGCCGGGTAGGGGAGGGGCGGGGGTTTGAGGGTGAAAAATATATAATGAGACACTGACGAAGCAACTGACGAGCTGTATGACAAGGCTTCACCATGGGATGCAAACATGGTAGCCGGAGGGGGGAGGGAGAGGTACCTTCCTGTGAGCAAGGAGGAGGGAAGGGGAGGGATAGGAATGAGCTAAGTAGTACCGTAGTGAGAAGAGAGGTTAGGGGGGGGCGCAGACATGTGGAATAACGTGGCTGCAATGGTACTGCCTACCGTGCCTCCTGCCTTGGCGACGCAAGTTGGCGTCACCCACCATTCCCTCACCACCTAGCTTTCGTGCGGCGCCCTGCTCGCCCACCCTTCCCAACCCCCCCCCCCAACCGTCCATGCGCGCCGCTCTCCTTGCCCCCAAAACGCCTTCCCTTACATCAATCCTCCCCTCCTCTCCTTTCTCCCTCCCCATCTTCCCTGCTGAGTTCCTATATTGCCCATCGTCCCCTCTTTCTCCCCCCTCTCCCTCTCCCTCTCCTCACCCTCCCTCTCCTCCCCCCCAGGCCTGACCAAGCTTGTGAGCCAGCTGACCCGCGAGGGGCAGTGGTCCAAGGGCCTGGAGGTGTTTGACGCGCTGGACTGCGTGGGACTGCTGCCCGACACCACCATCACCAACGCCGCCATTTCCGCATGCGACAAGGGGGGACAGTGGGAGAAGGCGCTGCAGGTGGGGGGGGTGCAGGGCTGGGATTTTGGGGTGACGG